TATTTTTATTATTATTGGACTAACGGTTCTCATGTCTTCCTAAGAATGTAACCCCAGGCAAATTCAGTCTATCCAAAAATATATTGTATTTAAGAAAGATAACTTAAGGTTTATTTATGCCTTTTTTTAAATTTTTATTCTCAAGTTGATATCGTATTTGCACTCGGGTTGTCCATATGTGTATTTGTCATAATGTGCGTTTGTTGGCCACAAACATTTTTGGTAAACAGAACTTGCCTGCATGTGCTTGAACTTAACAGTTTTTTAAGGTGCTCTGAAAATCCAGACCTACTGTGGCATACAGAAATGGTACTTAATATCACAGTCACCATGTTAACACACAAAATTTAACTTATAGAGAAGGAAGTTTTGGTAAGATCTACTGTGTATACACTTAGCTGTATAGTCTCCTAGCATGTTATTTAGTTAAATTACCAGCTATATGTAACTTGAAGAAACACGAACATCCGTTAGATAATGTTAGATTACCTTCCACATATTGGGAATCCCTAAAGTTTTTTGAGTTAAAAAGAAACATTTAGGCATCAAGTGATAACACTTTCTAGGCTGTCATCATTTATTGGTGATTTGTGATAACCATCCTTTTCTCCATTTAACGGTGTGTATTTGCGGTAACCTACATTTATTTCGAGACCATAATTTCCATATGTTTTGAAGGTTATTGAGGACACAGTCAACCTCCTGTGCATCACTTGTTGACTTGTCCTTGATGGCAGTCAGTGGAGCACCATGGTTTGTGGGTAGGCTTGTAGTTCACATGATCCAGCATTGAGAGTTGCGTATTGGCCATGTCCTGCAAGCATTGAAGGGACAGTACAGTCACCAGAACCACTACAATTTAATGATTTTCTGGTGTCTATAGCCTGTTCCTGCAGACTGTTCATTATAAACAATGCCTTTTCAGAAAAAAGGCAGTGTTTATATTGATGCATAGTAACACCTGTAGTAACACTTTTTGGTAAGGTTTTGTCAAACGATAGCAAGCCCAACCATACTAAATGGAGCACACATTCCATTAGGCTATTGTTCATTCACAAAAATATTTTATCTTTCATTCATGCACAGTATTAAGCCCAAATATCTTTCAGAGTTTAATGCAGCTCATAAGCAAAAGAGAAAGTTAGTTGCATGTGTGTGTTTATGTAGCATTGTTTCAGCAATCGCTCAGAAGACTACTAGAGATGCTTTCTATCTCACACCTACGTTCAGCATCTCCACGCTCTGCTGATTGGCGCAGAGTGGCATTTTGCCACACATGCACAATAGCCTCCCAATGCCATTGGGAGATTGATGATCTCAGCCAAGGAGGTGTGGGCCAACTGCACAAGACCAGCACAGTGTGAGGGGGAAAAAAGGTAAGTACATTCACCTTTTCCATGGGATCGAATAGTGCTGGGGACTTAAATAGTCCAACACTATAGTGTCAGGAATACACTATAATGTTCTTTTAAAGCAGAACTGTTACTAGCTTACTAAAAGTTGGCTATGGGTTGTGCAATATTCCCATTCCCCAAATTTTGAAAGTTTTTTTTTTTTTTTTTTTATTTACACTATATGCCTGGTTGTCCTGCCATCATATCCTGCCCCCGTGGCACTGGAAAGTGCTTCATAAATGTGTTATCTAATTATCGTGAAGCACTATGTACCCAAGTAAGTAGTAAGCAGTTGATAAACTTTTAACTTACTAGTATTTGACTATAAACAAGAATACTATTTGAACACAAACCTTTCTGCATCTAGGAGGTTTTTAATGCCAATAAGCCCCTGCTGTCATTTGTCAGTTTACCAGTTTTAATGTATATAACATTTTGGTAAAAAAACAAAACACTTTTATATTTCAGATGGTTTTTGTTTAATGTGCATTTTAAATATGTATTCACTATGGTGGTCGATGGTTCCTTTAGAAAAAAACCCTACTAAAAAAAAGTATTTACATTTTGCTCTTACAACTTTCTCTCGTTTGGTTTTGAGCTTCCCCATGCACTGTATACCAATGTCCCACCTGGAAATTATAGTGATTCCGTAAGCAGATTGATAAAATCCATTAACAACCTAGTATTTGCTCCATTATTTATATTTTTATTTAATTATTATTATTTTTTAATTTTGTCATGGGTAACCATGAGAGTTTATTCACTGAACAGCGATTTATCATGAAGGGAAAACCAGACTGCAAAATTGAAGCCAAAACAGCAGAATGTGTGAATTTTGGCCTAAATTTTGAAATTATCTTGCTGTCAGTGTTTGCTGATTAAATGCCTTCATTTTCATCTTTGCATTTTTATTTTAGATTTTGTAAAGACGGGGAAAATTATACTTTTTTTTTATTTATTTTTTATGGCTCCAGTTAACCTTTAAATCCTGAGCAAACTCCCCTAACAATATATATATATATATATATGTATCTTGGCCCAAAATATATTTTCTTAATCTAATTTCTTTAAAGATGTATTGTATTCTTTTTATCCCTTTTTCTTTGCTAAACCATTCAAAATGTATTCCCCTGCACTCTTGTAAATCCTATAAAAAATGGCTATATTCAGCAATCTCTCTAAAAATACATTCTATACTCAACTAGTTTTGCATCTTTATGATCAAAATAATTTCTCAAAAAGGGGTAGCACACAGTAATAAAGCATAAAATAAAGTGTTTACAACACTATTGCTGTGTATTAAACAGCTTTTAAAATTCACTTACAAAACATTTTAATTCGGTATACTTTTTTTTTTTCCTTTTTTTTAATTCTCATTCACGCAGTCTTTTAGTGCTGCTCCATTTCAATTTCCTGTTATATTTGGCAAAATTATCAAATGTAAGCTAGTAAATATCTCACTTTACTGTTGAAGCCTTGAAGTTATGAAACTATGCTCTGATTCTACAAAGGGTCCTAACATTTTTATCACAATAACAAAATTGTTCAGTGGATACTTTGCAGCACTTAAACTTCTAACCCAATGCATTGCAATTATAAAACAAATATTTAAAAAAAATAGAAAATTACACATTTTATAGATATAATTTTACAATGGATCTTTAACCCAAGTAAACGAGCAATATTGTCTTTTGCATGCTCCAAAACAGATGTATTTGCTTCTCAAAAGACTCCAGCGGATTTGAAAATGTTAAATGTACAACGCAGAACAGCTTTCACTGGACTATGTTTCATATTCCAAATGTATTAATCAATTTTATTGTCTGATGTGTTACAATGACACAGTGGTGCTACACAGTTTGATAAGCGGTGCCTATAGAATAATTAGTCTGTATATCAATCCCTAAGATTGGCTGTACCTCCCAAAACACAACAGGATTCTGGGAGTTTTAATACGGTAATACTATTTTAATACAGTTTGTCTGTGTTAAGGAAGGAGCCCTGTTAAAGGTAAAGTCAATAATTTGTTGAAGTCATTTTATTTTTCAGCTTTTTTTATTTTTACACACACACACACACACACACACACTCAATTTTGAAAGACGGACTGAGCCTTTTTCTGATGTCCCTGTTTTACAAAATACTTTTTCATTAAATTATGTAACTGGCAAACATGTTCCTTTTGTACAGACCTCTTTATTTTACTTGTTTAAAAAAAAAAAAAATTACATTGAAATATTTGATTCCTTAGTTCTACTGTCTTTATTGAGCGTACATATTGGAAGTATGTAATGTACTTGATGTAATCATTGGCTAAAAATGCTGAATTCAAAGAGAGTGTCAAATTTTGTGCCAGAATATGTGATTTAACCCCTTAAGGACACATGACGGAAATATTCCGTCATGATTCCCTTTTATTCCAGAAGTTGTGTCATTAAGGGGTTAAAGCACATAGCTGACATTTGTGTTGAATTTCTGACAATTCATACTTGTGTGATTATCCTTTTCATAGTACACTTTTTAGTTAAGAATTTTTTTTTTATTTTTTTTTTGCTTGTCAGCGTTATAAGGGTTTAGCATAGTTTTCAGTGCTTTAAAGGGACACTATAGTCACCACAACTACAGTTTAATGTAGTTGTTATGGTAAGTATAATCATTGCCTTCAGGCATTTTCATGCAAACACTGCCTTTTCAGAGAAAAGGCGGTGTTTACATTGCCCCTAGGAACACTTCCAACTGGCCACTCCTCAGATGGTCACTGCACATGCTTCCTAGGGCAGTGCTGCACAGTAGGCAGCACTACAATTCAGCGTCTCCACGCTCTGCATGGTGAAGCTGAATTTTCTTCATTGATATGCAATAATTCAGTGCTGATTGGCCAAAATGGTGTTTGGCACCGCCCCCTTGCCAATTTTAGCCAATCCAATGCTTTCTCTATGAGAAAACATTGGATTGGTTAAAAATCTGCAATTCTTATGTCATTAAGGAGGCACATCGGGGGCGGGGCCAGTAACCGACAGACCCGCATAGCACTGGAAATAAGGTGAGTTTTAATTCTTTTTAAGAGGGCTGAGTGGGTGCAAGCCACCTTAATGGTGGGTTTCACACTATAGGGTCAAGAATACCTGTTTGTGTTCCTGACCCTATAGTGTTCCTTTAAGTAAGGTTTTGTCAGACAGCTTTACTAATCCACCCAGCCCGAGCAGACTAAACGCACATTATATTGGGCTATTGTTCATTCACAAGAAGATTTTATCTTTCATTCATGCACAGTATTAAGCCCAAATATATTTCTGAGTTTAATGCAGCTTATAAGCAAAAGAGAAAGTCAGTTGCATGTGTGTGTTTATGCAGCATTGTTACAGAAATCACTATTCCAACTAGGCACTGGATTTACACATCTTATTGTCATTTTTGCAAAATACTTAACCATATTCCCACCAAGAGCACTTTAAGTGCTTGCTTACCATCAGAGTGCTGCCACCAAGTTACTGTGGCAGTGTTCTGGCACATTTAATGAGCAGCAGACCAGAAGAGCACTTAATGTGGTCTGCAAACACCAGAGGTGCAGACCTCACACCTCTCCAGGGATGTAGTCAGCAGCACCATGGGACCACCGTAGATTACCTACAGGAAGGTAAGCAGGAGATCGTTAAAAATTTTTTTTTATGTTATTACACACACAGCTCCCACACATACACCACTCAGGTGCATGGTTTGGAGGGAAGAGTAAGTCAAAGAGGAATAACGAGAGATGCCCTTGTTTCGTTCTAGCACTTGGACCCAGCTGGTCTTAGTTATGCCCCTTGTGTTCAGCATAATGCAGTACCACATATACATGTTTTGCAATTATTTTTCCTTAATGACTCCCTACACTCCCATAAAATTTTATATATATATATATATTACATAGAATAAAGTCTTCTGTGCCTCTCTGCACAGTGTCACTTATAACAGCAGTGAGTTACAAAAATCGCTACAACTATAGGGGGGAGGGTGTCCTCAAAAGGATGTTTAGAAGAGCAAATTGCAGAAGTGAGGTATTGTTAGTGTTTTGAAGCCCAAGTATTCCACACCTGAAAGTAGTGTTTAGAAGAGGTTATTGCAAATATAGGTAGAACCTAATGTTCAATTCGAAGTTGTAATAGTTTGTTTCGAGTGTTGTTAAATTTCCAACCTTATTATGTAAAATGCTGCTGAATAAGTTAGTTGCTATTCAAATGCCAATGATTATAATGGTGGGTATTCAAAAGAGGAACTATTTAAAAAACGCACATTAGAGCACAACTACAAAGAATGTCTGTATCATTCCTGCCTAAACATGAGTGGTGAGGTGTCTGTGCCTCCTTTTACGCTCTACAATCTCTGTTTGGTGTGTACATGTAACAATGGTATATTATAATGCTATTTAATACAGGATGGATTGGTAAATTCCAGATATTTCTCTTATCGAGTCTTACACAAAGATTGTATATTGTTTGTTTATATAGGAATTTATTGTATATTTGACAGTGATTATAATTTTTTTTTCTCAATTCCGCACAATAAAATGTGCGTGCATGCGTGTGTGTATGCATGTTGTTCTCCTGTGTGGATTTCGGAATAGTTATTCCTTTGTGTTATAGCTTGTTTTTCAATATGGATTATTTTGAGCTCCCTCCATAACAGGTTGTATATTTAGAGGAGCCCACGAGTTGTCATTGTAAATATGGTGACATGGTAGTTTTCTGTGCAAGTCCACATTGGTGAGTTCAAGTTGTTGATACTTGCTACAGTTTGTGCTAAGGAATGTGTTGGTCATCTCAAGCCACCCATAAGGGAAAGTTTTGTTTTTTATCCATGCTCCTGGGGCCACTAATCAGAGATTGAAAGGTATTGTGATCATTGCATACACGGTAGTTAAAAGAGAAAGTACAACTGTAGACATCATAAATGGTCAACAACATAATGTACATAAACTTGATGGATTGTAGACAATAAGAGCACGGTATACCATTCAAGAAGTCATATACCAGCAAATGTAGGTACATTTTGTGAGAGTAGTAAAGAAATGAGGGGAGGGGACAAGTGGTAGACTTAGAGCACGTGATATGTCTTAAGATAGATCGGTTATACTGGCCACAAGGGCCAGTTAGTCAAAGTTCTTCCAGAAATCTGTCTCTGGGTGACATTCTTTCATCAAGCATCCTCTCTTTAATCGTAACTTAGAGAAAGTGTTCAGCCTGGAACAGTGATGCCATTCATAGATTGTGACCCTGTAGCATTTAAAAAAAAATATATATTTTATTCTGGAGATACATAGTTACATAAACGTTATTTACCACTGCAAATCATAGTATACTCACCAATGGTAAATTTCTACACGCCAGAGCTACAATTTCACTTGGTAGTGGAAGGTTTGAGCCCTGCTGAGCCTTTTGCATTCTTGCTTGGCCCAACTTAGTGTAACCCACTATTTTCAGTGACATGATGCTAGGAAGCCATCCTGGTTAAAGAGAAAGGGCAAAGAAAACCTAACAATAGAGGTGGACTGAATTAGGACTGGTACCTGTTACATAAAGTAGGCTGTCGTGCAGATACACATCTCCCTTGTTCAGCCAGTTAGTCTTCTAAATTGCTGCAGGCCCATCACTGAATAGATCCACGGTCAGGCCCCACAACTATTGGAATTTTTGTTTTGTTTTTTAATTATTTCCCGTTTTCATGCATTATCTTAATAAGTGTTTTATGTCAACCACTTGAGTGTAGCTTTAACCATGTTAAAAAAATATAGAATATAGAACGTTGGAGAGAGAAGAACTAATAAAATAAACTTTATTTCCTTGATAGGGTACACATGAGATGTGTGTACCCTTATCAAGGAAATAAAATTTATTTATTTTGTTCTAAAGTTTTTTTCATTCTAAAGTTTTTTCGTGATTTTAGAATAAGGGCACTTTACGCCTATTTTCTACTCCAACTATTATATATTAGGATAGTAGGACTGACTTCGGGTCTGCTCTTTTGCGGATCCTGTCTCAGCCCTTTCCTTTCATGTTGTTAATATTTGATTATTTGCTAAGACTTCTTGTATTTGCATTCTGTACTATAGTGAAAACAGCTACTGTAGAGTTATCGAGGCATCAACTGAACAGGTTAAATATTATTGTAGATCTTAGTATTAACCTTTGATCTAGAGTTCCTTGTTTCTTGTTTCTCCCCTTTCCATGTACTTTTTATTGGCATTTTGAACTAGGGTATAAAGCAAAAAAAAAAAAAAACACATATGAAAAGTATTAGAACATAGTTCTCACAAGTGTAAACTTCTAACTGTTGATTACATTTAAAACCAAAAACATCAAATTGTATAGCATCCAGACAGTTCTATCTACTTTCCCACATTTTCTTTTTATAACAGTATAACAAACCCTTTATTTCAACAAGTCATTCCAGTTTATAGTGTTGTGTGGGTTTTTTCTTTCTCTAGTGCTTTGTAACTTTGTACTTTCTTCTTGGGGGGGGGCAGAGCCTGAGCCTTGAAGCGAGAGGTTGCATTAGCTTGTAGCTCTGAGCTTCACACGGTGAAAATTGGTACCATTCCACTCCCAATAGACTGCGGGGACTTCCCTGAATGACCTAAGCCACGTGGGACGCAAAACCAAGAAAGCGGTGCCAGATAAGCCTACCACGGGGCTGACAATCAGTGACCTGTGGAGGCATGTCCACAGTGCTATCGGGATCAATATGGTGGGTTTGCATGACTGCTGCTCAGACTTCTCCAACCAATTTTCTGGCATTGCAGAGGAAGAATTCAGACCTGCTCCAGCGCTATTGGCAAGACAAACTAAATCTGCTTCAGACTCCTCGCCGGTAACCACCGCGGTCTTAAAAACGCTACTGGCAGACCTTCAAAAGAACATCGTAACGGATGTCACTGCGCTCTGAGGTGACATGCAAGGCCTGACAGGCCAAATTGGCACTCTGGAGGGAGCATCCGAAGCAAGCGCTCAGAACATTGCCATGCTCCAACAGGCCGTACATGACCTGCAACAGCAGCACCAGATGCATGAACACCGTTTCGCGGCTCAAGAAGACACCAGACGAAGAATCAATCTAAAGGTCAGAGGAAATCCCAGAGGCCGAATTGCGCACGTTATGCAACGCCTGTTAAGAGCCTTATTACCACCCAGGCAAGCCAAAGCTGAAGACCTCTTTCGAGTCCCCAAACCTGCCAAGGCGCCAGCTATGGCCACAAGGGACATAAGTCAGTTTCCGCAATGGGAAAGCTAAAGCAGCGGTCCTCATGGCCCTGTGGAGTAAAATGCCTCTCAAATTGAGAACACGACGCTGACATTCTTCGCCGACCTCTCAAGTAATACCCTAGCATGGCGTAGGTCGCTCCGACCACTAACCTCCCTGCTTCAATGAGAGAACATTCACTACCGCCAACCCGAATACTTATCGTCCAGCATGGGACTGACTCACATCAGCTCCAGGACGCAGCAGCTCTAATGCAGGCTCTGGGTCCTACCCCAGGACTCACTATCCCCTTAACCTGTACCTGGGATCTGTCCAGAATCACAGCGTTTATCCCACAAGGCTCAACACCAGACCCTTATGCAGCGGTCACCACTTGAACGGAGACTAATGGCAACACATACTATTTCCAATGTGTTCTATTTTGTGTTTCTTTTAGTTAATCTGTTTAGATCCAGTTTGGCACACTTCAAGTGTCCACTTGACCCACTCCAGAGTCACCTGTCGCAATAACCGACCCCACGACGAACACCAGATCTTAAAACTTTTCCACCCTACCGTCCCCGTAGAGAGGGGCCTTACCAGTAACCCTACGGCTTGACTACAGGGGTATTAATCACGATACGCATCGTGGTCCCTACAGAGCACACATCTATCTCATGCAACATTTCCTATGCTTAGTGCTTCAAACCTTTTTATCTTAAATTTAAATTGTTATGCTTTACCCATTAAATTATATATAAATGGCACACTTCTCTAAATTAAGGTAATCGCTCCCCCCTTTGTCCCCCCCCTTCCCCCCACTATATTGGCAACCCCCAATCGGCACCAAGCCCCCCGTTATAGTGACAGAACTTTTTTCCCAAACTCCAATACCGTATAGCTGCTGGCCACTTACCCACTTAAACTCTTATACCCCAAGACAAAATCCTTATTAAAACTCACCTTTGGGAACACTTTGTATCAGAAACACATAGAATGTGATGGCAGATAAGAACCATTCGGCCCATCTAGTCTGCCCAATTTTCTAAATACTTTCATTAGTCCCTAGCCTTATCTTATAGTTAGGATAGCCTTATGCCTAACCCACGCATACTTAAACTCCTTCACTGTGTTAACCCCTACCACTTCAGCTGGAAGGCTATTCCATGCATCCACTACCCTCTAAGTAAAGTAATACTTCCTAAAATTATTTTGTAAACCGTTGCCCCTCTAATTTAAGACTATGTCCTCTTGTTGTGGTAGTTTTTCTTCTTTAAAATATAGTCTCATCCTTTACTGTGTTGATTCCCTTTATGTATTTCTTTTTTCCAAATATTTAAGTGTTCTTGCATAGCAAGACCACTTAATGTTATCTCACATATATATTATTATTAAGTGTTCTTGCATAGCAAGACCACTTGTTATCTCACATATATATTATTATTATTATTATTATTATAGCCAAATTTGCCACCCTAACTCCTCCCACAGTTTTTACACTAGATAGACAAAAATTTACCAAAACGTGCAGATTGTTCCCGATCGGATTGCTATTACTTTGTGGAACGTTTCGCCAAATGGTTCACGGAATATCATCGTTCTTGTGGCGCAATTTGTCCCATAGGAATGAATGGCAAAGCTAGAGTGGGAGCTGGCAAAAGCTGAAAGATCAGGACATGATTTCTAAACTGCCACCACTCCCTTATTTTCAGGCCCACCTACACAAACGTTCAGCTATCCCTGCTGCCACTAAACAAGTCAACAGCTAAGCCGTAGTCCTGATAGTTTTCACAATATAATCATTTGTTTGCAACTAACGCCGTCCATTGACGTTCATTGAAACTTCACTCTACAAAGCTCAAATTTGAAGTGCAATTTCTAAACTGCGACTGTGCCTTCATTTTTAATACTTCAGAAACATACTATGCATCAAAATGTAGGTCTGGGTCTTGTGATTCTCACAATATAAAGCTCTTTGCTGTAGGATTGATAGTTTTTAAAATACGACCGTTTGAAGATGGCAACCGCCAAAATACTCTGACCTGTGCCAGGCTGCAGCAGCAAGTGATGTCATAGGCAGGGCCTTTTGAACACCTGCTAATGTTTTTATAAATGTATGGTTTAATGTAACTGTGCAACAACGTTGCAATTAACTGTGCTATATAAATGATGTTACTCCGCCCACTCCAGTTGTAGACTACTGGTGTTGGCAAGAACACTTCACACAATTTCCCCAGAAATGTAATTTTACAGAAAACTAAGCATAAATGTTCAACAGCATTTATACATTATTTCATAAAATGTGGTAAATTGGCTTATTCCATTGCGTTACCATTTAAGTCCATTCTTAAACAAATGGTCATTAGATTTGAGTATCTAAAAGTTAATATTGTCTAGGAATAAATTACTTATCCAAAATACTGCCTTCAACGAGGTATATCTTACACAACATATATTGGGAGCTCCAATATAGCTTCTTTAATAATATTGAATCAATCAAGAACCATTTTAGGGATAATATTGATAGGATTTTGCTAAGTCAATATAGCTAAATATAGTCTTGCCAGGGATTTATTTATTTGGAGAATCTATTCTTTATAATAATCAAACCATTTTTTCCATATTTTGTTATAGGTATCAATATTGTTATCTTTAAAATAGCCATCCTTTTTCATTACACCTTGATATTGGATTTGGGCTTTGATCTCTATTAAGGATGGAGATTCAGTAAGTCCAGGCCAGTGCAGTCCCACCAAATATGTTTAAGTGAACCTAGTTACCCATTTATGTATTTAAATGTTTCTATCATATCCTCCCCGTCTCGTCTTTCCTCCAAGCTATACATGTTAAGATCCTTTAACCTTTCCTGGTAAGTTTTATCCTGCAATCCATGAACCAGTTTAGTAGCCCTTCTCTAAACTCTCTCTAACGTATCAATATCCTTCTGGAGATACGGGCTCCAGTATTGCGTACAATACTCCAAGTGAGGTCTCACCAGTGTTTTGTACAATGGCATGAGCACATCCCTCTTTCTACTGCTAATACCTCTCCCTATACAACCAAGCATTCTGCGAGCACACATAGTCCATAGGCTGTCTAGCTTCATTTTTCAAATTGCCTCTCAAAAGAGAATAGGGCATTGCCTAGCGGTATGAGTCAGATGTGAACACTGCTTACTTTTCTAAATTGTGTCTATCTCTCCTGACACATGACTGATCTTAATGCATTTTCTTCTGTCTATGCGTTTTAGTTACTCTCCATATATATATATATATATAATATAAAAGGGGTACTACAATCTCAATGCCATGCCTATGTTATACTCTGTTAATGTTACTGTGCCTGCTTTTGCTGTCATGGCGAAGCTAGCTGCTTTAACGTATGCACAATAAACATAAAGAAAATGGGGGGAGGAAGAGGGAGGAGAGTATTTTGTTTTTTCTCTAATAATTTTCATTGAGCAAGTGGCTGCCATTGTTCATATAAACTTCTTTATTTCTTTTGTGACTATTACACTTGGCAGCATACAGTTAGGTCTGGAAATATTTGGACACTGACACAAGTTTCATTTTGGATGTTTACCAAAATAAATTCAAGTTACAGGTAAACAATTAATATGGGTTGAAAGTGCAGTCTCTCTGCTTCAATTTGAAGGTATTCCCATTTCCCACCCAATTGGAGAAAGGGTTTTGGAATTACAGCTCTTTTAGATGTAGCCCTATCTTTTTCAAGGGATCAAAAGTAATTAGACAATCGACTCAAAAGCTATTTCATGGACAGGCGTGGGCTATTTCTTCGTTATTTCTTGATCAATTCAGCAGGTAAAAGGTCTGGAGCTGATTCCAGGTGAGGCATTCGCATTTGGAAGCTGTTGTTGTGAACCCACAAAATGTGTTCCGTTTAGGTCTCAATGCAAGTGCAACATGGCTGGGAAAAATAAGAATCCTTTCCATGATAAAGAAAAAAAACCTTTCCAAATTCCAGCCAAGTAAAGGACTCCCTCCAATTAGTAGGCATATCATGATCCAAATCTACCATAAAGAGAATAATTCATATGAGCAAATACAGAGGGTTCACTGCAAGGTGCAAACCATTCATAAGTCTTAAGAATAGAAAGGTCAGTTTAGACCTTGCCTAAAAAAAAAAAAAAGCCAGCCTATTTCTGGAACAGCCTTTTTTTGGACAGATGAAACAAAGATCAAACTGTACCAGAATGATGGGAAGAAAAAAAAAGTATGGAGAAGGCTTGGAATGGCTCATGATTCGAAGCATAACACATCATCTGTAAGACACAGTGGAGGCAGTGTGACAGCATAGGACTAGGGTTTATTGATGATGTGACAGAAGGAGCCAGATTAATTCTGAAGTGTATAAGGATATTCTACAGCAAAGTTGATTAAATGGTCCTTCACTTTACAGATGGACAATGACCTAAAACATACCACGAATGCAGCTCTGGAGTTTTTTTCTGCAATGAAGGAGTCAATCACCTGTTCACCCGAAAACAGCTGCAGTAAAGGCCTGCCAAAGCATCACAAGGGTTGAAACCCAGTGTTTGGTGAGGTCCATGCGTTCCAGACTTCAAGCAGTCATTGTCTGCAAAGGATTCTCGACAAAGTATTAAAAATTTGAATTATTTTTCTGATTTAGTTAATTTGTCCAATTATATTTGAGCCCTTAAAACAAGGCGACCGTGTATTGTTGCAATTCCTAAACGGCTCATACAATGTTTTTGTTAAACGAATTAATGCTAAAAAGGCTGCACTTCAATCGCATCTCGGTTGTCTCATTTCAAATTCATTGTGGTGGTGTACAGAGCCAAAATTTTGAAAATTGTCAGTGTCCAAATATTTCTGGACCTTACTGTATGCATCTGAATCAGCTGTATCTACACACAGCAAGTAGGACAAAAATACAAACCCACAACAAAACTTTATGTACACCTCTATTAATTGTGATCTTCAGTCTGTGATGGAAAAAAACTAAATAAATATAAGTGTAATTAAAAGATGGAAAGCATATCCTGCTATGGAACAGCCAGAAAATGTAAATCTAGGTGAGAAATATTTTTTCTCCTATTCCTGGCTAACCATGGCTGATAGTTTCCATAATGTAGCTTACTATAACTAAATATAACTTAGTATCATAACTAAGCTACACAAAGAATGTTACTTTCCCAAGGTAAAAATACTAGTTCAGTCCCATACTGTGACAATACTGCTAAAGGCATTAACAGAATACAAAGAGTGCACCATGCATGATAAGTCTTCTCCACTGCATCTCCCAAAAATAGATGATGATCTGGCCAATACTTGATACCATTATCAGGGCATTTGAGTCATCCTGGATGGCAATAGGGGGTGCCACGTAGCCAACACAGCTGGCAACCAACCCAGGTACTGCTGTGAAAATGACAAGCTTATTTTTATTTAACATAGTGCCGAATCAGCAATATGTAAAAAATAATTACACCCTGGAGTCTGTGGTGGAATGAATGGTCTACTATATTAATCACAGACCCTCGTGGTTCTGGCACTCTGTGAAAGAGTCAGAGTGCTGGATCAGAAGCGGCAATTAATATGGGCTGCTCTATTCATTCCACCAGACTTACACCATCACCTCATGAAACTCACATTGATTCTACTGGCCCATCAGGGATTGTATGATCTTCTCCCTTCCTGGTTAGAAGATAAGCAGGAGGGGGCAAACAAATAAATACATTAAAGGCATTACAAAGTGGGGAGACTGTGTTTAACATGTCACGTGCCATCACTCCTCCAACACCCTCCCACATTCCTCCATGCCACACTCATCCAATGACAGTCCTCTTTTACCTGCAATTCTCACCTTGTCACAGTCAACCCCTGAAGATAGTCATTGCCATACCTTAGGTACCTATCTCTGCTGTGGTCCAATCCAATACTACTCATGGAAGAGCATTGTGGACCCAATGTGCATGTGCAGCGAGGGCCATGCACAAATTCAAGCTTACCCATGGGAAAGCCTTGTATTCAATGCTTTCATATTGGCTCCTGTTTTAGTCAGTGCAGCAGAAGCACCTCTAGCAGATGTCATTCTAACAGCCACTAGAGGTGGACTTAATCAAGCAATGTGAACTAAAGGACGAGGCAACTTCACCCAGTCCATTTCATTCAGATGAAGTAGTCTGAGTGACTTTAGTGTCCATTTAATACCAGTGGTGACCCACGGAAAAAGCTTGTCCCAAATTTTGGGCTGACACATGGGTTAACAATCATTGGTTCTAAGAATGCCCCAGTAAAATAAAATATACCAATTATGATCTGCTTCCCTTTAATGTACTAGCTTCATAAAACCAATAGATATAACGGTCCACATACATATGTAATTTTCTTAGTGACTGGGCAGTTACTTGGTCATTACAATTAATGCAAGTCAGCAGAAGTTTGTGCTGTGTTCGCAAATCTGTCCCCCTGTTGCCCGCAGATAGCCCCCTTCACTTGGTCTCATTCAGCAAAGTGCTGAAGAAAGCTAAAGCGTTAGGGATCATTAGCCAAGAAAGCCCATGTGTAATGAAAAAGGCTAATGTGTGTCCAACATGTGTCAGAGGTGAATTAACCACTGGGGTTAAATATTAACAAACAAATCTATAAACCGGGATGTGTAACTCTGTGCCGTAGCCAGCCAACAGAACTATTCTACAGCAGCTTCCAGTGGGTAATGTATCCTCTACTCTAGATTATTGTATGCTTGTCAAATACATCATTTTATTACCATTGTGCTAGTAGGACAAGGTCATCAAGTGCCTTAAGTAAGCGATACATTCTAATAGAGAAGCAGAGATACAATGTGCCAGACTACAGATGGCCTGATATCAAATATTTGGATTGGATCTTTATTCAATACAAATATTAAAATATTCTGCATGAATGTGACATAACCTACTAGAAGAGAAATACATTTTGTAAAGGAATAGAACTTTCATAATCTGCCCAGGAGATTTGCACAAATGTGTAGCAGCCATCATTTTATTCTTGTACATTGTCTAATCAGAAACAAGTTATCTGCAATAAAATTGATCACTGCTACTTTGTACTTTAGAGTGTGATGGCTGTGGGAAAAGGGCATTATCTCGCTAATTGCGAGACAATATCTATGGAGGCTCCCACGGTCTTGCAGGATCGTCTACAGCCATCAGTGCTGTACTCATGCACATATGTGACATGGGCTCTTGTTGGATGGAGTACCAAGACCTTAAGAAAGAAGATGGCAGCCCCCATGGCATGCAGCGTTGGGTTATAAGGTCTCACTTGCACTCATGGGACACAGCACACCAAGTGACTGGTCTCTCAGGGGTCCCTTTAATGTGTGCAGCATGCTGGGAGGAAATGACTACCTGTAACTTCCTTGCAGTTTACAGACTGCAAGAGCGAAAACAGAGCAGGCACCTAGAGGAAAAAAGGGAGCACTGCAGGCAGCAAGCCTCAGACTCTCATCAGCAGCTCCAAGCCCCATAAATTGCAATTTGTGTGGGTGTGTAGGTATGTGTATCTGTAGGCATTTGTGTGTGTGTGTAGGTATGCACGTGCATTTGCATGTACTACTTTGTTTCTGTATCTGTGCATCTGTAGGTTTTATGTTTGTGTATGTGTGTTAGTTTGTGTATGTGTAGGCATATGTTTGTATCTGCGTATCTGTGTGTGTGAATGTATGTGTAAGTATGGGTACATGCAGGGCTGTATTTACCACAAGGCAAACAAGGCATTTGCCTTGTTGTAAATACAGCCCTGTTAAACTGCTAATATTCTATCCGGGTGGTGAGGGAGTGCTGTCCTCCGCTCTTCTTGCTCCCTTGCGCTCCCTTCTGTGATGCCAAGAGGCAGAATATGACATCACTCTGGTCCTGGCATCACTAAGCGCTGCAGATGGAGCAGAGCAATAAGAGCTCAGCTCTCTCGCCGCCTCCATTGAGCGCCAACAACCCCATTAGAGTCAGCAGAGCCAGCCCAGTCAGCAGCCCCAGCCCAGTCAGCAGCCCCAGAAGAGCCAGCCTAGTAAGCAGGAGCCAGCCCAGCAGCTGTCAGGCACAACATCCACTCCAGTTCTCCCAAGTAGGTAGGGAGACTGGGTGGATTTAAATTTTTAAAAAGTAATAATAAATTGTGAGTGTAATGAGTGTATGAGAAAATGTGTGTGTGTGTGTGTGTGTGTGTGTGTGTGTATATATATATATATATATATATATGTGTGTGTGTCTGTCAGTGAGTGTGTGTGCGCGTATGTATGTCTTTGAGTGAATGCATGTAGCTGTCAGTGTGAGAGAGAGTGAATGTGTGTGTGTCTGTCAGAGTGTACCAAATCAGTGAGGATGTGTGTGTCAGTCAGTGTATGTGTATCTGAGAGTATGCGTCTGTCACTGAGTGTGTGTCCCAGTGAAAGTGTGTGTTGGTTAAACAGTGTGTGTGTACCAATGACTGTGTAATCGGTCAGTGCATATATCAATGTGGGTGTGTGTCTGTCAGTCAAAAAAAATGGCCCTGACATAAATTGGTGAGGCAAAATTTAGATTAGGGGGGTGCCGTAATTTAGTTGTGTCTAGGGCAGCAAAATTCCAAAATACACCACTGGGTACCTGTGTATATATGTGTGGCCGCATATGTGCATACCAGCATTCAAACATCAAAAACTACATACAAATACACTCCTACTATCAAGTACTACCACTACATAAAAACACATTCCTGTATTAAAACACCAACATTATAAACAAACACCCAAACTACACACGTATAGACCCCTGCATTCAAACACCAACACTACATACAAACACACCCTACATTCAAACGCACTACACACGTACACCACTGCTTCTAAGTAGCAACAGTGCATATTAACACACAACTACATTCAAATGTCAACACTATACACAACTAAACCCCTTCATTTTACACACACACTCTCTCTCCCTCAGTAAACATGCTTACATTCAAACACACAAAAACCTACTCACAAGTAAAACCCTGCATGGATGAACAAATGGTTGATCCCCAGCTGACAATCATGGGTTATGTACAACACATGGGAATCTGTCTTTTGACTACCCTTGTGCTTGAAGAAGGGGGGCCCAAAATAATTTCTTGCTCCTGTCTCCATTAGTCCCGCCACTTCCAGCTCTGCTGAACGCCTGTGTCGTCAAGCGCTGGCATGCAGCATGGTATACCAAAGTCCTCTCCCCCAGCTAATAACAACCTTGAACCTCCCACTACACGAGATTTGGTTCTGGATCCGACTCTGCCCCCTCACCCTATTATATACCATTAACCCCTTAAGGACCAAATTTCTGGAATAAAAGGTAATCATGACATGTCACACGTCATCTGTCCTTAAGGGGTTAAAGAATGTACTGTGGTGGTAAGTAATAAACATACTTACTATGGCTGCACTTGAAGGACACCCCATGATACCTACGGTGTGTTCAAGCACAGTCAGGAACTTGCAGAGAATGGTTTTATAAGTACATGTGAGCTCAGTCAATCCTTCAATACTGTCTTATATGTGCACAGAAGTGCCGGGGTTAACTTAAATTGCATGTCGTGCCTGACAGCCAGACAGAACATGTAAATCTGTAAATGAAACCATAAAATCTTGTGAGAATTTTAAAAACAAATTGCACCATCCATAGCTAATGTTCGGTTATTTACTGGCTTTTGAATAACTCTGCGCTGACAGTTCTGCTTTAAAAGCACCATTTATATAATCACTAAAATTAAGGATCCTATATAACTTTAAATGAATACTAGTGTTAGAAATACAAACATGTATTCCTGACATTATAGTGCAGGAATCGCAGTTTAGGTCACCAGCCCCCCTCCAGATGGGGATTAAAGGTTTAAAACTGACCTTTTCTCACTCCCTGCAGCTGGCCCCGCCTGGTGTATGGCTGAGATGATCAATCTTAAAGGACCACTCTAGGCACCCAGACTACTTCAGCTTAATGAAGTGGTCTGGGTGCCAGGTCCAGCTAGGGTTAACCCATTTTTTCATAAACATAGCAGTTTCAGAGAAACTGCTATGTTTATGAATGGGTTAAGCCTTCCCCTATTTCCTCTAGTGGCTGTCTCATGGACAGCCACTAGAGGCGCTTGAGTGCTTCTCACTGTGATTTTCACAGTGAGAGCACGCCAGCGTCCATAGGAAAGCATTATGAATGCTTTCCTATGTGACCGGCTGAATGCGCGCGCAGCTCTTGCCGCGCGTGCGCATTCAGCCAACGGGGAGGAGAAGAGCTCTCCGCCCAGCGCTGGAAAAAGGTAAGTTTAACCCCTTTTCCCCTTTCCAGAGCCAGGCGGGAGGGGGACCCTGAGGGTGGGGGCACCCTCAGGGCACTATAGTGCCAGGAAAACGAGTATGTTTTCCTGGCACTATAGTGGTCCTTTAATGATCTCAGCCAATCTAATGCTTTCCCATAGGAAAGCTGCTTCAATCAGCATTTCATGCTTGAGATGCATTGTATTAATGCAGCAGTGGACTAGGAAACACCTCTAGTGGTCGTTTGAGTGGCTGTACTGCCTAGTAGGCAGCAATGTAAACACTGACATTTCTCTTAAAAGGCAGTGTTTACAGTGCAAACACTGCAAGGACAGACTGTAGACACCAGAACCACTACTTTAACCCCTTAACGCCGTTACGGCGTTCTATGCCGTCCCGCATTAAATGTGCTTTAAAGCCGTTGCGGCAGCATAGAACGCCGTAACGGCTTGCAGCCCCAAGAGGTGAGATTTAGTCACCTCCGCCGCGATCCTCTTCTGGAGGGCTGCCTGACAGCCCAGGCACCCTATAGCTGGCTGTGGATCTGCCAGCAGGGGGACTGCCTGAAATGTCAGACAGTCCCTGTGCTGGTGAAAAAAAAAAAAAAATATTAGACAAGTTTAAAATTAAAATAGAAATGCATTTATATAATATATATATATATATATATATATATATATATAAAACATATATATATATATATATATGTAACGTCATACGTAATGTATTTTAATATTTATATAAGTACATATATTAGTATTGAAATACACTTAGAATGACGTTACATATATATAATATGTATATGTAATAGATATATACACATATATTATATAGATAAATACGTATAATTACAATAATATATAAAATATTGAAACAAAATTTAATATAAATTATATATTCATATGTAATTTCATTCTAACTGTATTTTGTTATTAATATATATATATATATTGGTAACAAAATACACTTAGAATGACATTCTATATCTATCTATATATAAAATACAAATAACCGCAAATATATATATATATATATATATAGATAAATACATATAATTACATAAAAGTTACATTAGTATACACGTAGAATTTAAATACCTATAAATGCATATGTATTAAAATTCTACATGTATATTTAAGTAATCTTTTAACATAATTATGTGATTTGATTAATTAAAATTTGATTGACATGCTGACAACACAGGGAGAAAGTGCAGAGAATTTAATTCGCAAGCACTATATTTGACCCTGTAACTCTCCAAGACAACATAAAACCTGTACATAGGGGTACTGTTTTACTCGGGAGACTTCGCTAAACTCAAATATTAGTGTTTCAAACTGGTAAATTGTATTACTACGATGATATTTTAAGTAAAAGTGACGTTTTTTGCATTTTTTACAAACGAACTGCACTTTTATGGACTATATTATAGGGTTTGGTAGCCCAGGAATGAGAATTACCCCCATGATGGCATACCATTTGCAAAAGTAGACAACCCAAGGTATTGCAAGTGGGGTATGTCCAGTCTTTCTTAGTAGCCACTTAGTCACAAACACTGGCTAAATATTAGTTTTTTGCTATTTTTTACCCAAAAACAAATATGAACGCTAACTTTGGCCAGTGTTTGTGACTAAGTGGCTATTAAAAAAGACTAAACATACCCCACTTTCAATACCTTGCGTTGTCTACTTTTTCAAATGGTATGCCATTATGGGGGTAATTCTCATTCCTGGGCTACCACACCGTCTCAATGGTAACATTACTAATCTGGCAAATTTCAATTTGAAAATGAAACGTTCTATATTTGACCCTGTAACTTTCCAAAACACCATAAAACCTGTTAATGGGGGGTACTGTTGTACTCGTGAGACATCGCTTATTACAAATATGTGCATTTTTTTGCAGTAAAACCTAACAGTATTATGACATTCACAGCTAAAATGTGAGGCGGAACTACAATTTTTTTTAAAAAATTCTCACAGTTTTTTTTATTTTATTCATAATAAATTATGTTTCATAGCTAAATATTTGATATGAAATTAAAGCCATGTTTCTCCTGAACAAAATTATATATAATAAGTGTGGGTGCACTTAATGTGACAGCGGTGAATTACGGGTGAACAGACATATAGCGCAAATTCCAGTTTTTGTTTACGTTTTGTTTTGATCAGAACGTGCACTATTGACTCCGTCCTGAAGGGGTTAAGCTGTAGTGGTTCTGGTGACTATAGTGTCCATAAAGAATCCTTATTTTGCCAGAGAAATGTAAATTGAAGATAAAAGTATTTGAGCTGAAGACAAGTTTAGAGAAGGTGTCCATCTTTGAAATGTTCCAAACAAAATAACTCTGGTGCTCTGCTGCTTTTTCCTGAAGATGGCACATTTTACAAACAGAGCCTGTTGGGAAGCTTTTTAAACAGGAAGTGGACTGACATAAAGAAGGCACCGAAAAGCATAAACATTTCACTTGCAGTATTTGCAGATTACATGATTAGAAATGCATATGTTGCTATATGGTGTTGTTATAGGGGCACTATAGTCACCCAGACCGCTTCAGCTCATTGAAGTGGTCTAGGACGCAAACTGCCATCACCCTTAACCCTAGAGTGGTAATTATTGCAGTTTTTCCAAACTGCAATAATTACTTGTTAGGGTTAAAGGACCACTCTAGGCACCCAGACCACTTCAGCTTAATGAAGTGGTCTGGGTGCCAGGTCCCTCTAGTATTAACCCTTTTTAAATAAACATAGCAGTTTCAGAGAAACTGCTATGTTTATAAATGGGTTAATCCAGCCTCTAAAGCCTCTAGTGGCTGTCTCATTGAAAATCACAGTGAGAAGGCGCCAGCGTCCATAGCAAAGCATTATGAATGCTTTCCTATGAGACTGGCTGAATGCGCGCGCAGCTCCTGCTGCTCATGCGCATTCAGCTGAGGAGGAGGAGAGCTCCCCGCCCGGCGCTGGAAAAAAAGGTAAGATTTAACCCTTTCCTTGCCATCCAGCCCGGCGGGAGGGGGTCCCTGAGGGTGGGGGCACCCTCAGGGCACTATAGTGCCAGGAAAACGAGTATGTTTTCCTGGCACTATAGTGGTCGCTTTAACTCCTCCTCTAGGCTGCCTACCAGACAGTCACTAGAGAGACTTCAGGGCTTGAAGGCAACTTTTGGCTATGCATGAGGACTTCCAGCATCACTGGAATCCCCATAAGAAAGCACTGAATAATGTTTTCCTATGGCGAAATCCTAATGAGAGTAAGGCCACTGATGCGCATGCACATTAGGTCTCTCCCACCGGCAGATGTCAACGGGGGAGGAGCATGGGCGGAGCTAAGCCAGCGGTGAGTGATATCGGCACTGGACCCAGGTTAGTGACAGAAGGGGTTATTAACCTTTTATGCACCACGGGGGTGTGCCTTGACAAAGAGGGAAGCTATAGTGCCAGGAAAACGAGTTTGTTTTCCTGGCAATCTAGTTTCCCTTTAAGACATGTTATCCATCCTGAAAAACCACATTAAACTAAAAATACTGCAGTAATGTGTGTTAGCTGATTACACTGAAAGCACTGTCTATAACTGGTACGCATATTCACAGTAAATTTATTTCACTCTGTTCTGATATAAAAATATATATATGTAAATTGTAAACATTCATTTCCAGTTAATAAAAAAAACTATTGTGGTTTTATTTGTTATAACGTGTATTATCAAGATATGTGCAATTCTTGATTTGCTGAATAAACTCCATATGGGTTTATTCACTAAACCTTGAATTGTATTAAAAATCTAAATGCAAAACTGGCCAAATGATCAGGGGTATTTACTAAAGGGAGACTTCAAAGTAAATTCCAAATTTAAGATTCAAAAAAATAAAAATAAAAAGTGAAATTGAAAAATTATCTGCCAGCTTTGCTTTTCAGTTCAGCTACTCTGCCCACTGTAGGCATCCAGACCACTTTAGCTCATTGAAGTGATCTGGGTGCACTGTCTCATGTTCCTTAACCTTACAGTGGTAATTACTGCAGTTTCTGAGAAACTGTTATAATCACCTCTCAGACTCCTCCTCTAGTGACTGTCTGCCAGACAGCCACTAGAGGGACTTCCGGGTGCTTAGACGACTTTTGGTCATCTTAATGGCGCTGGACGTCCTCACGCTATGCATGAGGACTTCCAGGGTCACCGGAATCCCCACAGGAAAGCATTGATTAATGCTTTCATATGGGGAAATACTAATGCGAGCGCGGCCATTGCCATGCATGCGCATTAGGTCTCCACAGCTGACGTGGGCTAAACCTGACCCAGCGCTGAGGGACATCGGCACCGGATTCAGGTAAGTGACTACCCCCTTCAGCACCAAGGGAGGGGGCACGGTAGGAGCCTATAGTGACAGGAAAACATCTTTATTTTCCTGGCACTACAGAATCTCTTTAAATTTGAAATTTACGTAAAACTTTCTTAAAATGGTCACTTTAGTAAAGAACCCTATATGATTAGAACTAAGATTGAAACTTTTTTTTCCACTTCAGCCCTTTTATCTTTAATTGTATCAGTTGGATTTCTGTAGCCTGCACAAACCTGCTGCAACGAACGAATCAGAATCCTGTTAATCTACACCTGAACAAATCGATCTGTCTAGGACTCTATGGGTAAATCTTGGATGGATGAGATTGTCCCGACGTATTTTTCAATCTGATTCGTTTGTCATAGTGGATCTGTGCTCAAGTCTAGTTTCCAGCTCACTGTAATGGGAACCTACAGGGTTCATTTTAGAGTAAGTGACAGATGTAATGCCATGTTGGTTTATTTTTTGGCAGATATTATAATTATTGTGTATCTTTAGTTATTAGTTACACTCGATGCTATTCCAGCATTTTTTTTTAACACATGAAGTGATTTGCCACCAAGGATCAAATTCCCTTCTCAGCATGAAATCTGCTGAAATCAGTGTCACATGATTTGATCATGTGATCAGTCTGTGCCACAGGAAGACATATGTACTTTCCAGTTTGCAGTAAACTGCTATGTGAGACAGAACAGTCACTGAAAAGTATCTGTAGGTCTACAAGAGATTAACAGGCTGCATGTCTAATCAGGTTTTACTAACCTACCAAGAGGGGAAATTGGTAATTTAGTATCCTGATTTATTATATGAAATTTGAAACACCCTGTCAGGTCACTCTTAAAATGGCTTTGAATTGGGACTTAATTGCATTATAATATATTTTTATGACTTTCTTTCTAAAAACAAACAAACAAAAAAAATCATGTTAAATGTATAATATTTTGCACTTAGAACCATGACTTCCATCAATATTGAGTGTGTTGTGAAAGAGCGCTACAGGATTGGAGAATCTCCAGTGTGGGAAGAAAAGGAAGGTGTGCTGGTATATGTGGACATCACAGGACAAAAAGTTTGTAGATGGAACCCCACAACTAACCAAATCCAGAGAATATCCTTAGGTAAGTAGCAAATCTTCCAACTGTTACAAAACATGGATGGAAAAAAAAGAACCCAGTTTATCATAACTATTTATTACACTTGTGCACGGTGAAAACGTCGATGTAGATGAACCACTTCATCTGAAAAAGAAAAATTGGTACAGTAGAATTTCATGCATGTGGTGGTTTAGCTTGTCAGAATTTCACCTGCCGAAAAAAATATCTGTGCAAATAAATCAGATGAACCAAGAGATTGCGAAAATGCAGCAGTGTACTGCAAAATAAATATACAATATAAATATTCTGCATATATTTTGCAGTTCAATATTGCATTTTCCCACCATTTGGTTCATAGATCAAGTGACAAAAGCAAAAGGGAGAAAAAGTAACAGTTAAAAATCTATATTTATTAAAGGACCACTCTAGGCACCCAGACCACTTCAGCTTAATGAAGTGGTCTGGGTGCCTGGTCCAGCTAGGGTATTTACCCATTTTTTTTTAATAAACATATGTTTATAAATGGGTTAATCCAGCCTCTAAAGCCTCTAGTGGCTGTCTCATTGACAGCCGCTAGAGGCGTTTGCGTGCTTCTCACTGTGAAAATCACAGTGAGAAGAGGCAAGCGTCCATAGGAAAGCATTGTAAATGCTTTCCTATGACACTGGCTGAATGCGCGCGCAGCTCCTGCCGCACATGCGCATTCAGCCGAAGAGGAGGAGAGCTCCCCGCCCGGCGCTGGAGAAAGGTGAATGTTTAACCCCTTCCTCTCCCCAGTGCCGGATCCAGAGCCTGATTTCAGGAGGGGCACTTGTAGATTATTTAAAGAAATAATCCAGATACAATAACCACTACAGCTCAGTGTAGTGGTTATGGTGTCAATAGTGCCGGGACCCCCTCCCAAAGTAAGTAGTCAAACAACTTACCTGAGGTCTGCTGGGAAATGGGGCAGTAGTAGGGCATAGGAGCAGTGGTGTGTGAGTGATGCAATGTGTAAGGGGTGCAGTGTATGTGTGTGAAGGGGACAGTGTGTGTGTGTGTGAAGGGGACAGTGTGTGAGCAGTGTGTGTGTGTGAAGGTTGTAGTGTGTGTGAGGGCGGCAGTGTATGTCAGGGATGCAGTGTGTGTGTGTGTGTGAGTATTGCAGTGTATGTGTTAGTGTGGGCAATGTGTGTGTGTATGGGGGCAGGGCAGCGTGTGTGTATGGGGGCAAGGCAGCATCTGTGTATGGAGAGCAGTATGTGTGTATGGGGAGCAGTATGTGTATGGGGGGAGCAGTGTGTGTGTATGGGGAGCAGTATGTGTATGGGGGGCAGTGTATGTGTGTAGAGTGTGTGTGATAAGGGTAGGGGGGCTTTTTTTATAATATATATATATATATATATATATATATTTTAATTTAATTAAAATATATATTCTATGTCCCCCCTCCCTTCTTACCTTTACTAGGGGGAAGGGGGGACGTTTCCCTGGTGGTTCAGTGGTGATTCCCTGGTGGTCCCAGTGGGGAGAGTTCACTCTCGCGAGATTTGGAGCGTTGGCGTGGTAAGCGTAGCAACGCTCCAAATCTCGCGAGAGGAGGACCCCGGAGGAGCTGCAGGCTGAGCTCCCGGATCCTCTCTCTGTGATCTCCCCTCCAGTCTGCAGGCACATTGCCGGGCTAGCACCTGCATGTGCTGGCAGGGGAGAGGGAGACCGTCGGAATTCTCGGGGGGGGGGGGCCAATTGCCCCATTGCCCCCCGTATCCGCCATTGCCTCTCCCCAGAGCCCGGTGGGAGGGGGTCCCTGAGGGTGTGGGCACCCTCAGGGCACTATAGTGCCAGGAAAACGAGTATGTTTTCCTGGCACTATAGTGGTCCTTTAATTATAGAATATTTCAAAATGGGTTTTATTTAAAAATAAAATTACTGCCCCTCCTTTTTTCCCTTGATTGGTCATTTTTTACTTGATCTGTGAATAAAACCTTCACTTGGTACTGTATCTCATGAAAGATATAGATACCTTAGACAGAGTTCAGAGAAGGGCTACTAAACTGGTTCATGGATTGCGGGATAAAACTTACAAGGAAAGATTAAAGGATCTTAACATGTGTAGCTTGGAGGAAAGAAGAGACAGGGGGATATGGTAGAAACATTTAAATACATAAAGGGAATCAACACAGTAATGGAGGAGACTATATTTAAAAGAATAAAAAGTATGCGTCGGATAGACATAAGGCTATCCCAGCTAAAGGATAATGCCAGGGACTAATAAATGTATTTAGAAAATTGGGCAGACTAGATGGGCCGAATGGTTCTTATCTGCCGTCACATTCTATGTTTCTATGATAGCTGTCCCTTTGCTGTCAATCATCTTTTTCTTTTTTTTCAATTAATCGGTACTCAGAATCATGAATCAAACGAACATACTCATCTATTGCAGTCATTTGTTTTGTGCATAGTATATATGGAGGTTAAGAGAGCAGGAATTTGTTTTAAAAGGTTTTTATTTTTAAGTACATAAAATGAGCCCTCATACAGCCAATTGAGATATAAAATATTCGGTTGCTTACACAGAGGCATATTTAGGCATCTTGATATAGTACTGAGATACTCCAAGAAGCAGCTTTCACAGAGATTCCAAATTACATATGCTATCATAAGTATAGATATAACAAAAGGTGAAGCGCTACATACAGATCGAAATCCAATTCTTTAGTTGTCACTCTTGTAAAACAATGGTGTGTAAATTTATTTCTGAAAGAGAAATTAAATATTCATAGTGCAACACTGTAAATTAAAATTATTACAATCGTAGCTCTATATAACGAACCACTCACATATTACTGAGCTTACAGCCAAGCTCAGGGGTATATGCCTTCAGGTCCGTCAAGGCGACCTTTCCCCTTCTTGTATCCAAAAAGCGACACCCACGTTGTGGCTAGAGCTCAAGCAGAAGTATATATAGTGCAATATAGTCTGAAATCCGTATGGATATAAACAATATGTGTATATATACTCACAAATATGGAGCCTCTCTCATAGGCTCTTTTCCAGCGCGTTGTGTAGTTAAGGACTACACACCTATATAGCAGGAACCAATAGCCCAATAAAATTAATTCAAATATTTATTGAGGTTTACTGAATTTAAAATTCTAATGGCCAATTAGAATGCATAAAAACAAAGTATATATAAAAGAAATAGTTGTAACAATAATATTAATTGTATAATAACAATGGGCATAAAGGTGATGATATTAAAGTCCCCAGAACGCGTTTCGCCAAAATACTATTGGCTTCATCAGTTAGGTCAATATAATCCTCCTTCTATCTGGAGTCCTGCTATTATACCTTATCCTTGATTTTGAGCACGGCGTTCAGCTGTCTTTTGGCGCGCTGGTATTACCTCCTCTTCTCGTCCGGTATTGCATGCGTTCCAAGCCTCCTTCTCGTTGCGGTTCACTTCCGCGTGTGACGTCATACGTCAATCCTGCGTTCTCCCTTCACTCGACCTTTCCCAAGAAGGGGAAAGGTCGCCTTGACGGACCTGAAGGCATATACCCCTGAGCTTGGCTGTAAGCTCAGTAATATGTGAGTGGTTCCTTATATAGAGCTACGATTGTAATAATTTTAATTTACAGTGTTGCACTATGAATATTTAATTTCTCTTTCAGAAATAAATTTACACACCATTGTTTTACAAGAGTGACAACTAAAGAATTGGATTTCGATCTGTATGTAGCGCTTCACCTTTTGTTATATGTATATGTTTGTGATTAGTGTATAAGGAAAGATTACACATGGTGATACAGCAGCTATTATATGAATATTGTTATATAATGTGTGATAATTAGGTTTTGTATAGAGCGCCAGTATATTACTATTTTCTATTTGTATCATAAGTATAGAGCCACAGGCTACACAGTGCAAGGTGAAGAATAAATTATATTTAATTATGGTCCAAATGTCAAAAGAAAGATCATCCATGATTAGGGCCTCGCGGCCGAAACTTATTTTGTTTTGTCACCTGGACCATATTTAAATATACTTTATTCTTCGCCCTGCATGGTGTAGCTTGTGGCTCTATACTTCTGGATTTATATTGGGGTTAGAGGACCTCCCGCACAGAACTCCAGTTTATCAAGACACTAGTGTGCAGTACTCCACTACTTGGTTATATATCATAAGGAAGGCATAGAAAAATATGATATGCATCTTGCTAAAAACAATCATCAACAAATCAAGACATCTGTCTATACTTGGGTTCCAGTAAATTAGATATACAGCGGTGTCTGTCATTCATAGTATAGCTTGATAGAAAATAGTGATATAAATTTGGCAACTTTGCAAAAATGTAACCCATATTCAAACTACATTATCTTGGGGTTGTTAATATATGTGCAATACCGCTACACCATGCAAGCTAGTATGTAAATACAATGTGTGTATCAGAAGTGTTCACCAACATGGCGGCAGAAGCCAGGGACGCCACAGTGGGAAAAAAAGGGGTTTAAACTAAATTAAAGTGAGCTGCAACCTCACTGAGTGCCACCGCCATTGATAGTATAAAAATGAAAGCAAGCACCCTGTGCTGTTGTAGAATAGATACAAAGTGTCGACTTAAAGGACCAATATAGTGCCAGGAAAACAAACTCGTTTCCTGGCACTGTAGGGTATTAGGGTCCCCCCCACCGTCAAGGCCCCCCTCCCGCTGGGCTGAAGGGGTTAAAACCGCTTCAGCCACTTACCTTAATCCAGCACCGGGCTCCCTCAGCGCTGGTGACCTCTCCTCCTGCCAACATCAAACTGCCCATAGGAAAGCATTACTCAATCCTTTCCTATGGACGTCCAGCGTCTTCTCACTGTGATTTTCACAGTGAGAATCGCGGAAGCGGCCTCTAGTGGCTGTCACTGAGACAGCCACTAGAGGCTGGATTAATCCTCAGTGTAAACATGTTTTCAGCTGCAGGGTTAAAACTAGACGGACCTGGCACCCAGACCACTTCATTGAGCTGAAGTGGTCTGGGTGTCTATAGTGGTCCTTTAACTTGTGTTGAAAATGAAAACGAACTCAGTCAATTAACATACTAAGCTGACATACCTGATAAATAAATGTGGAAGTAATAACTTGTCAAACTCATGTATGTCTGAGCTGTCTTGTATATATGAAAGTATAGACATGAGGGAGAGTAAGCTGGTTTTATATTTTTTTGCATCTCTGTTGAAGGATATGTTGTTGCCCACTAGAGAGTAATGGGTCGTGGCCTCAAGGGCATATAGAGGTAAAGAAAAGTTCAGCCAACACCCAGCAGATAAGGGACATTGCCCCAGTAGTGTTGATTTATATATATTTCTTAATTTCTCATACTTTTTATATTTCATTCATATTAGATTATGCTTGATATCTAAATATTTGATGTGGAATGAAGGCCCTGTTTCTCCTGAACAAAATTATATATTATAAGTGTGGGTGCATTTAAAATGAAAGAGGTGAATTATGGTTGTTCAAACATATAGCGCAAATTTCAGGTTTTGTTTACAATTTGTTTTGATCAGAACTTGTACAATTGGCTCTGTCCTTAAACAGTTAACTCAAGTGTAACATTTTCCTAATGAGATTATTTCTAGAGAGAGTATAAAACAAGGATCCAAGCCATAACAACATGTAACACTTTATATTTTGTTTGACTACAAGGCTGCTGTTGTGTACAAACCTGCTTAATGGGACACTCCAGGCACCCAGACCACGTCTGCCCATTGGAGTGGTCTGGGTGCCAACTCCCACCACCCTTAACCCTGCAAGTGTAATTATTGCAGTTTTTCTGATAGTAGTAAACTACATTGTTTCTTCAAGACATTAATCACACAATAATTCTGTTTAGTTCTACTGTATCCCGTACATTGAAAAGCTGGTAAACATAGAAACATAGAATGTGACGGCAGATAAGAACCATTCAGTCCATCTAGTCTGCCCAATTTCTAAATACTTTCATTAGTCCCTGGCCTTATCTTATAGTTAGGATAGCCTTATGCCTATCCCACGCATGCTTAAACTCCTTCACTGTGTTAACCTCTACCACTTCAGCTGGAAAGCTATTCCATGCATCCACTACCCTCTCAGTAAAGTAATATTTCCTGATATTATTTTTAAACCTTTGCTCCTCTAATTTAGACTATGACCTCTTGTTGTGGTAGTTTTTCTTTTTTTAAATAAAGTCTCCTCCTTTACTGTGTTGATTCCCTTTATGTATTTAAATGTTTCTATCATATCCCCCCTGTCTCGTCTTTCCTCCAGGCTAAACATGTTAAAGGAACACTATAGTCACCTAAATTACTTTAGCTAAATAAAGTAGTTTTAGTGTTTAGATCATTCCCCTGCAATTTCACTGCTCAATTCACTGTCATTTAGGAGTTAAATCACTTTGTTTCTGTTTATGCAGCCCTAGCCACACCTCCCCTGGCTATGATTGACAGAGCCTGCATGAAAAAAAAACTGGTTTCACTTTCAAACAGATGTAATTTACCTTAAATAATTGTGTCTCAATCTCTAAATTGAACTTTAATCACATACAGGAGGCTCTTGCAGGGTCTAGCAAGCTATTAACATAGCAGGGGATAAGAAAATCTTAATTAAACAGAACTTGCAATAAAGAAAGCCTAAATAGGGCTCTCTTTACAGGAAGTGTTTATGGAAGGCTGTGCAAGTCACATGCAGGGAGGTGTGACTAGGGTTCATAAACAAAGGGATTTAACTCCTAAATGGCAGAGGATTGAGCAGTGAGGCTGCAGGGGCATGTTCTATACACCAAAACTGCTTCATTAAGCTAAAGTTGTTCAGGTGACTATAGTGTCCCTTTAAGATCCTTTGCTGGGGAGGTACATTATTCTCATTATTAGTAGTTTGTTTTATTTTGATATATTTTTTATAATTATTTTATCTGGATTTGAATATGTCTGTTTTATCTCTATTATATAGATGCTCCTGTTGGTTCTGTTGGACTCAGGAAGGGAGGAGGTTATGTTGTTGCCATGGGTACAACTTTCTGTGCTCTAAACTGGGAAGACAAAAAAGTAACCACCCTTGCTCGTGTTGATGAGGACAAGCCCAACAACCGCTTTAATGATGGCAAGGTTGATCCAAAAGGACGATTCTTTGCAGGTACTGCATTTTTTCTGATTGTTGTCTTCTTATCATGTGATATAGTGCCAACGGGAAGCATACAAAGAGCTTAGCGTGTTTCACAACTGAAGTGGAAAACTAATAAAAGGGGAACACTAATAAGATCTCATAATTTATTACTTACAAATATATATATACCACCAATTGTTCCCCAGCAGTCGCTGAAGGTTAAAAAAGGCTGTGGGCATACACAGGAGCGCTTCGTTCACAATATGCAGTGATGAGTCTCAGTATACAATCCAAAGTACCACTCTGAACTGCATATTGCACTGCATATTGTGGACTAAGTGCTTGTGTGGTTATTCTTACTGTGTGTGGAGCCAGGTATTCTTTTTACCTTTATCGACTACTGGAGTATGATTGGCAGTGTATATTTTTGTTTTTATCTATGTAATGAATTATGAGATCTTATTAGAGTTCCCATATTTATTTGTTTTCCTGTTTGGGTACCTTACTGTGGTAGCTACTAAGGTATTGTCACTCACTGATACATGTTTTAGTGTTATTTGTAAGTCCTATAATTATATATGCTAAGGAAGCCTGGATGTGTCTTATGAGGTTTGGGTGGGCCCAGGGTAACTAAGAGACACACAGAGGGGCTGTGTGCCTTTGTCCCCCTAGTCCTCCTGTGTGTCTCTTTGTCATCCCCGTAGCCCCTCTGTGTGTGTCTCTTTGTTGTCATCCCCCCCAGCCCTTCTGTGTGTCTTTATCCTCCCAGCCCCTCCATGTGTTGCTTTGTCCCCTCAGATCCTCGGTGTGTCACTTGGTTCCCACCAGCCCTCTGTGTCTCTCTTTGTCTGGTCTCACCCAGGCTGCAAAACAATGTAGCACTGACCCTGTCTTGCCATTTTCTCTTTCATAATATTATCAACTTTCATTCCAGAGTGTAATCCCAACTAATCTCAGGCAGACTGACACATTTATGTACCAGTGCTGTTTTAAGATTAAAGGAAGAGTAACATTAGCACATGGCCCTAAAAGTAATGTAATATGAAAGATAGATAAATAATTGTGAAGTGTGCATTATGGTGAAACACTCCATCTTTGTTCTTATGGACTATTTTCTCCAGAAAATTACATTTCCATTATGTTATTCCCCAAAGTTATATTTATGAATCATTTCTATATACTTTAGATTGAGACTGTTTATTATTTTCTCATTTGTAACATTATATACGGTAATGATATGCCCTTGACTTGTCTTTGTACTAATCAGGTACCATGTCCCAGGAAATCCGCCCAGCAGTCGTGGAGAGGAACCAGGGCTCACTATACACTCTCTATCCTGACCATACAGTGCTCAAGCACTTCGACCTAGTGGACATTTCCAATGGTATAGATTGGTCCCTAGATCACAAAACCCTCTATTACATAGACAGCCTCTCCTATACTGTTGATGCATTGGACTATGATGTGAATACAGGAAAAACTTGTAAGTACTCCTTTAATGATTATATAAACTTTCCACATGCCCTTCTTTGCTTCAAGCACACTGACCTATGACAACATATATAACCTGTATCTGTGAAAGAATCTGCAGGAGTGCCCATCGATTTTTTTTTTTTACATTTGGATACTATTTATATGGTTGTGATCTTGAGTGTATTGCTTCTGGTATATTGTGGCCACCCAGACGAACACTTAGAATACTGTGGTGGATATAGCTGTTCGGTTCCTGAACCAAATATAAAATCCTACCAACCAAGTCTGTTCACATAGTTTTTTTTAAAGGGCCCATAGTCTTTTGGTAAGAGGCTGACCAGCAGTCATGTCGAGACTCAGTTCGTCACAGAGGGTATTTAAAAATCCTTAACATAATAGATTAAAAGCTTTTATGATCTGCTAATTAACATGTTGTTCCTCAAGTTGTTAGGCTGACTGCCGTTTCATAAAAGGAAATTGAATATAGCATATCTATAAACAATATCAGGGCTCCACAATCACCATATAGTTACCAATTTCATAGAGGTTGAATCTCATGAATGACAGAGATAGGAAAAACAGCAATACAAATTTTTTAGAGTGATCAATAAAAACAATAATAATTAAACACACTCTCATTAAGAAATAGGCACGTTAAAATCAATGTGCAACAATCACAATATTGCAGTGATTGCCTAAATAGGCTTTGACTGCAGTATTTTCATACCTCCAAACTGTCTCAGATTCGGTAGGACTGTCCCACATTTGGGAACCTGTCGTGCTGTCCCAGTTTGCTGATATCTGTATTTGGGGACACTAGATAAATATATTGCGAGCATGTCTAATTATGAATAAGGCATTGAGGTCATGCTGAAAGAGCTTCAACAGTGCAGTGAGCATGGGCAGCCATGAGTGAGGCTGACAAGAAAGATTGTCAGTCAGTCAGTCGGCCGCCATGTTACCAAGTGAGCTCAGTCGTTGTCACCAATCACCTTTCTGCCTCACTCATGCTCTAGGAACCATAAGTGAATACTAATGTTAAATGAATATATTTTCAATGCTGTTTAGCAAATAACCAGTGCACCCCCTTTTTATATAACCTGTTACAATATGTCATTAAGTCTCACAGGAAGAAAAGTGCTATAAAAACATAAATATTTAGTGTGGCACACTAAGCACCATAAACACTATAGCTCAATGTAGCGATTAACACTATCCCACGTTTGGTTGTTTTTTTTCTCAAGCTGTTGGGCACTGGTGTGAATAAAACCTGGGCATCCTCCGGCAACCATAGCCTGCTCTTGAATTTACACTTCCATATTACCAATACCAATTTCATCCAACTTAGATGACGATGATTGGCTGAGAGTGATGGCAGTGGAATAATCCTCATCCAAACAGCATATCTCTTTTGTAATTTTGTGAAACTTCTTTTACAATATTCACAATGTTTGTTCTTTTCTCCAGCAAACCGCCGACACCTCTATCGGTTAGAAAAGGATGAAGGGATACCAGATGGGATGTGCATTGATGCCGAAGGAAAACTTTGGGTAGCCTGTTATAGTGGAGGAAGGGTGATCCGTATCGACCCTCAGACAGGTAAGCTTTGCCTCGTAAATCTTTTGTTTTTCAACTATTTGTACATTTGCATGCTAAAGACAAAAAAACACTCATTTAGATGCAATTTTTCTCTTTGGATAAAATAACCAGTTATTGTTTGCATAGGGATATACATGACTATCCTCAAACAAAGACCTTTATTTAATATTGCTGGATAAGCTTTACAAATAGTTTAATATTTGTGGATAAACTTTTAAAATGATTTAATATTACAAAAAATATTTAATATTTTTGGTTATGTTATTTTTTTTTATCAATAATATATGTGTAGATATTTTTAATATGTTGAAAAAAAAATAATTTAAAACGTTTTTCCAAAAATATTAACTGATTTGGAAAGCAACAATTACGGTATAAATAGAGGCCTGGGTTTTAAAAAATTGCGTCATTTGGTTGGCAGAAAAAAAAATTCCATTGTATAACTGTGGCCTTGATTAAGTATTGTTGGATAAGCTTTCAAAATGATTTGGTATTTTCGGATAAATGTTTGTTTATTTATTTTTTGTTTTTAAATTTTTGTTGTGCCTATGCAGGTCTCAAAAATAGACAGCATTATTATTCATATATGTATAGCTTGTGATAACTAAAAGCATGTTCAACACACGTTGAGACGATAGCATATAATAAACAGGCAGACTTTTGTCAGACATGTATGTGTCAAAGATTAAGATACAAAGCTATAATTATAGGTCGCTTGCATGCTGCTGTAATGATTAATATAAAAAAAAAAAAACTCCACTGTACTTTTAGAATGAAAAAATAAAAAATAATGATTCTCCGCATTTGATAAAATATCTGCACGTCCAGAAAGCAATTGTTATCTCTTAGGTCGCGCTATCTAGTTACAGTTTTCCTAGTGATATGTGAAATGCAGCAAAAAGATTATAATATAATAGTTAAAGAATTGGGCTGAGGGAGCTTTTTGCATAGAGCCAAGTCTGGGGGTATAGCCAGTGAGCAAGCCATGTACTGCAAGTCTAAGCTCACGGGAACTAATGGAAGTTCTATGCTAAAGCTTCTAGCTATCTTGGAGACCAGCAAACGACAGACTGTAAGTTGTCAGACAGTTTACACTTTAATTATACTCTTGCAAGTGTCAGTGTGGTCTCCACTGCATTGGGGGAAGGTAAAGCATGTCTACAAAACAACTTATTGTGGGTAGTTGTCTTGGTCCTGACAAATGATGTGCCTGGTGCCACCAAGTTAGAACTACATACCGAGGTTTCTTTAATATAATTTCCTACATTATAAAACATCAGCATATCCTATTATTGCAATACATGTAATTTTACTCTATTCCAGGAAAGCGAATTCAAACTGTGAAACTACCAGTGGACAAAACCACATCCTGCTGCTTTGGAGGAGAGAATTACTCGGAAATGTACGTGACTTCAGCCTGTGATGGGATGGATGAGGAATTAAGCAAACGCCAACCCCAGTCAGGAGGCATATATAAGGTACATTTCTATTTTTATTGTAAAATCTGAATGCCAGTATAAATATATTGAAGTTTTCAGTACATGTTGCAGTGAATATGGTGGTGTATTTTATTTTGTAGTGTTTTCCTCCATGCTGTATCTGAAAGAGTTTCCTTTAAATAACCTGAGATGGCAATTCTGGATATCTTTTAATCTATTAGTTATTTGTTGGCCTATATGCATTCTAGAATTCTTAGCTGTGACAACATTCAGCTAGAATATTAAAGCTATACAGGTATTTCCATATAATGACACTTATTGACACATTATATGAGGACAAGGCCGCCATCAGTGGGTACAGCCAATACAGCTGTAAGGGGCCTGGGTCCTATATTCCTAATGTGTACATATTGACGTACACACTACGGCACGTCTTCACATGTATAGTGAAGAGGGGGCCCAGGAGACTTCAGATTTCACCTCCAGCAGAGCTCCAGCTGTCAGTGTTGTCGCAGATTACCATGGCACTGCTCTGATGCAGCATACATGATGCAGGGGCTTGCGAGAAAGGATGAGGCTACCCTAATAGGTGTCTAAAACGTGCATACCAGAGAGCACTTGACTCAGATCGTACCATGCTACTGAGTGGGGACACCCATAAATCAATAAAGACCCCCAAGCAGAGTATACGCCTAATTGCAACTTATGATGCAGGATGGGAAAATATTAAAAGTTCCCTTAGACGCTTCTGGCCACTGCTAACCAACGATCAGCACCTTAAAGAAGTATTGGCTCCTAATGTTTCCATCACAGCTAGGAGAGGCAAAAACTTACGAGACCTCTTAGCTCCAAGTCATTTCAAAATTGAAACTCCATCCCCTACAACATGGCTCCAGACCCGCCTGACCGGTACTTACAAATGCGGGAGATGTATCTCATGTAAATTTATGCAAAAAGATTCCAAAACAGTCAAAGATAGTTTGGAGAAAGAGGTTTTTACGTTAACCTCCTTCTTCAACTGTAATACATCAGGGATTGTATATTTACTTACGTGCGAATGCAACAAAAAATATGTGGGCAAAACATTCCGCCCCTTTAAGAAACGCATACAAGAACATATTAGATCCAGTAAATATTCAGTTGAGACTCCCATTTCCAGGCACCTTCGTGAATACCATAACAGCGACCCTAAAGGGTTACGCTTTTGTGGTTTAGAACTGGTCAAAAAGAATCCCAGACGAGGCGACTATGATAGATTCCTTAGGCAAAGAGAGTGCTTCTGGATCTATCGATTGAAGACTCTGAGCCCTAACGGTCTGAACGAGGGTTTCTCCTTTTCTCCCTTCTTATAACTATTACATAGATTAACATACATTTCTGCCTGTCCTAAGGTGTGTGCTTTAATTAAAAATGTCTCAAATAATGATTTAATATAGTCTTTAATACTATTTCCAATTTCCCACTGGTTTAATTCAATTCTTTATATTTATTTTTATTTTTCTTTCTATCACTTTAATGACTTTTAGGCAGTCCTGTTGTATGACAACATTGAGAGCAGAATTTTTCTTTTTCTTTTTTACAACTGCAATTATATTATACATTTTATAATTTCCACAGGATGCCTTGTTTCTTGTCTTTTGAGATTGCACCGTTCTCAAGACTTGCCCTCTGAATATATTATATCGTGATACTAAATTTTCACGCTGTTTTCTAACCGGCAGATATGCCGGATCGAAAACACTCTTCAGCTCCTCCCCCTCCCGTGACGTAACTTCAGCCGTTCGGCCATGACGTCACGGGAGAGGCGGGCACTTGCCCTTTATAAACTTCAGGGAGTGAGAGGATCTCCTTATTACTTTTGAAAAAGGCACCACACAGCGCCGAAACGCGCGTCAAGTTTAAAGTTATTTAGAATCTTAGCCTAGTCAGCTGTACTCTTTACGTTTATGTACGAAGTTAGATTTAGATCTAGGCGGATCTCCTCTTCTACCATCTAGAGCTAGAAGCTCAGTATAGCGCCTAGTCAGTTTACCCTTTACCTTTATGCATTAAGTTGGATTTAGATCTAGGCGTTTTTTCTTCCTTTTTTCTTCTTTCTTCTTTTTTATTACATTTAGTCAGAATAATGATTGACTAGCCTAGTTTAGTCAGCCATCTTTCACTTTGCCGTCTGACTTTAGATTTAGGTGTACACTTTGAGTGAGTAGCTCAATATATCTAGATTTTCTCTGCATATTTGTTACCCATATGGTTACTATTTTTTATTTCTTTTTTATTTATTTTTCGTTTTGGGCAGCATGGGGCTGGGTATTTGGGGATGAGTTGCCTGTCGGCTGAGAACTATGGTTACATACCTGATAATAGTTTGCTACAAACTAGTAACATATCTCTAATACTGCACTTTTTGATCTATATCTGCAAGCAGCCCATTAACTTTTGAACCATGGGGCTGACTTCTATATAGATGATCTGAGGTATCTGGGTATCACCATATACAAGAGGAATCCCTGTTTGATTGTATTTCTCTCTACTTAAAACATATATTTCTGGTTCCAGTCTACCTCACTGTTAGTAGTCAGCAGTTTTCCCGCTCGATTTTTCTACCATTCCACTAACGGATTTATATGCTTGCTACAAACTCCATGGAATTACACCCCATCTATTCGGTGTTATCCCCACAATAGGAGTTTGATTACACTTTGTGCAGATATTTCCTGCTCACTAAGGAGCCTTTAGAAATATGTTACACTATAGATACATGTTACTTTGAATACATAAGCTCACACTTACCTATTGGCTTATAGTATCGTTTTTTCTCTCTACTTAGAACATATATTTCTGGTTCCAGTCTACCTTACTGTTAGTAGTCAGCAGTTTTCCCGCTCGATTTTTCTACCATTCCACTAACGGATTTATATGCTTGCTACAAACTCCAGGGAATTACACCCCATCTATTCGGTATTATCCCCATAATAGGAGTTTGATCACACTTTGTGCAGATATTTCCTGCTCACTAAGGAGCCTTTAGAAATAAGTTACATTATAGATACTCTGGTATAACATGTTACTTTGAATACATAAACTTACCTATTGGCTTATAGTATCGCCTTAGAGCGATTCATATCTGCCTGGCTGCCTCCTTTCTGTACCATTATAATCTCACGAATTATGGTCCATCCCCTCATCCCGGACCCCATGCATTGTATTTTACCTAATCTCATTTTTCAATAAAGTATTTTTTATTTCTATTTTTCATTCATTCTTTATTTTATTTACCTTTGCTTAACCAGGGGATGTTATATATACCCTCTTAGTGGGCATACCCTTAGTTGAGTGTATTGTGAGAGATAGACGTTGGTTCTTCCCTCCATACACCCTTATCTTTGGGTACTTCTCTATTGATGAGGACATTCCACCTGCTGGAGGTGGAAGCTGGTGTATCCTGGGCCCTGTGTTTACTCTATAAGGCCGCTGGCAGCTTGTACAATGCCACCATACCACCATGGAGTGTAATGTCACCCCTCCCTGGCCACAGGGGTGTTATGAACGCTGGTATCCCGAATACCCGTTCTTCCAGACACTCCCAAATCGGCTAGGGACTTTGTGGTTATAGCCCTGTTCGCCTGGAGCGCTGAGTCGACATAGCAATCGCATACCCAAACATCAGTCGTAACTAGATGAAGGGCACAAAAGGAATGTTTTATTCGGGCCAAAGGGCCGGCTTTTATGCAAGTCTGAATACATAACACATACCCACAGAAACTCCCACAACACTCATGAACAGCTTGAGTTATCGTGACTCAGCAGAAATATGAAAATATGAAATAATGCATAATAAACATGTTCAAACCCCAACATATTTTACATGACCTGATAGCGGAAACACCACTGTGGCAACGATTCAACCGACCGCGCATGAGGTGTATGCCTACAATACTTCCATAACGTTGCGGTCGGTCAGTTCGAATGGTCGGCAAATCGACCCAAAAAGGGTTTCTGTTCCCGGGGTTCAAATGTAGCAATGGCTCAACTGGGTGCTAAGAGTCTCCATGCCAGGGCCGGACTGGGAGAAAAATTCGGCCCGGGCATTTTTTTAACACAGCGGCCCACTAAAAAGGGGGCGGGGCAGAGGAGGTGTGTTTTGTCATCACCAATGACAAACACGCCTCCTCTCAAAGTGAGCATGTTGGTTCAATGCTCTTCCAGGGCAGACCATGCGCAGAGCTCTGCTGAAGAGCTCTAGCATGAGAAAAAAGTCCTGTATTTGTTCTGCACAGTGCAAGCAAATTTAATAACATGCTTGCACTGTGTTTCCTTGCAACTTGTCTCTGGTGTCTTTATAAATGGATACCAGAAGACAAAAGGCCAGGAAAGAGTATTGTGCATGTGTTTGGAGCCTGCTTGTGGTATTGCGTGTGTGTAGAGTGAGCTGGTCGTGGTGTGGTATTGTGTAATAAGGTCGGTTTTAGTCGTGTTGTGTTTGTGGTGTAATGTGATGCATATGTGGCTCAGGGACCCCCTCCCGCCCGGCTCTGGAAAGGGGTTAAAACTTCCCTTTTTCCAGCGCTGGGACTGGGAGGGGGGAAGGCGGGGTACCCTGGTGGTCCTCGTGTGTGAGTGAACTCTAGCCTGTGAGGCTAGAGTTCACTCTCGCGAGATCCGGTCGTTGCCATGGCAACGCGCCAGATCTCGCGAGAGGAACCCGGTGGAGCTGCAAGTTAGAGCTCCGCCGGGTCCTCTCTCCAGCCTGGCTGGCTGGATCCCTCCCCGCCGGTGGCCGCATGTGGGCCGGTCAGGGAGATCCTTGATCTCCCCACCGGCCCGTTGTGGCAAACAGCGGGGCCGGCGCTAGGAGAGTGCCGGCCCTGCATAGACCGGCAGGGGAGATCCTGGGACCTCCCCTGCCGGCCTCGACCCCACGGACACCGCGGCCCACCGGGCATTTGCCCGGTTTGCCCGATGGCCAGTCCGGGCCTGCTCCACGCCAAATAGCACTCTCCTGGCAATATGGGAAAGAAGAGCAAAGGTCCATGGAAGATGCCCCGGGGAATCGCGCGGTCGAGTGTCTGATCTAGAAAACCAGACACTCGATGACCAAGTCCCGCTGTTATTATCCTAGTGACAAGATGGCCGCCATTTTCTCTGGCACATGGCGAACAAGTATACGAATGGCTGCCACCGAACAGGGCACTTAAATACTTTGCTCCCATCTGAATAATTGGGCCAAAAGGGACAAATGTATTTGGTATCAAAGTCCAGATACAGGGTTTTGTCACAGTGGGGGGTGGGGGGAATAAACATGAATTTAAAAACAAACAAAAAAAACACAAAAACTAATCACTACCTACAGAACACCCTATCCTACCTCACAAATTTACACACACTGTATCCACTACACAACCACACACCCTGCATCAACTGGACAAACACACACTAAATCTACTACACACACACTCTACATCCACTACACAAACATACATTCTGCATCAACTATACACACACTGCATCCGTTACACATAAACATACTGCATCACTTACACACACGTACTGCATCTTTGTGGGCGGACTCAGGTGTGCATCCTAAGGACAGACTCCTGTGGACGAGGACCCAGGCCTTGAGCTTTTTAAGAGGCCCCAACATTTCTGACTGTATCATGTTAGTGCTGATTTAAACATTATCTCTCTATGTGTTAAGAATGAATAAACATTTTATTTTATTTATTTTTTTATTGCAGATTACTGGCCTTGGAGTTAAAGGAATACCACCCAATGAATTTGCAGGTTAAATAAGGAAATAGCTGTTTTTAACAAGAAACAAACAAAATTTCCAAAGATCCTGGATTTTATATTACATATATTGTTTTACTCCTCACCATTGATTCTGATTTATCATCTCATGTGATGCCTGCAAACATATAACATTAAGTTGAACACAATGTATGATATGGAGGAAGAAGAAATAAAACAAATAGCCTGTTATGATTGTGGTTTTAAATTGTAAATATTGTGAACAGGAGGATCCATAGTCTTAAGAGGGGCACGTGAAGGTTTATTAATAACACTGTGGAGGTTCAAAGTGACTTATAATGCACATTACTGATTGTTGTATTGCTATGGGTCTGTGCATTGTCAATGAGAGCATAATAGAGTTCCATGGCAATCACCGTCTCACCACACAGATTACTGGACCACTAAACACTTATGGGTAGACATGGTGGCAAATAAAATGGTTGGTAATTAAAGGACACAGTATAACTCAAGGCACCCTCTTATTTCCCTCAATCCCTGTTCTTCTTCACAGTGTCCCCTTCTTATTTCCTGCTGTGAAATGTGGGCACAGCGGTACTGCAGGGAAAAAAACTGAGGGTGTGGGAGAAGGAACCCTATGCTTTCTATCGTTTTCATTTATTTATTTTTGGTTGTAACGTTACATAAGCCAAAAAGATAAACTTGCAATAGAGATGCTACAGCACCGAGCGAACCCAATAGTAACATCATGTGTGCAAGTAGTGGGGATTTGTGTATTATGTAACAAAAAACATAATTGGTAAAAAAAAAAAAATAGGCCACAGCTTTTATTAAAATTATTTCACCAATCACTATTACCAATATTAACTTTGTATCAAATATATAATATCTTATTAACCTTGAACATAAATACAATATAACTTAAAACATACTACAGAAATCCTTGCCAACCAATTAGCAACCCATCCTTGCCAACCAGAGGGAAGGAAATGGACCCTTTTTATTCCCCCCCCCCCTTGCCAATTACCCACCATTGACCACTCCCAGCCCCACCCCATTACTCTCTCCTACACACACCCCACACTTGCATATACCCCTTGATCCAGCTAGCTCTGCCTCAGGTTCTTGAATATAATTCAACAAATACAAAAATGAAAAAGGTTTAGGTGCTACGATTACCTTGTGTAGGCTACCCAACCACACACAAAACACAGTGACTAAAACTGGTTAAAAATAGTAGTGAGAGCACACGTGATAAGTATATGTATAAAAATACATATAATAGTAACCATATAAAATTGCAGTGAAAACACACTCAAAGAGTGTAAGTATAAAACACACACATGCAATTTTTACCATAGATTTGATAACCTAGAATATAAACAGATAATAGACCATTGTGTAATCTGTATACAATGATATAAAAACATATAAACACAAAAGGGTACCACTCACATATTGCTGTGCCACTTAATAGTAGGCTCAGACTTTCAACGCCTTTGATGTTAAATGTTGCTGAGATCAGGTACTTAGGATTCCCACAGGATACTGAATTTTCAACACTTGATTTGTGAAAACAAATAAAGGTTAACAGAAAGTAACTAGGAAAATGTATTAAATAAAAATTGTATAAAAGCTTAACGATCTCCACTATACAACAGCACTAATGCGTTTCAACAATAAATGTCCTTCTATAAGTGCTCGATCACTTATATAATTTCTCAAGAGTTGAGCTATTCTGATGTCTTAGGTTCCTTTTCTCTATGTACATATATGAGTTTTAATGGTTTGATTCTGTCTAGAAAGTGTGTATGTGTGTCTGTCCACACACACGTACACACAGTATACCAATGCCTCTCGATTTCCAATCATCATAATGAAATAACCAAATACACAAACTGATCACCACAGCTAATGGTTTGTCTACTTTTCCTGACTAGTAGATCAGAAAGATTTATACTGGTATTTTTTGGTACTTTTTGCCATGGCAGGTTGAGAGAGGTAATGGAATCAAATAGTGACAACTGGAGCCACAAATAATACTGTTATTGTAAAGAATAACCACAGTTACTGAGATTAAAATCTTCATATTGCAGTGTGATCCATATAGGATCTTAATAGGATGGTCTGCAACAGCTCTTTCTTTCTTTTTTCCCTGTTGTAAAAATGCATACCCAATTTCAATGTTTCACAGATGGATGCCTGCTGTAAGGTAATTTTGTCCCCATTTATTTATTTCATCTGTGTAAAATATTTTCATCCAGAATACAAGCTTTCAATGCCCATGAAAGCTTATAGTGTGTGTGTGTGTCTATAAGCAGTGTGTGTGTGTGTGTGTTACAGCCAGTGAGTGTGTATAAGCAGTGCCTGTGTGTTAGAGCCAGTGAGTGTGTATAAGCAGTGCCTGTGTGTTAGAGCCAGTGAGTGTGCATAAGCAGTGCATGTATGTTAGAGCCAGTGAGTGTGTATAAGCAGTGCGTGTGTGTGTGTAAGAGTGAGTGAGTGTGTGACACAAGGGGGTAAAGAAAAGTAGGATTGAGACAAAAACATAAAAAAAGAATTCCAAACAGGGGATACAATCTACAAAAAGGGAAAATGAGAAAGAAAAAGGTGGCAAGATGCACAAAAGGGGCAAAAGAATGGGTAATAGGGGCAAAAGTGAGAATATTAGACAAGTGAAGACAAATTTTGGGGTCAGCAAAATGTGTCATCGCCTATGTAGACAGAAGTCCTTGCACCGGCCCTGAACACAGCCAATGTGAGTATCTCATAAATATTTCATCTTTATAAAATACTAATTTATGGGGAGATCGGGTGGGAGAAAAAAAAAGGGGGGGCGGGCGGGCGGGGTGACAAAGCCATTTTAGGGGTCAATAGACACATTTTCATGTTGTTTTTTAATGATGTTTTTTGGAGGGAAAAAAGTGCTGAAAGGAGAAGTCGAGAAATAATCTATGAAACCGATACACTTCACTGCCCAGGTATTTTGAATGCAGAACAAATGCACTGTTCCTGTTTTCTCCTTATGTCTGGTGGCATCAGTCCAACCCTGGAGAGCATTAGGTCACTAGGTCAGGCACACACTGATACAGTACTAGGCTAGGAAAGGCCCAGTACAATTCCTGCTGACCGCCTCAATTTTACTAAAATTAATTTTGATAGTGGTCATTGCCTTTTCCCTCCTACTATTATTAATGGGGACTAGACCACTATAGTGATGCTAAAAGGTACTGTTTGGCATTGATTTACATGGCTTTCTTATTGACACAATTTTGGAAGTTTATATGAGACCGTTTTTAATATCACATTAATAAAAAGTACAGTTCTTTTTACTTTACTGTTCTCACAACCATTGGTCTCCTATAGTCTCTGTTTTTAGGAGCCTTTCACATTTTTTATTTTAAATTTAGGGTTATACATTCACCAAGATGTAGGTCAAATGCAAATTGTCCTGTCCTCCAGAAAATCTAAATAATTTGTGCATCCCAAGCAATTTTACTCTTTAAATGCCAAAAGGTGTTTTGGCAAAGAGTGTTATCATCAATTTCAATCTTAAACAAATCTTGTACAATAAACAAAAAAAAAAGGATGCACTAACTTCTCTATTCTCCAAATACCAATCTCTTTCGGATCAGCAGCACATTTCATAACTCCAAACTGTCCCTATTTATTTTCTATTCTAATGTCCCTCTTTTGTAGCAGCTCAGTATTCTTGGTGTTGTCTGAATTTATACCAGAACTCCACAGCAATAATATGTCCAGTAATGTGTCTTTCAACTACAATAAATGTGTTTACAAATCAGTCTATGTAAATGAGATATGTTTATTGCACTAAATTACATTTACACCTAAAATTTATTAGAACAGCCACCCCCCCCCCCCCACTCATACTCCTAAAATTAAAGTGTTCCCCTTTGTCTGTTTGAAATGTTGGGAGGTGAGCACTAGGACTAATGCACATGGGGAGGTGTAGTTGTGCCCTGTTTGCTTTTTAAATCGTTAATATAGAACACATAAGGAGATATGTTTTTGTTCTAAAATGTAAAATGATAGGGTCACTAAAGAAATATGACTGGTGATCCCACCGGTTTCCATGGTGATAGATACGCTTTTAGTACTTTAAATCACTTTCTAGAAAATAATACTTTGATAAATCTCTCCCATACATAGAGAGTTTCCAGCTCTATCTGTAGATCCTTGTGTTTAGAAACTGTGTATTGGATTACACTTTATCTAACGTCTCACTTTACTGCATCGGCACTTGCAAAAGATGAACCCCATAGCAGCTTTCCAGGTGTTATCACAATATCCTGATACTAATTTTCATCATTAGAAGAATAGATGGTCATAGATGTGGAAACTCTTTCCTATGCCTCAACTAAGTAATCTCCTAGTGTGGAGTAATTGACAGCCAGTGGTTACTTTAGTTGCCTTTAAAGAAACACTATAGCGACAGGAATACAAACATAGGAAAGCATTGGGAGGCTATTGTGCATGCATGGCAAAACACGTAGAGATGTATTAAATCGATGCATCTCTATGGGGAGCATTCATGACCTCCATGCAGCATGTCAGTCCTGTATACTGTGCAGCATTGCCCCTGAAAGCAACTTCAGTGACCTCCCAGGCCCCCTATGATTCAAATGGAGAGTTCTCCTTTAACTAGATTTCAATTTATTAACGTTCTTAACAGGTGTTTGTCAATATTAGGTATGAGAGATGAAAAGTTTTCCTCTCACTGTTTCAGAATTGGAATGGCTCCAGAGGCTGATAATCTGGGTTTAGATTCTGCAGTATGTGAATAGGCAGATGGGAGTCAGATCCAATCGAATGTAGCGTTTAAAGCAATCTGTTATAGTTAGTGTACTAACTTCTGTCTTTTACAGGTAGAAACGCATAGGTTGTTTTGCTCATTGGTTGCCCATATATCTTTTGGCTCAGCATAGGGCTTCTGAACACCCCTACGGTGTTAATTTGGATTTTAAGAAAGACAGAATTTTCTTTATTCTGGGTTGGTTTAAGGGGTATGCAAGTAAATGATTTATATTGGACAGTTCTAAATAATGCACATAGGTTGCCATGGCCCAATGTTGTAGTGATTCTTTTGTGGTGGAATCTCGGTAAAAATAAATTTAGTAGGCCGAGATTACCACGTGGCATGTGTACGTGCATATGCTGACGTATCGATCAGTTGGTTGCACGAGGCAAGATACGATCAGTAGTGTACGGAGCATGTGCAAGAATACAGGATGTAGTATTCCCCTCCTCCATTGTGCTGGACAAGCCATGCGGTCAAGCAGGAAGTTAATTCTTATTTGTAATGATTGGTCAAGAGAATGTGCGGGTGGAGCTTAATATGGGAGGAGTTATGTGCCTATATAGGGAGCCTGCACTATTGTTCAGGGCTCAGAACTTGCTGTATTTTTGGTGACATTAGTCCCTCTGAGTCCCGATCGGTGATCCAATAAAGAATCTCTTCCTTCCTGAAGAAACCTGTGTCCATCCCTCTGTGCTTTGCTTCCGTCAGTTTCTCCGGTATCACTTTCAGATTCTTTCTTTGTTGGATCCCTAAATCCATGCACATTTTATTTGCTCTTAAATACTTTTTTGAGTTCACGTTAGCTAAATTTCCAGGTGTTTTATCAGTATGGTCAGAAATAATTCTGCAATTTATTTGGCTTCAATCTGCCAAGCTAAAGGCTTTAGGGAGGGTGAGAAGGAAACGGAACGGGGCTATGTTCAAATTCTTACCTTGGATGGATTTTCTTTCCTCCTTGTGGAGTTAGGTGGAATGAGGGCCTTTATTGGAGAGATGGGATTCTGCCTAGAAAAATGGACGGGTAAAAATGTTATATGATGTTATCCGGGCTAATAAAAGGCTGCAATGTGCTGTTTCCCCCTGGGTGTTAAATGCCAGGGATATCTTACAAGTTCTATGATTAGTTATACAGTTGTGTCGTAAATAAAGTATTTGTATTGAAATGGTTTTAAATTATTTTCAATAAAGCCTTTCTCCAAAACATTTATTTCTCTGTGTTTATTGTATTAGTAATGTTTTAAGTTTCCTTGTCATAACACACAGCGCTTATAAATTAACAGACAGCAGGTAGGTGACAGAAATGGACTAGGGCAAAAAATTCCTGCCAAGCTGGTTAATTGTGCCCTCAGGTTCGGTCACAGTGACACTTCCTGCAACTCCTCCGAGGTTATCGCATTGTATCTTGTCATAAACATAGCTAATGGTAAATGTATGGCTTTCTAGTGCTAATATCATATAGTCACCGTGACAGAATTCATTTTACATAAAACCCACAAAGCCGGCTGTCTATGTATTGTAACAGCCAGTAAGTGTTATATTTAAACCAGTTACTCTTGTTTGCTGCTAGAAGCTCACAGAGTTCCAAACACAGTCTCCTCCCTGTGTGTTGTGACTGCAGGAGTCCATCCTCCTCCTCCTCCGTTCCAGGGATCACTGGCTGGTGGAAAAAACCCTGCTACCTGATAGCTGTCTGACGCCCTGAGCGGGGAGTGAGAATACTCGCCCATCAAGGAAGGAGCTCTGTCTGACAGCAGCAGGATGTGTTGGTAAACAAATGGCGAAATGAGGGCTCACTGCTGGCAAGCTGTGTGTGAAACTCCAACAGAGAAGAGAAAGAGAGAGCTACAATTCTGGGCACAGATTATATGAGGAGTCCTGCTTCCCAGCAGCATACACTGTGTCAGAGTGAGTTCATATTCAGTGCTGGCTGAACTTTCATTCTTTTCACTCTTTGTAGTGTTTATAGTAGGAGGATGTATGCTGGACCAGTGCACACACTGCCATGGACACAATATCCTCATGCTCTCTGTGTCTGAGTGTGATGGGGTCTGGCCAGTCTGTGCACTTGTGCCATGCTTCTCAATGTGATCTTTATGACGGTAGTGAGGAAGCATGTTCTCTATTTTAAGATTAATTTGACCCTATTGTTTGCAAAATAGCATGTCATTGGTTTTGTAAATTATTGCAAAGCATTTATCAATGTATGTCACTTTTATTTCAGTATAAAAATAATATACCTATCACTGCTGCCATCGATTCAGCTTAGGAGATGGCTGGTTTAAGGTGACATGGTACGCACCATAACCACTAAAACCAATTGACATTTTGCAAATGAATGCTTTTACAAATTGAATAAAATCGATCTAAGCAAAGTGGAATGAGAACAAAAACTTTAACTGTATCAAGAGTGACTTGCGACACCCAGAGGTGTCCTATTGTTCACATATGGTTTGACCCCTCACTTGGGGACAACACCTGGGGACTCCTGGAACCAAAACTGCTGTAGAGGTTATGTGCTTAGAGTACCCCTTTAAAAGGGCCACATGGATAAATAACATTAATCTTAAAGAGCTCACTTAAAATTGCCAGAAGCCTAACTCCCACTAATCTCATGCATGTTCTGGCACTGTACTGAGATTAAGAGTACATTAGTGTCAGTCAGCATATTTTAGAGTTTCTGTAGCAGGGCGTCTTTGGATGCAAATAGGCTGCCACGGCACACAAAGCCCACCCTCTCAACATCTGATGGGACTTCATGAAATATATTTACTTTAAGTTTAGCATTATTTACTCTTTAACAGGCATCGGACTGATCCTGTCTTATTTGTATGGAGTGTGTGAATGTAGGTATGTATTTGTGTGTGATTCATTTTCATAGCACAAGAGAAAAGGTAAGAATGCTTGTCTAAACATATTTCTGCTGCCATGTTCCTCTTCAGCTAGGCATTCAGCGCCTGGAAGTGTCAGCTGTCATAAGTCAATGCCATTGATGTACTCACAGGCTGTGTGATCCTTACTCTGAACATCTCCATCCCAGCTGTCCCCTATAATGGACTGACCCACACTGTACTTAGTGGAACACTAATATGCAGGGCAGGATTTACCCTCCTGGCTGCCCCCAAGGCCAGTCCTCAATATGCCTTCACAGTCCCTTTGTTTATACATGTATATTAATGGATGTGTGTTATAGTAAATTTATATTCTACTTATATGTATATGTATATATATATATATACATACACACACACACACACACACACACTCTCTCTCTCTCTCACCCATGTAGACACACACACAAGCACAAAAAGCCCATGCAGACACACACTGTTGGTTGTGTTGAGGTTATGACAGTAATGTCATAGCCCTGTCCACTCTCCTCTAATTGGTGCAGTGGCTCAGTGGCTTTGTATAGTGGTAGCTGTAAACTACGTGTTGACTAGTCCTGACATGCTTGAAAGAAGCATTTTAAGTGACCATTCCTGCATTACGCCAATATTTTACCTTCTAAGGTTAAACAGACATGGACATGGCACTCAGACCATTTCATTGAGATGATGCCGTCCATGCGTATCAGATCCCCAAATTCTCCTCTGAGGAGCATTGGTTTGGCCCATCGCTGGAGTAGACTATGCCTCCTCAAGGCCATCACAGGAGGTGGAGAGGAGAGCAGGGCTGATATCAGTCCTGAAAAATAAGGTGAGGAAAATGTTCTGTTGCGCATGAGTGTGTGAAGAGCCTGTATAAAACTACGGGCAGGAGCACTACAGCGGTATTCCTAACACTATAGTGTTCCTTTAATGATTTATATGTCAGAGCTATTGTATTGTTTTTTTTCTTATTATTAGCATTTTTTGTAGCATCAACATTTTCTCTAATGCTAATTTAACATTAAGTAATTGTTATACAAAAATACAGTTGACTGACACAATAGGTGAAGTAGGCCCTGCTTAAACAAGCTTACAATCTAGGAGTATTGTCACATTTTATTGAAATTCTGTACAATAAAATAAACAATGTTACCTACAGGTATATCATGGCAGTCAAACTATTGTAAGAATTGCTTGTGACTCAGATATGTTGCCTGTACGAAAAGGAAGGGGAACAGATTGTATGTTATCCATTGTCAAAATGGATAAATATTACGAGGCAATATGGGTTAGGACCCTAAGGAAGTGTTGGGTAGGTCTACAGGTTACAAGAACTAGAAAATAGGTAGAAACCTAGTATGAGGTGTAAAGGCAGTTTCTTTCAGGATATTTAATTATTTTATTTTTATTTCCCACGTTTTCTTAATGTCAATAGGTTGTGTTTAATGGTTTCATGTAATCAGTCTTGTTCTGCCTGCCCTGTCTTTGCTAACATACAGTAAAACTAAAATTGTATTTTTGTAAATGTGATGGTTTTCAAAAACAATCTTAACTTATATTAGAACATGTGTCTCCATGGCTTTCCCTGTATATTTTATATGTCTATATCTCCCTCTAGTAGCCTTTTCGTTTCACTCATTGCTTCTCTGTCATTTCTTACTACTTGGAAAGCCATTAAATATGCTTGAATAAACTTTGCAAGCTGTTACATTCCACAGATTAGTATATTATTAAGGTCTAGACAAACATTAATCACAGTACAGCTATGAGTTTTTGACTAAACGTAAGGGAATACTATAGTATCAGGAATACAAACATGTATTCCTGACCCTATAGTGTTTAACTATTTAGTTCCCCCTGCCCCCCTTAGATCACGTGGGAAAACGTACCTCTTCTGCCACGCCATGCTGGTCTCACCGTGGCTGGCCATGCCTTGCTCTGCCTCCATGGCTAAGATCATCAATTTTGATAATCTCAATGCTTTCCCATTGGAAAGGGAAACACTGTGCTGCTCCAATCAGCATCTCCTCATAGAGTTGCATTGAATCAATATTTAACAGACTGTGAAGAAAAAAAGTCTGTTCATAGAATTACACAAAAAATCTGAGTTATTCACTGTTCTTCAAAGTGAATTTCAAATGTAAGACTAGAGTAGCTGTACTGAAAGAATAGCTTGCTGTCTTAGAGGATTATTCCAGTTTGCCTATTTTGACCTTAAATTTTAAATTCACTGTCAATTCTCTTTGAATTCTCATTTTAGTGAATAACCCTGTATATAATTCATTTTAAATCAGAAGATTCAGAGCTACTGGTTCAGATGAGTCTTACAAAATTTCAATATTTATACTCTAAATGGGTCTCTCTTGGTATTTATAATATATGCACTTGGCACAGGGCGCGATTACACAAAAGAACAAAACACTGTGATGTTAAATTAGTACATTGTGAAAAAATGACAAAGGAATGGCAGATTTTAGACCAAAATAATCAGTTGTTGAGTTGTTGTTATTTTGAAAACTACATTTTCAGTCTATTTCATTCTCCATTACTTCCTGGTTTAGTTGATACTTTCCAGTATTTCTGTAGATAATTTGAACAAACGTGTTGGTTCATTTATATATACACATCAGACAAAGTTTTCCTTTATTTGTCATACTTAAGTATTTTCTATCTAAACTATATTGTTCTACTCTTATAAAGAAAATTACATAGAAACCATTTTTAAGAATTATGCTATTCCTTTTATCTCTAGACCAAGCATCATACCCACAACAAATGGAAGAGCCTCTGTGTCATTCGGATACCCAGCAGAATGGTAACCAGGACTGGATGTCCAATCTTCCTGCGCGTTTGTGGGATGTTCCGCTCTACAACTTGTCAATTCCAGGTAGTAACACATAAAGATTATTCATTAAACCCATATATTTGTGAGTTAAATTGTAATGGCAAAATGTAGGCAAAAATATCTGGCCTGAAAATTCTCTAACTAATTTTAGCCTGAATTTTGCAATTCAGATTTTATTTGTTACTATTTGGAGTTTAGTGACTAATCATGCATACTTTATAATTTTTTCCATCAAATTAAATACAAACAGTGTAGTGTAGTGATCCAGTTGGGCTGCCTGCTCTGTTGCATGAGAATAGCTTTTAGCTTTGTACAAGCTCACACTTTTAAACATCTGCCAATGCCATGACCATGTCAAGAACATCTTTCAGAAAATAGCCCAGTTGTTTTTACAAGACACCATTAGTTTAATTTATCTACACTGAACAAAATGATAAACACAACACTTTTGTTTTTGCCCACATTTGTCATGAGCTGAACTCAAAGATCTAAGACTTTTTCTATGTACACAAAAGGCCAATTTCTATCAAATATTGTTCACAAATCTGTGTAAATCTGTGTGTCACGGCCCCCGGCTCGCCGCCATGTGCGTCCGTGCCCGACCGACACGACCACACCAACTCACTGAGCTTACCTGCTCAGTGGCGAGCCGGGAACCGCTCCTCCACGCTGCTCCGGGAAATCCAAGATGGCGCCGACCATGCGGTTGCTTCAATCCATGGCTCCACCCCCCAAAATTATGAAGTCACGTCATCGCACGCGCACGTTCTAGGGTCAGAGGTCAACCTCTAACCAATCAGAGCCTAGAGAGGGATATTTAAATCACTAATTCACACCAGTACCTTGCCCTGTCGTGGTTTCCTGTTCCTGGTTTCCTGAGAGTGCGTTTTTCCTTGCGATATTGATATTCTGGTATTCTGATCTTGGTTATTCCTGGTTATTTCTGGTTCCCCTGACTTGGCTTGTTTAAACGGTATTGTGTATTTCTGGCTTCCTTGACCTAGGCTTTTTCCTTTGACCATTCTCTGTCTCTAACGTATTAGTCCAGCCATTCCAAGGTCCGGTTTACGTTCTGTCCTTTTATTTCCTTTCTTATTTCTATGTATAGGTTTACATAGTTTCTGCGTGTTGGACCACACTAGCAGTCGTGACACTGTGTTCGTGAGCACTTTGTCAAGATAATCCATCCACCTCACAGCTGTGGCATATCAAGATGCTGATTAGACAGCATGATTATTGCACAGGTGTGCTTTAGGCTGGCCACAATAAAAGGCCACTCTAAAATGTATAGTTTTATCACACAGCACAATGTCACAGATGTCGCAAGTTTTGAGGTAGCGTGCAATTGGCATGCTGACTTCAGGAATGTCCACCAGAGCTGTTGCCCATGAATTAAATGTTCATTTCTCTACCATAAGCCGCCTCAAAAGGCATTTTAGAGAATTTGGCAGTACATCCAACCGGCCTCACAACCACAGACCACATGTAACCACACCAGCCCAGGACCTCCACATCCAGCATCTTCACCTCCAAGAGCGTCTGAGACCAGCCACCCGGACAGCTGCTGCAACAATCGTTTTGCATAACCAAAGAATTTCTACACAAACTGTCAGAAACCATCTCAGCGAAGCTCATCTGCATGCTCGTCATCCTCATCGGGGTCTCAACCTGACTGCAGTTCGTCATCGTAACCGACTTGAGTGGGCACATACTCACATTCAATGGCGTCTGGCACTTTGGAGAGGTGTTCTCTTCATGGAGGAATAACGGTGTACAGGGCAGATGGCACACAGCGTGTATGGCGTCGTGTGGGTAAGCGGTTTGCTGATGTCAACGTTGTGGATCGAGTGGCCCATGGTGGCGGTGGGTTTATGGTATGGGCAGGTGTATGTTAAGGACAACGAACACAGGTGCATTTTATTGATGGTATTTTAAATGCACAGAGATACCATGACGAGATCCTGAGGCCCATTGTCGTGCCATTCATCCACGACCATCACCTCATGTTAATGCACTGCCCCATGTTGCAAGGATCTGTACACAATTCCTGGAAGCTGAAAACATCCCAGTTCTTGTATGGCTAGCATACGCACCAGACATGTCACTCATTGAACATGTTTGGGATGCTCTGGATCGGCATATACGACAGCGTGTTCCAGGTCCTGCCAAAATCCAGCAACTTCGCAAAGCCATTGAAGAGGAGTGGACCAGCATCCCACAGGCCACAATCAACAACCTGATCAACTCTATGCGAGGGAGATGTGTTGCACTGCGTGAGGCAAATGGTAATCACACCAGATACTGACTGGATTTCGGACCCCCCCCCGGATCTACTCGGACCCTCCCCAATACAGTAAAACTGCACATTTTAGAGTGGCCTTTTATTGTGGCCAGCCTAAGGCACACCTGTGCAATACTCATGCTGTCTAATTAACATCTTGATATGCCACACCTGTGAGGTGGATGGATTATCTCGGCAAAGGAGAAGTGCTCACTAACACAGATTTAGACAGATTTGTGAACAATATTTGAGAGAAATCGTTGTTATATATAGCAAGCTTTCTCTATTACACCTTTCTTTATTATACATTTTGTAAATGGAAACATTTTATATAAATGTTATTTTATACTTTGGAAGTATCTGAACATTAAACTTGACTTTTATTGCTTTTGTAGGGAGCCATGATACAATGAGTTACTGTTTGGACAAAACCTCACCAATAAGTCCAGAAGCACCAAAAGTAGCCTTCCTATTGGATCAGTATGTGCCCAGCATTGTCCGAAACTTTATTTACAAATGGAGCAGAACACAGGTATTTTCCTCTATATGTCGTCCTTCCTGGTATCAGTTGAAAACATCCCAAAGTTTTAAAAGGCCTGATAGTGTTTTTAAGGGGTGTAGCCAAGGAGTGACTCATTTTTGTAAATAAGAAAAAAGTCATTTAGAATTTGGTCAATGTGTATTGCTTATATTAGTTTTGTTAAGGCCTGGGATACACCTCTAGAATATAGGCAGAAACAAGGTTACATGTATTAAAGGAGCACTATAGGGTCAGGAACACAAACATGTATTCCTGACCCTATAGGGTTAAAATAACCATCTAGCCCCCCTGGTCCCCTCATGCCTCCCTAAACATAGCAAAATCTTACTTGTATTCAAGTCTGGAGCTGCTAGCTCTGGCTCGGTTTCCTTTAGACCTGCCCACTGCCTGCTGACATCAGCAGAAGTGGTAGCCTGATCCAATCACAATGCTTTCCCATAGGATTGGCTGAGACTGACAAAGATGTAGATCAGGGGCAGAGCCAGCATGATTCAAACACAGCCCTGGCCAATCAGCATCTCCTCATAGAGATTAATTGAATCACTGAATCTCTATGAGGAAAGTTCAGTGTCTGCATGCAGAGGAAGGAGACACTGAATGTTTGGATGTATTTTAGGCAGCCATGACCCAGGAAGGATCTCTAACAGCCATCGGAGGAATGGCCAGTGAAGTTATCACTAGGGTGTAATGTAAACACTGCATTTTCTCTGAAAAGACAGTGTTTAGAGCAAAAAGCCTGAAGGTAATGATTCTACTGACCAGAACAAATTCAATAAACTGTAGTTATTCTGGTAACTATAGTGTCCCTTTAAGGTCACAAAGTGGTAATTTTCATACTACTATTTGGATTTTATTAATTTGTAGTTTATTGGTAATTCTTGGTATAGTATCACTACTAACAAATTAAAAAATAGCAAGTCTGCTTAATATTGCTAATCTTCCATCAGAAAAAAAAAAAATCACCTTTCTACTACAACATGTTCAAATTTAAAGTGGCACTCCAATCACCATAGGCACTGCAACATGTTTAAGTGGTTAAGGTGCTATGGGCCAACTCTCTCTGCAGAGACTTTCAGGACCCAAAGCCACCCTCCCCCCAGCTTCAGACACCATAAAGAATAAAGAAGAAGTTTAACTTATCTCTCCAAAATTATGTGAATGATACTGATCTATATATATCAGAATGTATACCCATATATACACTATATGTAATGCTTGCTCCTGCCATGCACTGTAGGGGCTTTAAAAACTGAGGTATAGGTGTCCACTGATTACACCTCATCTCTGTAAGGAGTGACAGATAATGAATGCATGCCCATGATGTAACAGTGAAATGTATCATAATGCACAGCATCCTCACACAATATCCACAATAATATTCTTACCATGCATTATAATGGCTATGGTGAACTTTGTGAATAGTTTTATATTAATGTCTTTGTGCTTTTTTGATTTTTCTTAGGTCTACATAGATAGACTGTTCTGCGTCTGCACATACTCAACATTTTAATGTATTATATTAGTCTTATAAAAATGTTCCTCATTTTGTACTCCTTTATAATTTTTTTTTGTAGTATCTAAGCGTTAAAGAGCAGCTAGATTCTGGTATTAGATACATGGACCTTCGAATAGCCATTCGGCCTGATGACCCATCTCAGAATTTCTACTTTGTTCATGGGCTTTACACATCTGTCACTGTAGAGGTAATTCAATTAGTAACTAATTATGTGTGTGATTAAGGAAGCCACTTCCTGGTAATTAGTTATAATGATTTTTATAGAAGAGTTATTTATCTACTTTAACATTTTAGTTTTGTAGGATTACAATTCCCATCATGTATGTTCAGGGCCGGTGCAAGGAATTTTGCCGCCCTAGGCAAAAAAAAATTTGCCGCCCCCTCCACCCCCCCATATGTCCTGCCCACCATGTGACATCACAATGCCCTGCCCATATGCTCTGCCATTCTTCACAAAGTGTCTTTTATCTGAAAAGACAGTGTTTACATTAAAAAGCCTACAGGCACAGGCTATAGACACCAGAACCACTGCATTATGCTGTAGTGCTTCTGGTGACTATAGTATCCATTTAATGTGAGGTAAATTAGAGATTAGTGCCACTGATAATATATTGGATTGCCTACTTACCACCAGATGAGGACAAGAGGATGATGATGGGCTCTGTCTGGCTCCACATTTCTGGTGTAGAAGAGGCTCTCTGGAGACTGTTTTTAACAGTGCTCACAACAATTAACGAACAGGAAGCACCTCCATTTTTTAGGGCCCCTTACACAGCTCAAGGTCTGGGTCCCCAGGGCTTGACCGTGAGTATGCCTACAATGCCCAACCATAAATCCACCTACATGGCCCACCCGTGAGTTCTCTTACAGGAAGTGGAGTGTATGTGATGTTTTATGTGTTACTGTAGAGGATGCAACGTGTGTGGGATGTAGTGTGTTTATAGGGGATGCAGTGTGTGTTTGCGTGTAAGGAATGCATTGTTTGTTTCTGGGTTTGTGTGTAAGGGGTGTAAGGGTGTGTTTCTGTGTATTTAATTGAATGCAGTGTGTGTCTGTAAGGGGTGCATTGATTGTGTAAGAGATGCATTTTGTTTCTGTGTGTAAGAGAATGAGTTTGTGTGAATGTAAGGGATGCATTGTGTGTTTCGGGTGTGTCTGTGTGTGAGTAGGAATGCATTGTATGTTTCTCTGTGTGTGTTTGTGGGGGGATGCATTGTGTATGTGTGTATGTGTGTAGTGTAAAAGAGAGGGTTTGTGGGGTAGGATAGGGACTGAGAGGGGAGCAGCTCTTAATTTTTTGCATAGTGCTCACCCTCCTGTCAATTATTGATTTCCCCTTCCCTCCTGTCCCTTAGTGCTCTCCCTTGGCGGTCTTCTCATTCCCCCTCAGTGGTCCTCCATCCCTCCCCTTAGTGGACCTCCCTCTCCCAAACCCCTTAGTAGACATTCCCCTCCTCCCCCCACCCCCTTAGTGGTCCTTACCCTCCTCCCCTCTCCTTAGTGGTCCTCCCTACATCTGCAACATACACAGGGCCGGCGCTACCTGTAAGGCAACCTAGGCAGCCGCCTAGGGTGGCACCTTAGCAGGGGGCCAGTGGCCAGTGGATCCCTGCTGCCCGGCTTGGCTCCTCATGCTGCGCCGCCTGCCAGAACGCTTTTGACAAGCCTCAGACGGCGCAGCAGGCTGCTGTGGATGGGCTGTGCGCCGCTGATTTGAGTGACCGGCATTTTGGTGGTCCTTTCCCCCCTTAGTGGTCCTCCCTCTCCCAAACCCATGCTTAGTGGACCTCCACCCCTCCAATCCCTCATGTGGTCCTTCTCCCACCCCCCCAGAGGATCTATCTTAGCATCTTCCCCTCTCTTTCCCACTGGCTTGGAGGTAAGTAAATTATTTTACAAAAAAGGTGTGGTCATCTAAGTAAACTTTTACAACAATCAGATTTTTCGAACAGCTGAGAGATAGGTCCATCTGTTGATTAAAGAAAAAGTGAGCCTGAGGGGTGTGTCTTCCTGCCCTTAGTAGAAGATATTCACTATGCCTTGTATTACTGTCTCCTAACCTAATAGTCTCTGATAGAGGGTGCAGCAATACCCTGGTCACATTTGTTGTGGAGGGTTGTATGGTTTTTGGACACACATGCAAATGGCATTTCCTTTATTATTGGTTGCCATGTCCCCCTCGTTTTAACCCTGCAACTAAAACCATTGACATTCTGCAGAAATGGCAGTGTTTACGTTGCAGGGTTTAAATGCCTCTATTGGCTGTCACTCATAAAGACTATTATTGCACATTAATGACACGCTGCACCAATAATGGTGCAGCGTGGCAGTTTGCTGTGCATGTGCATTAACCTTCCAGTACTTTAATATCAAGATTGATGCTCTCTTCCAAGGATGCGGAACCAGCCACGGGGTGAGCAGCGCAGTATGGCAAAAAGGTGAGTACAGTCAATGGTGTGTTTTGGAATTGTGCTGCCCTAGGCACGACTAAATTCCGGCAACCCCCCTTATCTAAATTTGCCTCACCAATTTATGTCAGGGCCATTTTCTTTGACTGACAGACACACACCCTCATTGATACATTCACTGACAGATACACAGTCATTGGCACACACACTGTTTAACCAACACACACTTTCACTGGGACACACACTTACACACCCACTCACTGACAGACACATACTCTCAGATACACATACACTGACTCACACACATCCTCACTGATTTGACAGACACACACATTCACTCAGTCACTCACAGACACACACTGGCAGCTACAAGCACTCACTCAAATACATACATACACTCACACACATTCACTGACAGACAGACACAAACACACTCACTGAAAGACACACACATACACACACACACACACATTTTCTCATACACTCATTACACTCACAAATTATTGATACTTTTTTAAAATTTAAATCCACGCAGCTTCCCTACCTTTAGGCGCTCAATGGAGGCGGCAAGAGAACTGAGCTCTTATTGCACTGCTCCCTCTGCACCGCTTAGTGATGCCAAGGCCAGAGAGACGTCATATTCTGGCTCTGGGCATCACAGAAGGGAGCGCAAGGGAGCAAGAAGAGCAGAGGACAGCACTCCCTCACCACCCGGATAGAATATTAGTAGTTTAACACCGTGGGGGGGCCTTAAGGTAGCCAGCCAGCCAGCTCTCGGGCCCACCAGGACACAAGGCAAAAAAGGCATTTGCCTGGGTGCTTAGGGTGGCATTTTTTGCCGTCCCCCCTGAAAGTGCCGCCCTAGGAAAGTGCCTTGTTTGCCTTGTGGTAAATACAGCCCTGAGTACAGTACTTTCTTTACTCCTTACAGGGGTGCGATCACCTAAGCAGTGACTAGGACATTATAGCGAAAGAAACATATATTTCTATTTCCAACACTATAGTGTTCCTTTAAAGTTACCTAAGTGATTTATTGTTTAATGTGTCGGTGCGGTTTTTGTAGTGGAGCCAAGTGAACTTATGTTTTTGGGATGGCATGACATTAGTAAAGAATACAAACTATTTCTGGAAAATATGATATATAAAAATTACCGAACATTTTATAATTGTTCTCCGACTGGCGGTTTTGTGGCTCCGGTAGATCATGGGCTAAGAAAACAACCAGAACCAAGCCTGAACACAAATGGGCCATATGGAGCCTCATGGAGGGACAGCAACCACAAGTTTATCATGGACACAGCAAGTATTTACTAATGATACCTGAAACAGGCATAGGCTGACAGTCCCCCTACATGCAATTCATAGCCCTCAGTCGGTTTGCATTATTTCCTCTTATTTGCTTTAATTTGTATTCACTCTGGCGACATCAACATACTTGTCTCTTATCTTACCACCCAGTGGACTCTTGTCACATGTAACACCAACCATAGTACCCAGCGGCTACCCTGCTGACAAATTAACTACAGTTTAGCGTGTTCCCTTATCTTGATATATTATACTCGACTACGTTATTGTCAATCCATATAGTATATCTCAAACAATTCTTTTCTTGTTAAGCAACACTATATGCATCACTATGTTTATCTTTAAAAATGTGCAGTACTACTACATGCCACAGTTTAACGCCTCTTGAAATGTCTGTATTTACTGTTGTGGCATGGCAAGCCTGTCTGTCAAACTTTTGCACAACAAAAATAAAGAATTAAAAACAAAAAAAAACAAAAAAAAACATTTTATAATTGTTAACCATGTAATGACAAAGGCGCAGTCTACCCTTGGGACAAATGATGGATTAGCACAAGAGAAACACAAAAGAACTATTACTGAGATTAGATATTTGTGAGGGGTTTTTTTTAACCTCTTTTTTTTTTCTTTTCTTTGTTTTTTGTTGTTAAAGGTAATCTTACAAGATATCTTAAGATGGTTACAGATTCATCCGAAAGAGATGCTTCTTCTATCCTGTCGTGACCTTATTGGAATACCTCCTATACTTTACACCCATTTCATTCGCATTATCCACAAAATACTTGGTCCCAAGCTGTGCCCCAAAAATGCAAGTATTAAATGTTTTTGGCACTTTACAGCTATAAGGTTTGCATGTGAAGCAATGAAAAGTAGATTGTCAAAGGTAATACAGTTAATACAAAAAAAAATATGAGATGCCAGATTAGAATTTGGTATAAGTATGATGATGATGGATATCACTTAAAAAAAAAAAAAAAAGTTTCGTACAACACCTGCATGCCCCTTACGGCATCAAGCGCTGGGTAGACCTGGAACACACGATCTTCGCATCCCTACACATATGGTTGCCTAAACAAGCCAGACCACATATCACTAACACCTCACCGGCAATCACAAACTCCATCAAAATATGGGATAAAATCACGACCAAATGCTCCATGATATTATCTCCCTCCCCACTAACGCCAATTCTGCGGAACACACAGTTTGCCCTCGGTATGTCGCCCCAATACTTCTCCAGATTCGAAGATAACGACCTCACCCGCTTCTACAAATTCTTCCAAGGCCAAACATTACTCCCCTTCCTCGACCTCCCACAACATACCCCACTAAACACATTCGACCACTTTCGCCATCTTCAAATTCGCAGCTTCCTGGAGACACCAACCAACAAAAAAGCAAGCACCACATAACTGACCCCCCTTGAGAAAAACTGCATGATTAACCCAATCCACAAAAGCCAAATCTCTACCCTCTACACAACCATCATAACAGCCCAAAACGAAAACTCCCTAACCTACGTGTCGGCTTGGGAGAGGGACCTCGGGCCCCCAGCCTTCCCTCAGACTGTGGGGAAATATGGGAGGCCACGGCCACGGCCTCAGTCTCAATTTGTGTAAACCACAAAGAGCAAGCATATAAGACCCTAATGCGATGGTACCTCAGGCTAAAACAGATTGGAGTCTCGAACTCCAATCTGTGCTGGAAACAGTGTGGGAACAATGGCACCTACCTCCACGTGTGGTGGGAGTGCCCACAAATAGCCCAATTATGGCTCCAAATCGCATCTAGGGTACTACACACCACAATACCGCTGGACCCCTGGACCTGGCTCCTATCTAAACCGCTACAACATACCCCCTGCATCGCCCTAGCAACCCAAAGAGCGATCGCAGAGGTCTGAAGCAGGCCCGATGTCCCAACACCACAGGTAGTATTACGCAAAATAGAGGAAGCCAGACAGATGGACAAACTATCTGCCTCAGTGCACGACACCATCACAAGCTTTAACAAAATCTGGAACCCCTGGCTATACGAATTCCCAATACCCACATAAGAAACCCAGGGGAGAAAACACACTCGCCCCCACACCCAAGCACACCCGCCTCCGCCAGCCCCCCCCCTTCTTTTTTTCTCTCCTTTCTTTCTTCTCCCCTTCTTTCCCCCTTTTTTTCATCCTTCCTTGTTTCCACACCCTACAGACACCGATCACCACACCAACACACCACCCCCTACACAACACACCAGAGAATGACTACGACAAACATACCTAGACCCCGTCCACACACTTGATCATAAATGTCAGACGATGCCCAACCCAAGCCTCAAGAACCCCCCCCCCACCAGCTGACAAAGACCATAACTACAACGCCCCCACATCCAGGTCAGACCAACATAATGCACAGAATAGACAAAATAGGACCATACCAAACCACTACGGAAAACACTGCAGCAACAGCCAACACCAACTAACGGACCATACCAACAGCCACACTATCAGACACACTCGCAACAGGCTAACCTAGCATCAACGGAGACAGAACCAAAGCAGACCATCGAGATACACAATCCCCCTCTCCCCTCTCCCCAATCCACCAAATAATCATACCGCAAGACAATAACAAGCAAGGGAGAAAGAGGGAGCCGGGAGGGTCAGGGGAAAAATCAAGCAAATCACAAAAAGACCCAAACATGTCTGGGTGACCTGCATAAAAACCAAGTTGATGTTATGTATGTCATATGTCCAAGTTGATGTTATGAACGCTAACTATTGTAAGCATAACTATATCACATTCCCAATCTCTTTTTTTCTCTACCTCTTCCCCTAAATATTAAAATTCTCAAAAAAAAAAAAAAAGGTTTCATCAAGTTATAGGTGATTTTGGGTGTTTAATGATGTTTGTTATTTCATTTTCACATTAAAGGGAACACTCTAATGTTAGGATTGCAAACATGTATTCCTAACATTAAAGTGTTTTGATATATATTCAGATTATCAGACCCCCTGGAAAATCAAGTAAAGCATGTTTTTTTAACTTACCTTTAGTCCCTCGCTATGCTGATTACCATGTGGCCGTTGTTCTACCCCAGCTGATGTCATCAGTCGTGATGATCTCATCAAATCCAATGCTTCCTAACAGGAAGCATTGGGGGCCAGAGCACATGTGCGGCAATCACTGCTCCAATCAACATCTCCTCTTAGAGATCCATTAGATCATTGCAGAGAGCAGGGTATTTATGATTGCCACGAATACTGTCTCATGTCAGTAAAGTAAACACTTCCGGGGACACCATACATGCTACTCACAGTCTGGCAGCCTGGTCATCCCCAAATACTGTAACGGTACTTACCCAGTCCGAGTGCCAGCACGGGTCCTGCCTCCAGACGAGCTGCATGCGTCTCGAAAACTCCTGGCCAGCTGCGCACCAAATAGTCTGATCGGACGGATTGCCCGTACAATATTGGGAATGCTACTCGCATCTCGTGCATGTTCTTAAAGGGGAAATGGGAGTCTAACCTTGCGGTTGGCTCCCATTGGCCCACGACATTCCGGCGCCCCCATTCACGCACGTTTTGGGGTGCATACATGACGTGGACCAATCAAATTAAAAATAAAAGTATTTCAATTTACCTGGCCCTAGATTCTTTGCCCTATTGGGATTTCTGTTCCCAGTACCCTTTAGTGCATTCCTTGTGATTTGTATTGTATTCTGGTATTGACCTTGGCTTTGTTTCCTGACTCTGAGTTTCTCTTTAACCCTTGCCTGTCTTGTTTTCCCTTCTGATTATTACGGTGTACCTAACTCTGGCTAGTTCTCGTTTTCACTGTCTCTCCATTACCCTGACCTCTGCTTGTATTTTGACTACGCTTTTCTCTGTATAATATTAAGTCCGGCCACTCTAAGGCCCGGTAAGACATTTTTATTTCATTAGTCCGTTCCTTGCTACCCTAAACTCTGCGTGTTATACTCCATGACACCATCATTGTTAGTTACTACATTTTCTTCTGTATAGGAAACTCCAACTCTGAGGAATATGTGGAAACAGGGCTACCAAGTTATTGTCTGTGATGGCAGTATTTTACAATTGGTAGATGAATATCTGTGGCCTCCCATTCCATATTTGTGGGCTAACACAACTAGCACTCGTTTCTTAATACACTTCCTGGAGAAGGAAAAACAGAACGGCCGACCAGGTAAACTATTGTATTATACTGTTACTCTTACCTAAATATTGATGCTTGGATTATCGAATCCATATAATGGCACACAAGTATTATTACAGCAGGTTTAAACATTTCTGATAAGCCAATCTTTGAGACTCTTGTGCCATCCTCAGCAATTTCAACAACTGGCTAAAATCTAGTGTGTGTTTTTAGAGACATTGTTTCCTAGAATCATTTGCCCTACAGCAGCACATGCAGAATTAGTTTATGAAACTGAACAGAGCAGGGCTAGGAGGCTGTATTCATTAAACAGAGAACTGAAACCCGAATTGCAAAATCACGATACTGTAGTGGAGTTTGAGAATCTTTCCAAATCTGCTACTTTAGACAAAATGATGTAATACTGTTTAATGAATAAACCATAGTTGTCTTCAGTGGCCCTACACTGGGGTCACATTATTAGATGTTCTGTAATTCATTAGCACAATTTACCATACACAATCTACAATATAGCAATGATTCTAATATAGTCCTGAAAGACTCTATAATTCCTGTATCAAAAACAAACCACCTTACTAGTTCCTCATTAATGTAGCCAGCAAGTCATTAATTAGTGCCCGTACTGCAGTATCTCTGATACCTGTTCGAACTGCAAATTTGAGTTCCAGATTTGGTGAACTCTGCTTTTTATTATTTAGAAGTTATGAAAATCATTGACAGTCTGGTAAAACATTTACACACTAGGACATATGTTGAAACCAGCAAATCCTAAATGTGCCCTTCCTATTTAAATAATTGGAGATTATTAATGCCATAAATGACCTCTGTTTGTTCCAACCAACTTCAGCCAGAATATACCTTACTGTATGAAATAGGGTCAATGGTCCATTTTCATACCGATCTGATTTGAGACCCAAGAGACATCTAATGTTTTGCATAGTACTGAAGGAGCACAACAGCATACTGCCTATAGTGTCCTTATTCAATACTAAAGGAAGCAATAAAGTGAGTTATGTGCCAATGGATCTAACCTATTTCCATCCCCTTCCACCACCAGAGACAGGTCACTAAGCATGCCTCTCATAGATTTGCCATTAATTATCAGAAGAATAAACATTCCAGTTACATGACATCTGTTGATGGTTTGATACTAAAGTTGGTATTTATTACAGTTGGATTCTTTACTGCTGGCCTCAACCTGACTGAGGACTCATTGTACATCTTACGTCACCCCTTTGGATCAATCAGAAAACTGACTCTTCCAAAACTTCAATTTCTTTACAAATGGGTGCAGAATCAACACGCAGGACCTCAGAAGGATGCAATTAACATAATTGCAGAAGACTTAATTGGGGCAGATAATTTTGTGTCTGCAGTTATTAATCTCAATAGAAAGCTGCTTGCTGATCCCTGAGTATATAAACAGGTTGCATTCATCAACATAACAAGAATGCACTTGACTTTTTCAATGAAGCACTCAGGTAAAGAGTTTGTGAAGATGTACATTTCTGGGAAGCTAATTGATGCTCATCATTCAGGAATGCTGATATAAAACATAAAAAGAAAATCAAACAAACCACACTTTCATCACCAAAACAATGTAATTGTTCCACAACAGGGACAATTAAATAATCAACCAGTCACATGGCAAACTCTACTTAAAACACATTGTCTACAAAGACTTTATTTCTGTACAGATATTACAGGAAAATGTATTGTTCTCTTTGCAATAATTGACATCATTACTAGTTCTTTTATATGTGTCACTACAATGAAAGCATTTTAAGCAGTTGTTAAGGACTCCCACTGAAAACGATGTGGAGAGAAACACACGTTGGTTATAAATGAACACTGCTGGGAATTATACCTTGAAACTAGAATGTGGATATTATAATTAGCATTTAAATGGTGCCAACATATTACGCAGCTCTTTACAGTTATACAGAGGGGATATAAAATGACAAGTATTGACGTGTAATGTGATATTGATAGTAATAAGAAAAAGGCTCGGAACTTACAATCCTACACATTCCATGGTGCTGGTGTAATATATTTTGCTGCTATGGAGCCTGCTGCGGCACCTTCATTCCTCTGGTTCTAATTGCTCCTTCCATCTATACACAGAATTAGCTGATGTGGGGACATTACCCCAAGCAGAGGAACCTACCCGCATGATGCTGACCTGTTGGCTTTTCCCTTTACACATCAACATCAGAACAGAGTGACAAAGCATATTCCTATATTCGCCCAGGTAGCACGAGTAGTGCATGCTGGACGAATATCTGTGAAAAAGAGCAGGAGAACCACCTGGGGAGGATTCCCCTGCCCTCCTTCCTCATCCAACCTTTGCCATAGATATATGTGCTAAAAACACCTTAGACACAACTGGGTAATCCCTAAATCCTGGACTTTTAGGGGGTACTTGAGGACTGGGTTGAGAACCACTGGTCTAGAGGATGCCCATCTGTAGAGCTTGTCTTTATCAGCCTTTATTGATGAACAGTAGTTCTTCGATGTGACCTTGAAATGTGGTGGTGATGCACTGAAGAGCAGTATGAAATATTAACTACTGCTTCAAACCTGAGATTGGAACTTACACAAGTACAGTGTGTCCCGTCATACAATATGAATGCGTGCTATGTTAAAGAGAGACAGTACACGGTTTTGGTGGATAGACCGTGCTCTTGCAGCCAACTGCTCAATTTTCTGCCATTTAGTGTATGTTCCACCATAATTTAAGGGTTTCTCTTTTAATGCACCAATACATATATATTTTTTGAAGGACAGACATTGTTTTCTTTTAATATTCTATATGTATGCCTAATGCAACATTAACACTTTTTTTTCACAGTTTGTCTTGAAACTTTTATACATCAAGTCAACTAGAGATGTCTAACTCCTGATAGTCACATATCAGTCCTTGAAGACTTAGGTCAAAACACGTTGTGTTTGTGCTTATGTGGATGGTTTTAAACTTACATGTAAGGTTTTACTTTATTTTGAATAAAATTGTTATACTTTAACTTCCAGCTGTCTATATCCCACCATATGAGCAACACTAAGACACTGAGAAAAATCAGAAGACATATGTTAATGGGGATGCCTATTACTTCCATATACTGATGATGCAACTCGATAGTGAGGAGTGTAACCAGTATGCATATGTACACTTACAAAAAAAATGTTAAAATAAACCACGAGAAGCTTTTTCCTTCACTTATTTTAGCTCTCCAGTTGCACATAGAGACCTACTGACTGACATAGACCAACAATAAAAGGGTCATATTCCTTGTTTTATTTTGTACCTTGTGTGCACTTTCACTTTTATATATTTTGTATTCATTTTTATTTTTTGTTATTCTTCAGTGACTGACTCACGGGTGATATAGCTGGACCATTAATCTATTCATTTTTTTTTTTTTTGTATCTACTGATTGTTAAATATGTCTAGGATCTAAATTGATCTAGGATTTACTATCCCAATTCTAGCACTAAACCTATGCTTACACTATATTCGTTCACCTACCCTAACCTTATACTAATTGTAACCCAGCACTATACCTTATCCTACAGTACCCCTACAGCAACTATAACTGTAACCCTAACTCACATAGATTCCCTCTATGAGTCAGCAGAGGGATTTTCCAGCTCACAAAGTACAGAGCACACTGTAAGCAGCTCTATATTGGAAGATTACATCAAGACAGGTAGATCACAGTGACCAGTGCTGTCGCAGTCAGTAGGGAGACCCTGTCAGAGTTCTTTTCAGTCTCTGAGGTTTCCGTCTGTCTGGCATCAGGGTGAGAATCACTGTGGCTGAACACAATCACTTGCCATGGTGATTTAATGGACTAAATGCAGCACTTACTTTGAGTGCTGCATACAGATCACCTGTTAGTCTTGGGCTACTAAATATGACTCCAGCTGACCGAGGCGATTACGAATAAGGAAAATAAATGAAGGCAGCTCAATCAATTGCTTTGTGCACCAAAAACTAGTGCTACCACAATTTATTTGAAGGATATGTATCACAAACGTTTCGGGGTAACTACTTTCTCAATGCAGCATGTGTAAATTCTCCAGTTAGGGAAGGAAAACATAAGGGAAATATACCAAATAGTTACATGCAAGAAGGCAGTAATTACAAGTCTGCAAACATCAAAGGAGGAACCCAATACGTAAAAGTAATGTGTAGATAGATTACAATGTAATAACAGTGTATATCACAAATAATATAACATGGACACAATATCCACTATATATGCATAAAAGACCCTACCATAAGAGATAAGAGCAGATGACAGAACTCAGAGGGAATAAAAAAGCTAATATATCAATATGTCTTCAGAGAAAAAAAAAAGTTCAGTAAGAAAGGAATAATGGTAATGAAGGAATACTTACAAGACTCACCATCCGGTGGGTACAGGGTGCCGTACCTACAGGAACCAGTGCTACTCAAGCTTCTCATTAAGACCACAAGGGGCCACTGAGTCACAGAAACATAGAATGAGACGGCAGATAAGAAGCATTCGGCCCATCTAGTCTGCCCAATTTAAAAAAAAAAAAAACACTTTTTAGTCCCTGGCCTTATCTTAAGTCTAGGATAGCCTTATGCCTATCCCACGCATGCTTAAACTCCTTTACTGTGTTAACCTCTCCACTGCCCTCTCTGTAAAGCAATACATCCTGAAATTATTTTTAAACCTTTGACTATGTCCTCTTGTTGTGGTAGTTTTTCTTCTTTTAAATATTGTCTCCTCCTTTACTGTGTTGATTCCCTTTATATATTTAAATGTTTCTATCATATCCCCCCTGTCTCGTCTTTCCTCCAAGCTATACATCTTAACATCCTTTAACCTTTCCTGGTAAGTTTTATCCTGCAATCCATGAACCAGTTTAGTAGCCCTTCTCTGAACTCTCTCTAAAGTATCAATATCCTTCTGAAGATACGGTCTCCAGTACTGCGTACAATACTCCAAGTAAGGTCTCACCAGTGTTCTGTACAATGGCATGAGCGCTTCCCTCTTTCTACTGCTAATACCTCTCCCTATACAACCAAGCATTCTGCTAGCATTTCCTGCTGCTCTATTACATTGTCTGCCTACCTTTAAGTCATCTGAAATAATTACTCATATATCCCTTTCCTCAGATGTTAAGGTTAGTAGGGTATCAAATATCCTATACTCTGCCGTTGGGTTTTTACACCCAAGATGCATGATCTTGCACTTATCCACATTAAATGTCAGCTGCCACAGCTCTGACCATTTTTCTAATTTACCTAAATCATTTGCCATTTGGCTTGTCCCTCCTGGAGCATTAACCCTGTTTCAAATTTTAGTATCATCAGCAAAAAGACATACCTTAGCCTTGTCTAAAATAGATTTTGGCAATGTGGGCAGTAGGGTCTACAGTTAGATCTATCTAACAATTGTCTCATGACTTAAGCATGATCCAGGGCAAGAAAAACTATCAATTTTGTGACTATTCCTTTAAGGCTAATTTTTCTTGAAAACAAATGCTGTGTTTAATCAATTGATTATGCTGTGGTAATTGTTCAATTAGGATTTTAACCACATTAGAAAATGTTTGCACAGAGTTATTAGAGACCCTGGTGTGAGATTTATCCCTGCTCACCATAAAATGCAAGCATGTACGATCGGATCAGCATTAAAGCCCATCAATTTTAGGACTGCATAGAATGTCCCAATGTCGTGAATGGAATAAATCATAAGTTTGTGTTAATAAACTGTGAGCAGGATATTGCTTTGCAACAGAGGGATTTAGATAGATTGGGGGACTGGGCACTAAAATGGCAGATAAAATTTAATGTAGAGAAATGCAAAATTATGTACTTCGGGGTCAAGAATGCACAAGCAACCTACACCCTAAATGGTAGTGAATTAGGGATAACCACACACGAGAAGGATTTGAGAATTGTTATAGACAACAAATTAGGCAGCAAAATGCAATGTCAATCTGCCGTTGCTAAGGCCAGTAAGGTTTTGTCATGTATAAATAGGGGCGTAAATTCTAGGGATGAAAATAAAATTTTGTCTCTTTATAAATCGCTGGAAACACCACACCTTGAATATGCTGTGCAATTTTGGGCGCCTGTTCTAAAGAAGGATATCATGGCACTAGAAAAAATGCAGAGACGAGCTACAAAATTGATAAAAGGAATGGAGCACTTTAGTTATGAAGAAAGGTTAAAAAAATTAAATCTCTTTAGTTTGGGGAAAAAGTCACCTCAGAGGGGATATGATAACTTTATACAAATATATTCGGGGCCAGTTCAAACCACTATCCGTAAATCTATTCATAAACAGGGCTGTACATAGGACACGAAGTCACGCATTTAGGCTGGAAGAAAGGAGATTTCATCTAAGGAGAAGGAAAGTTTGTTTTTTTTACAGTAAAAACTAAAGGATATGGAATTTTCTGCCTGAAAAGGATCAGAGTCCATACAGATGTTTAAACAGCAATTGGATAAATACTTCCAAAAACATAACGTACAGGGATATAATTTCTAATTAATGGGGTAATAGCTGCTTGATCCAAGGAGATATCTGCCATTTTGGGGTCAAGAAGGAATTTTTCCTAGTTTATTGCAAAACTGGAATGCGCTTCAGACTGGGTTTTCTGCCTTCTTTTGGATCAACAGAAAAAACATATGTGAGGAAGGCTGATCTTGATGGACAATGTCTCTATTCAGCTTTGTAACTATGTAACAGTACCTTTACACTACACAGGTATAAAAGTTGAGATGTGATTAGAGGTCCTTCCAATGAGAAACACAAAACATATGCCAATACAAACATTTTCTTTTTAACGAACATATGCTCCCAATGTTATTCAATAAACAGATAATTATAGAAATACAAATGAAAAAAATAGATGCACAACATATCCAACTCTGCACAAGTCACAGCTTGACTTTGTTATCTTTAATACTAACTAAAATTAGGGATTATTCTAGCTTTAGTGTACCGAAAATTCTAAATTTTATTAACGACAGGAGACGAATATTTGCTTATCTTTCTTTACTCAACCTCCCAGCAGGAAATAGTTAACAATGATGTAAAACATTTAACCTATCAGAGTGTACAGGCATAGCATATATCATCAAGCTCCTCTCAATTCCTCTTTCTTTCTGTAGGCGAGCGTGATGTAGATCAACCGTGTAAACAATAAACTGTATGAACAATTGACAAACTGGAAGTCCTGTGCATTGGTCAACCATGTAAACCAAACTGTGAACTGCTGGATTCTTCACACTGGAAGGGAATAGAGAAGGATCATGAAAGTATGGGTTCTTGTACCAGAGAAACAGTTTACAGATCACCTAAGGTGGACATCGAACCGGGATAGTTCATACAAATTATCATCAGTGAAAGTGTAATCGTTTGATGTAACCCATGTGTAAACCTATGTCATATGATGTGAGTAAGTCTTATGGAAATGTATGGTTTAGTGTGATCAATACTTACCTCAAAAGGGTGGGAGAAGTTAACAGAAGGGTGGGAAAATATTAACCTCCTGTCGTTAATAAAATTTAGATTAGTCAGTTACTAAAGCTAGTATAATCCCTAATTTTATGGCAAAACAGGAGGCTTCATATTTGCTGTTTTAACGCTCCTATATAATAGAAGATACAGCATGTGGCATGGGTTTAAAATAAAAGGTTTGAAAGGTCGATTCCCTGGACCAATCTGCAGATAAGATGTCGGAGAGGGAACTACCTGCATGGTAGGCCGAGGATGCGGCTGCACCTCTGACTGAGTGAGCTCCAAAGGAGGGGTTAATGCCTACTTGGACGAGGATCCATTTGATCCATTGTGCGATAGCAGGAGTGGAGAGCTGTTGTGCCGTTTGGTGTAGGAAACCAGGAGAGGTCCGGTAGGGGGGCGCAGTATAGCTGTGGAGTCCATGTAGTTTTGGACACAACGCGCTATGCATAGAGCAGATCTGTATGGAAAGTAAGGGTAGAAGACTGAAGAAGAATAATTTTTTTGTGCGCCTGGTGATGTTAAATTTGACCCTTTCAAATGCTTATATATCCGAAACCCTACGAAAAGAAACTAAACATAGAAGTAATGCTAGTTTGACCGAAAGTTGTCGTAGTGTCAAAGCTTCGTTGGGAGGCCAAGATTCCAATTAGTCGAAGACTTGGGTGACATCCCAAAAGGTGTATATCTTGGCTGAGGGGGTTGGGCCATTCAAATCCCTCGTAAAAGTCTACAGATAGAGGGGTGTTTACCTATGGAAGCGTTGTCAATGGAGTTGTAAGCCGCTGAAATGGCGGATCGGAACACATTGATCGACCTATAGGATTTGCCTTGATCAAATAAGGTGGATAGGAAATTCAGAATGGCTGTGAGAGATGCTGAAAGGGATCGATATCCCTTTCCAAACACCAGCTGACCCATGTCTGCCATGCAGAGAGGTAGGCAAGTCTAGTGCCTGGTGCCCAGGAGTCCCCTATGAGAGCCTGAGCTGTTGTCGAAAAACCTAACACATTCCAGGATCCCCTGAAATGGTCCAGGCAACTAGCTGGAGTTTCTCTTGAAGAGCGAGTGGATGACAGTCCCCCGCCGGATTCCTGAGGATGTCGTGGAACTGGGGTAATAGAATTGGATAATTCGCGGATAGCTCCAGCAGAGTTGGAAACCAGGTCTGGACCCTCTATAACAGAGTTACAATGACTATCATCACTACCAAAGTTTTGACCCGGTAGAGGGTGCGTTGTATCATGGAGAAAGGCGGGAACGTGTATGCTCCTGTCTTTGACCACGGGTGTAGAAAGGCACCGACTGCCAGCTGAAAAAAGCCTCTGTCTGGCGGTTTAGCTGAGACGCGAAGAGGTGTAGCGTGAGGGGTCCGCGAAGACCCTGAATTTGGTGAAACAGTCTGGGGTCCAGCTGCCAGTCGCTAACGTCTCTCCAATGGCTGGAGAACCAATCTGCAACTAGGTTGTCCGTCCCCGGAAGGTATTCCGCTCGTATGGATAAGTTCCTCTCGAGACAGAATTGGTAGAGGTCCTTCGTGAGGTCGGATAGCAATTTGGATCGGGACCCTCTCAACTGATTCCCATTACGTAATGCCGAGCCGTTGTCCATGCATAGTACAAGTGAACAATTGAAGAAGTCTTTTGTGACACTGCGTATCGCAAAGGATCCTGCTATTAATTCCAAACAGCTGATGTGTAGGGCTCGTTCCGAGAGGGACCATAGTTCCCCGGTGGACCTTTCTGAACATGTTGCGCCCCACCATAGGAGGCTGGCATCGGATTCCAGGACAAAGTCTGGTTGGGATCCGAAGATGGCTTTGCCATTCCAAGCATCCATTTTGTGGAGCCACCAGTGAAGTTCTATGTGAACTTCGTCAGTGAGGGAACTCTACTGGTCGTATGAAGTGGACCGGTGTAGGTAATACATTTTGAGCCACTGCATGGCTCGGTAGTGTAATGGTCCTGGGTAAATAGCCTGGATGGAGGCGGACAATAGGCCTATTGGTGTTTGCCAGATCGCGTAAGCGAATCTGTTGGGTTGAGAGTAGTTGTTGGAGGTCTCTTTTTATAGACTTTATCTTTGTGGAAGGTAAGTGTAAGTTCGCTTGTATGGAATCTTTTAGAAACCCGAGGAATTGAACCGCCTGTGAAGGTTCCAAGGCAGATTTCTGGAAGTTTATGACAAAACCTAGGTTTTGTAGCAACGCGGTTGTCATGTCTGTATGTTGGCGGAGCAGAGTTGGATTCTGAGCCATGATCAGAATGTCGTCTACGTAGATGATGGATCGTATCCCCTGCAATCGGGGGAATAACGCCATCATTGGTTTTATTCGTTTGGTGAAACACCATGGCGCTGAGTAAAGCCCGAAAGGCAGACATGTGAACTGCCAAATCTCCCCTTGCCAGAGGAATTGAAGAAAAGCTTGATGGCTGCAAGCTACAGTGAGATATGCGTCCTTGAGGTTGAATCTCGAGAACCAGTCTCCCACGCAGAGGAGGTCCTTGAGAAGATGGATGCCTTCCATCTTGAAATGTCTGTATCTGACCTGTCGGTTCAGATCTTTTAGATTGATAATTGGGCAAACATCTCCTGTCTTCTTGCAAACCATGAAAATGTTGCTGAAGAATGTGTGTGGGAAAGGCGATCTTTTGTCCATTAGTTTGTGTAACTCAGTTTGTAATGTGAGGTCGTCTGTCGTGGACATTCTTAGAGGTGTGGGTGGTGTATCCTGAAAAGGAGTGGAAAGGAAGTCTATTTTGAAACCCTTGACTGTGTTTAGGATCCATAGATCCTGTGAAAGTAACTCCCACTGTTGGAAAAAATGGGTTAGTCGGCCTGCTATAGGAATATTGAGAGAAAAGGGGGTTATTACTTGGAGCAGTGCGTCCGCGTAGGGAGGCAGGTCCACGCCCTCGGATGGATCCCCTGTTGGTGAACAACTGCCGGTGGTATGGGCGAGTAGTTCCTGAGTTCCAATAGTTGTCTGTGGGACGAGGCCTGTAGCCTGTGAAGGCTGCTCTGCAGGTCGTTCGGCCCCTGTAACGACCAGCTCTCCCGGAGAAACGCTGTGACTGTGAACGAAATACTCTGCGTAGGGAGGATTGGGCTTTGGTTAAGGTCATAAAGACCGATACGTGTTCTTGAGAGGGAAAGTTTGTGTTGTAAATTGAGCCAGTGCTCACCTTATGTATTCCTGACCTTATAGTGTTAAAACCACCATTTAGGTGGCTAGCCCCCTTCCCCTTAGAAGGGGTTAAAACTTACCTTATTTCCAGTGCCTTGCGAGTCTGCCGGCGCTGGCCCCACCCCCAATCCATGACATCAAAATTTACGCTTTTAGCCAATCCAATGCTTTCCCTCTAGCTGAAATCGTTAAGGAGGCAGGATCAAATGCTAGTTTGGCAAATCAGCACCTCCACATAGAGAAGCATCTCTATGAGGGAAATTCAGCGTCTCCATGCAGAAGGTGGAGATGCTGAATGGCAGTGCCCCAGGAAGCACCTCTAGTAGCCATCTGATGAGTGGCCACTGGAGGTGTCCCTAGGGGCCAATGTAAACACTGCCTTTTCTCTGAAAACAGTGTTTGCATGAGCCTGAAGGGAATTATTATATTCACCAGAACAAATGCACTAAGCTGTAGTTGTTCTGGTGACTATAGTGTCTCTTTAAACATTATATATTATTCCCTGAACTAGATAGCTCAATGCCAACTTAATTTGAGCTATCCAGTTCAGGGAAAACTTATTGCTATTGCAATTGCATACATACCTATAGATCAAGCATGTCAAACTAAAAGGCTAGCACGGGCCAAATAAACAAGATTTCTGTTTATGGAGACCGCAAAAAAAAAAAAAAAAAATTACTTGAATTTTCATAGAAACTTAGTTTTTTTTTGAAAAGTACAGTGTATAAAAAAAAATAAAAAACGAATCCCCGTCTACTAAACCCCAGTGTCCCCCTACCCCCTATACAAAATCTCAGCACCCCCTCAACTAAACCCCGGCCCTTGTTTTAAAAAAAAAAAACAATATTACTCCACTCACATTGCCGCTGTCAGTATGCGACTCCAGCCTCTGGTATACCCCCAATGGCACCGTCCGCACCCTGTGCCAAAGCTGATCCTCCCGTTACTTTCTGAAACCATGTGAAGATGGAGCACATGACGTCACATTGGAATGTGACATGGCGTTGCGTGCCTCCATGCACCTCCAGGTCCTCTACAGTCTAGCTGCAGCCATCGCAACACAGACACACTCTCTGATAGATAAACACTCACTGACACACACATTCTTGCACACACTCACAACATTTTATTTACGTTTGACATGCTTACTGTAGATATTAAAGGATACCACTTACTAATACACCCTAAGGCAACGTACACTATTATGCCATATCCACACATAAACATATGTATTTGTACATCAATTGATCTATGATGAAATCGGATTTTGTAATTTTGTAAACACTTTTATTTTTGAGAATGATGAATTCCAAAACAAATCCTCATCCTTATTGCATTTTAAAGAACCAAATGGGTTCAATTTAATTCATCCACAATAAAGTGCACCTAAACCATGTAGGAATTTATAAACATACTGACCTGCCCCACAAGCAGACACTTAGCTTGTCTACATGCTTTGCAAAGCAGTGATTATTTAGTCCCTTTATATATAAAAGGGGTTAAGTCTCAGCAGGAAATATCTTTCAATGGTCCCACAAGAGGACATAATCTTTTGGCTTTCATCCCTGCAGATATAAATCCTTGCATTACATGCAATCAACTTAATTTGCAGAACAGCTTGATATATCTTCCATATGCAGCTTTCGTTATAATCACTCGAACACTAGCTGTCCCACTTTCTGCAAATACTTTCATTGCTTGCACTGATGCCTCTTTATGTAGCCAACTGAAAAGGAGAGGGGAAAATGATTATGAATGATTTGCAATTTCCATTATTACACATATGCAACTGCTTCTGTGCCATCTCTTCTTGAATGCTACACCACTAATCATTCTTCCATCACCTAAACTCTCCTTGAGTACTAAGGAACACAAAGAACAACATCCTCAGGTCATTCTTAATCATATACAAGAAGAGTGTGTTTAGGCGCTTCACATAAATATATGAGATGGAGACCCACAAATATAGGTAATGTAACGGATATAAAACAAGTGCTTCCCCAACACAAAAAGTTACACGTAAAAATACAGGAAAATATATGTATGTGTACATACAATCCCCAGTGATAACGGGTAGGGATATAAAGCACAAATAATACAACCATATCACTAGTAGATATCAATGGATGCCTAAAACAAAATAATAAAACAACATAGTGTGAACGGTTTTAAAACAGAAAATCTAATGATAGGACTACCACTTACATAGCCCAGAACCGTACCAGGCTCTGTATTCTAGGCTCTGTATTCCAGGATACATAAAAATATATAAAACTTAAGGGTACTTTTAGCTCAGGTGGCTATGTAACCTACTAGTCAAGTCACACTTTCCCCTGAAAAACAGTAACCCACAAGTAAATATAAAGTAAAATAGAAGTGTTTCGGCTCAAATCGCCTTCTTCCAGTGCCGATAGTCTCGTTTGACTCTTCCTTTTATATCCATTCTTACCTTTATTGAAAGGTGTGACTTGACTAGTAGGCTACATAGCCACCTGAGCTAAAAGTACCCTTATGTTTTATATATTTATATGTATCCTGGAATAAAGTAATTATTTTACCAAGCATCTGATGTCCAGTCTTCTACTGTGATAAAGTGGATCCTGTAGCCAGTATTGGCACCCCTGAGCCTGAAATACAGACTCTGGGCCATGTGAGTGGTAGTCCTATCATTAGATTTTCTGTTTTCTGTTTTTAAACTGTTCACACTATGTTGTTTTATTATTCTGTTGTAGGCATCCTTTGATATCCCAATGTCTACTAGTGATATGGCTGTATTATTTGTGCTTTATATCCCTACCCATTATCACTGGGGATTGTATGTACACTGATATTTTCACATGTCATTCTTAATCATACCTTCTCTTATTTCCTCTAAAACTCAAACTCTAACCTCATCCTGCTGCCGAAAACTACATTTTGCAGGATCTCACCTCAACTGTGGACTCTCTAGGTCAACTTTTATATTCAGAAGAATTCGTCCAGTGCTTTCTAACACTACAGCTTCTATTTTCCTCTTCAAATCCTCCAAACCAAAGCCATATAGAGCAGATACAGGAACCACAGCTTCATCAGCCTCGTGACTACAGGGAAACAAAACAGAGAAACATAATGTATCTTGTTATATACGGTTATTTAAGAGTAAAAAAACAAAACAAAAAAACGCTAGTTGGAGTATCCTTTTATGTATAATTAACTGTTCAACAGGAAGTTGTCATAGTAAATTACAAAGTATAGTATTACTGAAGGGCATTATATTAATTTGAAGCTGTCACAGGCACTGCCATATTCTCTCTTAACCTCCTGGTGCTTCATTCACTTTAGTGCACTTTTGCCCATTAGTGAGAGTTCAGCACAGGCATCTAATGAGCATCCTACAGCATGTAGATATTAAAGGGTACCACTTAATGATACACCCTATTATGCCATATCCACACAAACATATTATTTGTACATCAATTTATCTGTGATGAAATCTGATAGAGAAAAGCTAGTCGAGATTTTTGTAATGATGAATTCCAAAAACAAATCCTCATCCTTATTGCATTTTAAAGAACCAAATGGGTTCAATTTATTTTATTCATCCACAAGAAAGTGCACCTAAATAATGTATGAATTCATAAACATACTGATCTGCCCCGGAGGCAGACACTTAGCTTGTCTACATGCTTTGCCAAGCACGATTATTCACTTACTCACCTTTATTCCAGTGCCCACCACCAATCCACCTCCTTGGCTGAGATCATCAAAATTGACAATCTCTGCCAACACAATGCTTTCCCATTAAAAAACATTGGGAGGCTAATGCAGCGCTGGCCATTCAGCATCTCCTTGACTCAATGTATCTCTATAGGGAACATTCAGCACCTCCATGAAGAGTGTGGAGACGCTGAACTTCAGTGCTGCACATTTTCCAGCACTAACCCAGAAAGCACCTCAAGTGGCCGTCTGAGTGACTGCCACTGGAGGTGTCCCAAGGCAGTATTTACATGAAATTGCCTGCAGCGACATACTATACTCACCAGAACTACATTAAGCTGTAGTTGTTCTGGTGACTATAGTGTTCCTTAAACACACCTCACGCCACTAGAGGCGTTTTCATAGTGATTTAATGCTGCTCTTAGGAAGACATTGAATTCAATCCTTTTCTTTGAAAAGCATTTGATTGCTCACGCACCTCATCCAATATTCTTCTACAAGAAGCATTGGATTGGAGAAGCGGAGAGAGGAACGCTTGCTGGATGTCGATGTTGAAGGTGGAGCGGCAGCAGCACAGAAGGAGCTCGCCGCTGAAAAGGTAGTGGGTGCTGAATCAAAAGAAACACTAGGATACAATAGCATAAAAATATTGGTTTGTATTCCTTAAGCTAGTGTTCCTTTAACTACAGTTCATTGAGTTTATGGTGTGTCTAGTGGTGTTCAATGAGAAGATATTACTTACTTTTCCAATAGATCAATTTTGTTATGAACCTCAATCATTGTGTCAAGAAGCTGTTGAGGAACTTTCAGCTTGTCCAGAACCGACAAGACGCTGGCCTTCTGATTGTCAGTTTCTGGATGGCTAATATCTCTCACGTGGACTAATAAATCCTGATAGAGGAAATGTGCATTAGTAAAATATACTATACCCTTTGTGTACATTTTGATAACTTCATTATGCGCATAGTATTTTATATATTAAGAAATTTATGTTTCTTGTATTTCCTATAGGTGATGGAAACAAAATAAATAAATCTCATACAGCTATAGACTGTCCTTAAGCAATATTAGTATAAAAAGGACCCCTTGAAAAAGTACCAAATATACAGTGTAAATGGAAAAGTTTCTGCTGAAAAGATTAAATTCAGGACGGAAAAAATACTTTTTTTAAATCTTAAGACTCAGATGAAAAGATCTCATTTTTAGAAAGTCAGAAACTTTTCTGAAATTTGGCATTACACAGATTTCATGTTTATTACCGAATATGCTACATCTTCCAGTGTGGCAGAGAAAGACTCAATGAGATCATGTGGGAGCTGTGAGAGAAATCCAATGGTGTCAACATAAATAACAGGCAAACGGCAGGGAAGTAAGCCACCGTGGGTCGTAACATCAAGCGTGGCAAAGAGCTGGTCACGGGGCTGGAGGTCTACATTTCCTGTCAAAGCTTTAATTAAAGTGGTTTTCCCTGCAAATTGAACACAATTATAAATAGTTATCCTAGATGCCCCTGCTAGTTTAGAGACGGCTGTGACAGCATTTTGAAAGATCTGTACAAAGCTTCATAGAATTTCAATTTACTTCATTTAGCATACTGAAATAAATTGAAAATTGAGTTGTAAAATATAGCCACAAATTGCAGATTTAAAAAGATTTATTAAGATCGAATTGTAATTGGTGTTTAGTACATACATTCTATACCTACATATCACTGCTAATACAACAATGAAGTGGTTGTGGTTCAATGTGTCCGAAGGCAACCTTCTCCATTAACCAAGGGAGATGCTAAATTTTCCTAATGGCGGTGGACTATATTTTCCACCATGGTCGACAAGACAAGAGTCACTGCAGTCCCTTAACATGTTGAAATAGGATGAATCCACCTTGATTGTTCAAGGTCTGAAAAGCCTATATTAAAGGATCACTACAGGGTCAGGAACACAAACATGTATTCCTGACCCTATAGTTTTAAAACTACCATCTAGCCCCTCTGGGCCCCTCATGCCTCCATAAATATAGTAAAACTCTTACTGTATTCAAGCCTGAAGCTGTAACTCTGCATGCTGTTTGTCTAAAAAAAAAAAACAAGCAGTCTGCTGACATCATCAGAAGTGGTAGCCTGGTCCAATCACTGTGCTTCTCCATAGGATTGGCTGAGATTGACAAAGAGGCAGATCAGGGGCAGAGCCAGCATGATTCAAACTCAGCCCTGGCCAATCAGCATCTCCTCATAGAGATGAATTGAATCAATGAATCTCTATGAGGAAAGTTCAGTGTCTGCATTAAGAGGGAGGAGATACTGAATGTTTGGATTCATTTTAGGCAGCCATGACCCAGGAAGGATCTCTAACAGCTATCTGAGGTATGGCCAGTGAAGTTTACAGCAAAAAGCCTGAAGGTAATGATTCTACTCACCAGAACAAATTCAATAAGATGTAGTTGTTCTGGTAACTAGAGTGTCCCTTTAAAGATAAGTCTGATAAATCTATATTAAAAGATATACACTAAAGAATACAATACAATATAAGTTTATTATTGCCACCCACAAGCTTTATATCTGTAATGCTTCTCTATGAGAGGCACTGCATTGGCCTGAAATCTTTGGGATTTATTTTCTCATCGGGCAGATTGGGATGCAGAGAGGAGACTACCCTGACAATGGATAACTTAAAAGGAGGGTCCTTTCGTTACAGTGCAAAAAATAAAATAAAAAAAATGCATTTCATTAAAATGTTCCTTTGAGTATCTCCACATTGCATTACAGCAGATACTCTGATATTCTAATCAATACATTATATACACTATATGTAAGATCTTGCATAGACCAACTTTCATTGAAATGTCTGGAGTATGTAATACACACCACAATTAGTATAACCCATTACAGAGATGATGGGAAACTCTCTGCGACGACGCTGAGTTCTTAGCAGGTTTCTAGTTTTTCTTAGCTTCTCCAGTGCAATTCGAATCCTCTTCTCTCTGTCCTTCAACAACCTCTGTTGGACTTCTAGGAAGGTTTCACCTAGGGAAATTTATTTTAGTGAAAACACTACAATACTACAAAACACAGTTACAATACTATTTTTAACAAATGAGAAGATGGAGAAAGATCACAGATAAATCACTTTCAAATTCCCATATTGCGAGCAAGTTAATATAATTTTACATCCATAGGGTCCATGCCAATGTGTACCATCAGGAACCATAGCTATCAACTTGTCCATGAGCGTATTATCTGCTATCTTATGACAGATCACTGCCATGGATGGAATCATGCTGTATTACTTTGTGAGCAGTCACCATAACGTATGGATGGAAACTGTTCTCTAGTTCTTACATAAAGATTTACCTCTTTCATGCCAATACGTTGTTCTTACACATCATCTAATGCATATAGTCACGGCATGTTACCTGCAGACATCAAATCATTACACAGGTTTAGTATATGAAATAGTAAAGCAATATGCCCATTACCTGAACCCATGATATATCTTGATCCACCACCTTGTTGATCCAAGTGAGCAGTCTCATTTTTTAGACTAGCCCTGCAAAAAGAAAAAGAAAATTTGGTTAAGCCAAGTGTGGAGAGTTTCCATGAACATAAAACGAATCAATCCATATCCACCACAGTGGAAATGTTTTACACAGGTGTGAAAATAAATGATGTAAAGTGTGCAAAAATCTAAAATGTTAATAGTTTATTTTTATAAATCAAAGGAACATTCTTAGCACAATAGCTTAATCGAAATGACATTATGGTGGCAGGAGGTCCACAGGCGCTTTCTTACCTAAGGCAAGATGGATTTATGAATGGGGAGCTACTGATTGGCTTAGAGCAACAGCTGACCTAACCAGTCCGCAGAGAGCGGTGGCACTCTGCCCTATCTGAAAGCCGGGTACTGCTGGGGCTATAGAAGATTCAGCGCTGGAGGCAACCTTTAGGTGAGAAAGAACCTGGGCAGTGTCAGGATTACTAGAGATGCCCAACACGCGGAACTAAAGTAGATAATAAGAAAATACCCAAGACATATTACCAGGCTTTAGAATGGCCGGATTTAACGTATAAAGGTAAATAGCCACAAGACAGGGAAAAGACAAGACGTAGAAATAACAAGCCACGGGTCAAGGAATGGAGAAATCACAATAGTCAGGAGCCAAGCCAAATTAAGGAATACAGAGATCGGAGAGTCAAAAGGGAAGCCAAGGTCAAATACACTAGAATCAATACAAGGAACGCGCACTCCGATAACCAAATGGAAACCACGACAGGGCAAAGAAATGGAAAAAATAGGCTTAAATAGCTTAAAATGTTTCATGATAAGCTGTAAAGAAACATGTGATCATGGGTGTGTGTAAAACACCAAAATGATACTTAATGGTCTGGCCCTTTAAGGGTTAAATAGGAAACCCTTAAGTATTTCACAGTTGCAGCGGGCAGCGTCTTTAATGATTACAGACCCAGCCGCTGAGAGAGGAGGAGCCACAACCATGGGTTAGTGATTGGCGGCATTCCCATCATCACGTGGGAATGCCGCCGGACCAAGATGTGCCTGCTGGGTATAAGCGGACCCGGCGGGCGAAGACCTAACAGGTAGGAAATCGGCGGCATTCCCCGGCGTTACAAGGAGCTCCTGGGACCATAACAACTTACTTTTGAAGGTGTGATGTGTCTGGAGTGTTTCTCTAACAAAATGCAAAATGAACCGAAGAAAAATCTAAATCAAATTAATATTTGGTGATGATAAGAATGTCTGAAGCTTTTTCTAATTGACATCAAGGTCTTAATGAAGGCTTGTAAAAATAAGAAGCTTACGAAGCTACTTTTAACGCTGAGAAATTATGTTTATAGGATTAACAAAATTTCTCCCCAGTGCAGAAAGAACCATCCACGGCCTCAGACACTCCAGGACTGTCTAATAATATGCATCTCATACAGCAAAAACAATCCTTAACCCCTTAAGGACACATGAGATGTGTGACATATCATGATTCCCTTTTATTCCAGAAGTTTGGTCCTTAAGGGGTTAAATAGACCAACTTTTTATTTTTATTTCCGGTTATTGTCAAAAAGTGTGCTCTCTCTTATCACAGCCATGATATTTTGTTTAGAACTCTGGTGTTAGTGCAGATAAATCTTTTAGCACAACTCTGGTTTCATTGTATACACTTACCTTAGCAGTGGAAGTTCAGCCAGAGCGATCTGCAGCTTGGCCTCTCTTGTCCGGGCATTGTAACGGAAAATGTTGAGAACAACTTTATATCTGTCTAACACCTTCACTCCCCAGACTGCTTCCAATTCTTTCTGCAACAGGGAAAACAACCCAAAAACAAAACAAACTAAATATCCCTTTACTATTATTTGCTGCCCATGTAATTTGTAATTACATTTAAAAGTGCTCTCTGTCTGTCATTGTTTTATGCATGCATAATAAAAATCATTAACTTCCAGTTTTAGACTAAAGAGGCAAAAACAGAAGAAAATGTAGTTAAAAATATCTTGTATTATAAAATTGTATTCTCTGAACTACTTAATTTATAATAACAATAAGCAGAACATTATTTGAAGTATGCTGACAGCATTCATAACAAGGTGAATTAAAAAAAAATTATAAAAGTGTTTTTATTAAATCAGGAAAAATCATGGAAAAACCAAGATTCAAATCAAGTCTTAGCAACTAGTGATTTAAATTGATTTGATTTAAGGAACACTATAGGGTCAGGAACATAAACATGTATTCCTGACCCTATAGTGCAAACACTGCCTTTTCTCTGAAGATGACATGATTAAAACGTCAGACAATCAAAGTTGAATTCTATGTCCTCAACAGCAGGGTCGGACTGGGAATGCAAAGCAGCCCTAGAAAAAAATTTCTATACCAGACCCATTTTGAATCGCGCCAGCATAGTGTGCAGATATGGAAGCAGGGGGGGAGGGGGGAACCTTGAAACTGAAAACTATCACTCAAATTTGAAAAAGAGCGGATTTATTGTAAGCAGATGTGCATTTGCATATAATCAATGTTTCAGTACATTTTCTTGATATATTAAGAAAAGTTTGGTTATTTGGACTGAAATTGTGAATGTACGCTATTGCACAGCAGTAAAAAAAAAAAAAAAATATTTAAAAAATGATGTTATCTTTTTTTTGGCTTCACGTTGGCTTACAACTGGATACATTTCAATCATTTGAAAGCATTGTGGGTCTATTGCGCATGTGTGGCAAAATGATGCGCTTCACTGCACCAATCAGCATCTCCTTTCTCCCCCATGCTCCTTTCATGTATCTAAGCCCCAACCCCATTGTCTCTTTCTCCCTTTCCATAGCCCTTCTGTGAGTATCTTTTCCAGGCCCCAGCACTTACATGTGTATCTCTCCCCACAGCTCCTCTGTGTGTCTCATTCTCCCCTTTCCCAGCCCATGTGTGTCTCTCCTGTTCATCTTCCTCAGCTCCTCTGTGTGTCTCCTGTTCCCCTTTCCTAACCCCTGTCTCTTTCTCTCCCCACACCTCTGTGTGTCATTTTACTCCCCAGCCCCTCCATGTGTTTAATCCCACCCTCTCCAGACTTCCATGTGTCCTATTAGCCATCCCTCCATCCATAGAGCCCCCCCTAGCCATCCATGTATCCCACTAGCCCTCCCTCCATAGAGCCCCCCAGCCCTTCATGTGTCCCACTAGCCCTCCTTCCCTTCCAGCCCTCCATGTGTCCCACTAGCCTTCCGTCCCAGCCCTCCATGTGTTCCTATAGCACCCTCCAAGTGTTCCTAGCCTTCCCTCCCAGCCCTCCATGTGTTCCTATAGCACCCTCCAAGTGTTCCTATGCCCCCTCCCAGCCCTGCGTCCCTATACCCCTTCCCAGCCCTGCGTCTCGGTAGCACCCCCATGAGTCCCACTAGCCCCCCAGTGTGTCCCATTAGCCCTCCCAACCCTCAATATGTCCCAATAGACCCCCTCCCAGTCCCCATGTGTCCCACTAGCCATCCCTTCCAGACCCCACGTGTCCCATCAGCCCCCTCCCAGCCCTTCATGTGTCCCTATACCCTCCTCCCAGTTCTCCATGTGTCTCATTAGTTCTCCCCGAGTCCTCCATATGTCCCTATACCCCCTTCCCAGCCCTCCATGTGTCCCAGCTCTCCCCGTGTCCCATTAGTTTCCCAGCTCTCCCTCCCATTATTCCCCCAGCTCTCCCTTCCCAGTTCCCCAGCTCTCCCGTGTCCCATCCCAGCTCTCCCTCCCCCCAGCTCTCCCGTGTCCCGTGGTTCCCCAGCTCTCCGTGTCCCATTGGTTCCCCAGCTCTCCGTGTAGTTTCCCAGCTCCGTGTCCCATTAGTTTCCCCCAGCTCTCCCGTGTTAGTTTCCCAGCTCTCCCGGTGTCCCATTAGTTACCCCAGCTCTCCCGTGTCCCCCCCCAGTCTCCCCCCCAGCTCCCCCGTGGTTTTCCCCCCCCAGCTCTCCCGTGTCCCGTGGTTTCCCAGCTCTCCCCGTGTCCCATTAGTTCCCCTAAACAGCTCTCCCTGTGTCCCATTAGTCCCCCTCCGTGTCCCATTAGTCCCTTCTCCCCCCCCAGCTCTCCCTGTACTTTGCTGTAGTGGGGCCGAGCAGGCAGACCGTGGTCCGGAAGCAGTCTTTGAGCACTTCCTGTCAGACCAGGTAGGGGAACAGGAGCTCCTCGCCTGCCAGTTACCTTGTAATTGCGCCGTGCGGCCCGCAGGCCGGTGTGCACTAGGTGGCCGCGCAAAAGCCTGCTAGTATGCCGGTCCACCGGGAAATTTCCCGGTATCCCGGTGGGCCAGTCCGGCCCTGCTCAACAGAAGTAAACTCATTCTCACATGCAAATACTTTGTATACAATTATCAATATTCAGAAAACTCTTTGTGTTTGTCTGCTATAAGTTTTACCTCTGCCAAAGGAGAAAGGCTTTCAACGTTTATAAAAACTGCAGTAATCTGAGGCAGTCCTTGGATAATCTCTATAAAAAATAAAATAAAAAAAAAGTTTAAAAAAAATTACTGGATGAAAATTAATGAGGTCTGTATACAGAGCTGTAACAAAATCACTTTACACATTAACTGTTGGATAACATTTCTTTATATCTCAACAGCACAAAACATTCACCTGAAGGATGTCACATACACTGGTATTATGTAAACACATCTAATTGGATAGAAGTTTCGACAACCCCAAGTGTTCATTTAATTATAGCAAATGAAGGAGTAATGTGAGAAAATCCTGACATCTGATCAAATTAACAATTATATACAAACCTATTATCTTAAATAAACTATTAATATCAATATCTTGCTTATCATCAAACATATTAGGAGGATACTGAAGTGTCACAACGGTGTGTAAAATGACTACGAAAGCCAATAACATACCACACCAGCTGTCTCATTGTAAGCTCTACATTTCCCTGCTGTTGCTACACAAATATGATTATTAAAAGGAATACTATAGCGTTATTCTATTAAGCTGTATTATTAACACTATAGTTCCCTCTGCCTCCCTCCTCCATCGCTGCCAGTCCTGCCAATAAAGGGTTAAAAACCCTTTATGCACTTGCCAGATTCCAGTGCCGATATCCCTCGGAGCTGGGTCGGAGCTCCGCCTCCTCCAATGTCTAATGCGCAGCGCGCGCATTAGGCCCTCCCCTTAAGAAAACGTTGAATCAATTAGACATAGTTTCAGTCCTATTTAGCACTAGGGGAATAGTGACATCTAGTGGATGTCTATGCAGCGGCAATCAAATTTTGCAACATTATATACTACATTAACTACTATTCTTAATATGGATACTTATCTATTACAATGTGTGAATAAACTATATAGTTCGTATTTAAAAGGATTATATAGTGTAAGGAATACTAAATTAAATTGATAGACACTAGAGGCGGTCTGAGTCCTGTAAGGTAATTATTGCAATTTCTATAAACTGCAATGATTTACATTGCAGGACTAAGTGTGACTGGGACACTGCACCCAGACTATTTCAGTGAAGTGGTCTGGGTGACTATAGTGTCCTATTAATTCCTACTAGATACTCATATCTGTAATTACTGCTCTTTACTATTCCTACTACAGTAATGAAAAAATAAAGGGAGATTATTTTTCCCTTTTTTATGTAGTAAAACAGGCAAACTGATTTTGTGATAAACTCCTGTTCTTTATATTAAAGTAATTAGAATGACATTACATTAATAACTTGTGATTTTATTGTTCGCAATTAAAACCAACTAGGCATATTCGAATGTGGCTTTAAAAGCATCATTTTCTTTTTGGTTAAATTATCCATGTATTAGAACTATTGATTCTTTGGCGATTCATGGTAGACTAATTTTTTGAGTAATATAATACAATAATAATCTACCAGTGATCAGTTGGAAATTTGAGATCTCTTAATGATCAGTTATACGTTAAATGAAAATAACTAATTTTGTTTTTTGCTTTGGGAAGGTATTGCCCTTTTTAATTAAATATCAAATAAAGGTTATATTTTAAGTCTCACCGCTTTTTAACTTTTAACTGTTGTTGGTGTGAATACTTTGTCATCTATTTTTTATGTATGCCCTGTGCTTGTTTTTGTTTATAATAAATATTCCTTAATTAAATTCTACATTTGTCTGGAAAAGAATAATGAACCCTGAAGAGATGGATTCAATGGTATCTTCAAACTGCATTGATATTGCACTTTTCACCTTATAAATTGTCTTGCTAGTGGCAGCTTTTGGATACTATAGTTAAATGTGGGGTGGTGTCAAAAGGGATTTTTTTATAATTATTTTCAGTCTTGTGCAGACGAGAAAGATTTGAAAAAATAAGTAATAGATATATTAACCATTTCACACCCAGAATCAAATCGTGAGCATGCTTGGAGTAGTGTGTGTGTGTGTGGGATATGTCTGTTGACAAAAGCCATCTGTATAAACTGACTGATAAATGCAAGCTCCTTCAACAGAATATGAAGGAACATATACTTGTATCCTCAGAAGCACTAGATTTAGATCATCAATAATGATGTCCTTAGGGATAAATGTAAACACTACATTTTCTGTTGTTACACTGCAGGTGCAGTTTCTGAAACTCAAACACGTTTGACTTGATTAAGATAGTTGTATGTTGTTCCACTCTTAATTGGATAGCCAAAGAATAACACAAGAAGTGCAAACAACTGAATGGGGAAAAAAAATATAAAGAAAAGGTTAGCTGCCTGCCTTGTATTAAATATTACCTGTAAGAACTTTGAAATTGCCTTTGCCAAATATTAGTTTGCTATCAGGGGATTTTGTAGACAAGATCAATTTATCCACCAGTGTCCAGTTAGGAAGACTGTGTACCAGAGCAGCAGCTTCAGCCATCTGTAGGTCAGCTAAAGAAAGAAAATAAAATACCAGGTAATAAATTCTGTTGCTATAAACAAAAATATGTTAAATAAACCAAACTAATTATAATTGTGTGACCAGTGTCAACATTCTCTGAAAAGGATTTAAACAGTTTGTGCTACTTTGAAAAATGTATGAAAGGGACACTCCAGGCACCCAGACCACTTCTGCCCATTGGAGTGGTCTGGGTGCCCACTCCCACTACCCTTAACCCTGGAACTGTAAATATTGCAGTTTTCATATATTTGGATTACTCTTCACGCCACCGACACCTTCTGGATATCGTTAAAAGTAGAACTTTGGAAAGGACAATATAGATCCTATTGGACTCAATACTATTATTCATTGTACACATTGGCGCAGACCCATCCCCCCTATTTTCTTGCTTTTACCATTTGATTTCCAGGGACATTAGAGGGAGTCCTTCTTTGGGACTGCTGCCTTCCTGATTAGCGCTAACTCCACCCCTTGTTCTGTAATAATTACATTGCAGGGTTAACTCCTCCTCTAGTGCCTGTCTACTAGACAGCCACTAGAGGGCACTTCCTGGTTCATAGCACAGATTATATAGCGTTGCGGGACGTCCTCACGCTACGTGAGGACCTCCAGCGTCGCTGAAATCCCCATAGGAAAGCAATGAAAGCATTTTTCAATGCTTTCCTATGGGGAGGTCTAATGAGCGTGCGCAGCAATGCACATTAGGTCCCCCCCCACGCCAACAGCCAGGCATGCGCAATCGGTCTCCTCCTCCTGGGATGGGGAGTTTGTTTTCCTGGCACTGGAGTGTCCCTCTAAAGTATATTAAAAGGGATCGGTCATTTATATGGAAATTCCACTGCTTCCATGTTAGCACCACTTCCCAAAACAGACACCTTTTATAGATGACCTCCACCTTAATGTATCATCCTCTCTCTAGGCTTTCTGTATGTCAAGTAAAGGACAGATCTTACAACAATGATTAATAGGGAACCAAGATGGAGGAAGCCAGCCACGGCATAAAAATGTGTGGATTTCTACATTTAATTTGATTTTTTTTTCACACCACACATACTTATTTGTTATATATAGGAATAAACAAACATAAAAAATCCTGGGAAGTGACAGTTAGCTTTTAAAGAGGAATGTTTTATGCAGGTGCAGTACATATGTTGTACAGGTTTTGAAGTACTATGTAACAAATACTGGGTAGTTGGGTGCTATATTATAAAAAGAAAAGCATTTGGGAGCAACATATAAAAGTTGATGTAATCAACCATTTAAAAGGAAACGATAGTCACAAGAACAACTACAAGTGAATGTAGCGGTTCTGGTGTCTATAGCCTGTCCCTGCAGGCTCAATAGAAACGCTGCCCAGATACAATGAACATTCCCCATAGAGTTACATTGACTCAATGCATTTCTACGAGGAGATGCTGATTAGCTTCTGAATGCTTTGCTACTGGAAACCATTGGATTGGCTACGATCATTAAGATTGATGATCTCAGCAAGGGAGGCAAGACCTGCCCTGGCAAGACCGGTGCGACATAGGAGCAAAAGTGAGTAATCGGATCAGGGCCAGTCACCCAAAATGCCACATCAGGACTACAATGTCAGGAATACATGTTGGTATACCTGACACTATAGTGTTCCTTTAATCTAATCCACCAAAATTGCACAAACTAAATGAACCATCCGAAATCAGAAGCAAAATTTAGACCAGCAGGATCAAACTGCGCCTCTGCAATTTACAAAGAGGCAGAAAAGTACTGTACTTTCACATTTATTAAAAATCGAAACTTGTCCAGGCTAGCAAATTGTGGCTAGCTGTCACACCCACCAATTTCTCATGGACACATATTTATAAATATTGATGGGCTGAAAACTGCTGCCTTGGAAAATTCTAAGGCAACAGGTAGGAAATCAATTAAAGGGACACTCTAGACAACATAGCCACTACAACGCATATAGTGGTTATGCTGCCAAGAGTCCCCAGGTACCGTTTGAAGGTAATTGTCAGATCATTTGTGAGCAATTTGACAATTATCTTGCTATTACAGTAAAAAAACACATTTGACTGTTCTAAGACTTGTTAAAAGGTAAAAAAAAAAAAATGTTGCCAGGTCCGTTTCAATACCTCACTGAACCATGTGCAGAGCAACTTTGTTTAGAATTACCTTGCTGTATCAAGTGCCTGCAGTCCTAGTTTGGTCTGATAATGCAGCAATACACAGTTCCACATTATCATACCAGATTTACATAGTATTCATTAACCGGGAGCCATGAGCTGACACTTCCACATTATCATACCAGATTTGCACAGTATTCATTGGCTGGAAGTATGAACTTTTCACCAACTAAGACCAAAATAGCCACAGGAACCAAACAACTTTACATTAGACCTTTCAAAAAGTATTTTATTACACTATCCTGCAGTACATTAGTTCTGCATACTGCTGTGCAGCACTTTTACAATCCTACTTGGCAAGATTAAAATGCAATGGGAGGATACTTTGGTAGATATGACAACCGCATAGACAACAGACAGCTCTCCAGCACTTGTAGAAATACAATTCCATTTACTGCTAATTTTCTAAATTCAGAATGCTGAGATTAACTTTAATATTGTGTCTGTCAGGTACCATCGCTATAAATGCCCAATTCTTACCCTTGCTATCATAACTAAAATGTTATAATGTTAAATTCTGCAGTCAAAAATATTTTCTTAAGACACTAAAAAATGTACTCTTCTAAATCTTTTTTTTTTGGCTTGTAATGAGAAGACAAACTTTCCTATTTAGGACTATGCAATTAATGTGGGCAGTTTTTATTCCGCAAACAGCAGTTATTAAGCCAGCATCGCTAACACACACATATCAGCAGAGAGCACAGATCAGGACTAGTCACATTATCAAGGGTAACACCTTGACCCCTTCCCTCTGAATTCCAGATTAGGGTAGCAGTGTGGTTTGTGTCACACAGTGTGATGATGTACCCCTGCTCTATGTTTGTTATGAGGACCATGGCTATTACCAGTGGTTGTATACTGCTTTTTTGGTCCCCACTTGACGTCTGGGTGTACAATAAAAACATGCTGGGTCTCATGAATAAGGGAGGTGGAGTGTGGGATCATGAGGTCCTCGATCCCCTCACTGTCCTCCCATTCCTCCTCCTCAGTCTGCCAGTTAATGGGGTCTCTGTCATCCCAGCCCCCGGAGTAGCCGCTATGCTTGCCCTTGCCGCATGGAGACCCCACAAACAGGGTGCGGGCCCCCGGCACCGGCCGGAATCGCTCATTGAACGAGGAGCGGGGAGTTATTAAAGCAAGCCGGCGGGATCCTGTGGCCCTTGACAAGGCGCTCAGCCGGCAGACATGACAGCCCCACGCTGCTCGCAGCACACACGGAGCCAGCATGGTAGACGAATCCCCGGGTCGCGCATTACGCGGTCACATGACCACCCTGACACCTATGGCCTGTGACCTGCGCGCATGCGCTGTACGAGCTGGGGCGGGCTGCACGGAAGGGCGGGTCTATTTTCGCTGGGGATTCGGATTAGCCCCGCCCATTCCAGATACAGCTAGTGTGTCACTGGGTGAGCATGATGGGCATCATAGTCCTCAACACCCAGCGGATTATTTGTTGGTCAGCACACATTGCCGTGTGGGTTAGGGGGTGTATTTACTAAACAGTGAATTATAGTTTGCACTCTCACTCACTAAGCCGAGAGACCGATTGCTCTCCCACTGGACCATTAGGGACCCAGGAGCACCGATAGACCACCGGCTGAGCTATCCCCTGCTGGATCCCCGGGGAGGATGATCCCTCCATTGGACCACTGTGGATCATAGCCCTCTTTCCTTGACCACACACACACACACACCAGTGGCGGATCCAGAGCCTGATCTCAGGAGGGGCACTTGTAGATTATTTAAAGAAATAATCCAGGCACAATAACCACTACAGCTCAGTGTAGCGGTTATGGTGTCAATAGTGCCGGGACTCCCTCCCAGAGTAAGTAGTCAAACCGTTTAAGAACAGTTTGACAACTTACCTGTGGTCTGCTGGGAAATGGGGCTGTAGTAGGGCATAGGAGCAGTGGTGTGTGTGAGTGGTGCAGTGTGTGAGGGGGACAGTGTGTGAGCAGTGTGTGTGAGGGTGGCAGTGTATGTCAGGGATGCAGTGTATGTGTGGGACAGTTGCAGTGTGTGTGTGAGTGTGGGCATGGGGGCAGTGTGTGTGTGTATCGGGTAGTGTATGTGTGTATGGGGGGCAATGTGTCTGTGTGTGTGATAAGGGTAGGGGGGTCTTTTTTATGATATATATATTTATTTAATTTAATCTAAATATTCTATGTCCCCCCTCCCTTCTTACCTTTACTGGGGGGGGAGGGGGACACTTCTTGGTCCCTGGTGGTCCGGTGGGGGATTCATTGGTGGTCCCAGTGGTAGGAGTGAACTCTAGCCCGCGCTCCAGGGCTAGAGTTCACTCTCGCGAGATTTGGAGCATTGCAGTGGTAACAATCTCGCGAGAGGAGGACCCGGAGGAGCTGCAGCCTGAGCTCCCGGGTCCTCTCTCCTCCCTCTCCCTCCCCTGCCGGCTGTCAGCACGGTGCCTGCGGACCGGGGAGGGAGATCTCTGATCTCCCCTCCAGTCCGCAGGCACATTGCAGGGCTGGCAGTGGAGGGAGACCGTCGGATTTCTCGGGGGGGGGGCAATTGCCCCGCTGCCCCCCCCTGGATCCGCCACTGACACACACACATTACAAACAACCACCACACACACACACATTACAACAGCCAGCTCACCCCACACACACATAACATACAGCCTGAATTTTTGAGCTGATGTTATGCTAAACTTATCTAAAATTGTTTGCCATAGGCATTATCTTCAGTAGATACACCTCTGCCTGAGTGTGTATGGCAACATTTGTGTGTGTGACTACCTGTGTGTGTCAGTGAGCATTGTGTCAGTGAGCACCTGTGTCTGTATTAGTGAGAAACTGTTTGTGTCAGTGACTGTCTCTATGTGTCAGTGAGCACCTCTGTGTGTCTGTGAATGAACATCAGTATTTGTATGTGTATATGAGTGAGCATGTATGTACAGGTATTGTCAGACATATTATACCTATGTGTGTGGATGAGTGTATATCTGTGAGTATCCGAGTGGGCATCTGTGTGTGCATGTGCCAGTGACCACTCGTGTTTGCGTCTGTGAGTGAGCACCTATGTGTGTGTTGGTCTGTGAATGAGCTCATGTGTGTGTTTCTATGAGTGAGCATACGAATGATGGGAAATGGCAGGGTAAGGAAAAGCCTTTAAAAAAAAAAAAAAAAAGATTGGAAATTATGTAAGCAAAGCAGTCCTTACCTTCTCGTGTATATCTTGTGGTTGCATTGGATAAAAAAACAAAAACAAAAAAAAAACTCCCATGGAGTCAGGGCTTTTAATAAATATTACATCTTTATGAAAGCTCAAAAGTTGTGGTACCATCTTCAGATAGTATAAGGAGACATTTTTGGGCAAAGTTCTAAAAGTGGAGCAATCACCATGGAAACTGATGGAACATTCCTGCTGACAACTGTACTTTTAAATTTGCAGTTTGCATCTTTCTATAGCTCCTTATGCTATTTATGTTTCACCCAATACCTGTGGAAAGCAGTGTGGGTGGGAACATAGGGATACAGTACATTTCCTCCTTTTCCTATTGGCTGAGTGGCACCTAGATCTGCAGCATCCCATGCAGCCACTGCATTCTGAGTCACACAGAGACATAATAGCATTTCTTTCCTCTCACTGCACATACTCTATCTCTTCTCTGTAGCTCCTAGCAGACCCCTCCTCCTATCTTTCTGGTTAGTGGCTTGCAAGAATGGCTGCTGTGAGCCAGTCTCAGCCCCTGCGCCAGCCCTGCCTCTACCATTCATGTTGTAAAGGTAGCAGAACTATTGCAGTATATTGTGTTTGAATCTTGCTGGGGATGGGAGTGTGTGCATGGATTCCCTTTGTTAAGCTGTATGTGTCTAATGATTTAATCTGTGTAATCATTGGGGTGTTATCATAACAATGCAAATTTTGGATAACCTTGTTAATGTCACATTGCCATTGCTAGCTAATCAATCAGTGACCAAGGGGTACACTTACAATGCTTCTTATTTTTATATTGGGTCCGGGGTTAGCAGATCAGGGGGGGCATAAGTCACTGACACCTGGGTGCCAGATTTTTTTAGTGCAATGTATGAATGTAACCAAATTATTGTTCTCTTTAAACATCTCATTTCACTTCCTTTACACCTGTGCACATTTTGTGTGCCCCACGAACGTTGCATTAGATACAATGTGCATACAATGCGAATTCGACAGCTGTGACAGCAAAGCAAGATTTGGTTTCTGTGTACAGTAAAGCTGTACCTCGCATCTTTATTGCGATGCAAATGGGAATTTCTCCCTGGCGAATTTGCATTGCATGCGCCGTTCATACTCAAATCTAATGCACCATCAAATCTGTGTTCACATGCACATTACATTTACCAGAAAAAAAACATTTTTCAGCTTCCAGGTTTCAAAATTTGAGTGCACATTAGATTTAATGGTGCATTTGATTAGAGTAAATAAAGTCTATTGATTTACTCACTTTTCTTCTGTTCTTGCACCGCTTTGTGGGTGTTACTCATCATCTAACACCCACCTCTAGACCGTCTTTGGCTCCTCCTCCGCTCTGCCTCCAGTCTTCTTTGATTTGGCCTTCTTTAGGACTAACCTGAACTAGGGCAAACCTATTCAGTTACACTTTGTTGCTGTAACGTACAACCCAACACGCAGAGTGAAATCCCACCAGGGGAGAATAGAGATAGGAGGAAGATCCCTTAACCGGTCCTTAGGATGGCAGGAATAAAGAATACACTTTAAGGAATGTCAGAACAAGCCAAGATCAAGGGAAGCCAGAAATACACAAGTACGAGGAACAAACCCGAGTCAATGGAGCCAGAAAACAGAATAGTTGAGAGGAAGCCGGGTCAAAACCAGATATATACCACAAAGGATATAGGAACGTGCTATAAGGACACTAGTGACAAAGGAACACTAGGTACCACAACATGGCACTGTGCTTTGGGCAGAATGGGCTTTTATATGGTTGGGGGGGGGAGGGTGGTTAGCATCGCCAGGCTCCCAAAAGGTACGTTTGTGCTGAGCTCTTTTGCATAGAGCTCTTCCGATGCGTGCGCCGCATCATAAAAAGGAGCGGGCTCACAGCGGCTGGCAGCCCTGAGGCTGAGTGGAATCACTATCTAGACCCCCTGGTTTGGCTGAGATTGCCAAGGAGGCGGGCCAGGGGCAGAGCCAAACTCCGACCTGGCCAATCAGCATATCTTCATAGAGATGCATTGAATCACTGCATCTCTATGAGGAAAGTTCGGTGTTTGCATGCAAAGGGTGGAGACACTAAATGCCAGTGCAGAACTGCCCTAGGAAGCACCTGTAGTAGCCATCTGTGGAGTGACCAGTAAAGGTGTCCCTAAGCTGTAATGTAAACACAGCCTTTTCTTTGAAAATACAGTGTTTACTGCAAAAAGCCTGCAAGGGGTGACTATACTTATTAGAACAACTGCATTAACCTGTAGTCAGAGGCAGCTCTCTAATTAGGCTATTTAGGCAGCCGCCTAACGCCTCACGCTGGCTGGGGCCTTGCAGCTGCCTAAATCGCCTTGGAGCAGACTGACTGGTCGGATCCTCGGTCCATGACTGAGGGCCGACACTGGGAGGGGGCCCGGCAGCTTGTCCTTTATGCCGCCAAGTGCGAAGCCCCTCCGATTAGTCTGCGCGGGAGAGAGCACTCTGCAACCTCTGGTCTGCAGCTCCGCAGTGTACAGAGATGCAGACCATGTGGTAAAGGCCTCATGATCGTCAGCCAATAATACTCTGAACTGAAATCGCGAGACGTTGACCACATGGTTTGCAGCTCTGTACACTGTGGAGCTGCAGACCAGAGTGCTCTCTCCCGAGCAGACTGAAATCAATACCACCAGACGACCATGGAATTTTACTACTTGAGAAAAGGTATTTAAGACACTCAGTAACCCCCCTCCAACATTGTCATTTCCCTCCAACGCTGTCATTTCTAACTCAGTCCCCCCCCTCCAACTCTGTCACCTCTCACTCAGTCACCCCCTCCAACACTGTCACCTCTAACTCAGTCACCCCCCTTCAACACTGTCACCTCTCACAAAGTCACCCCCCTCCAACACTGTCATCTTCAACACTGTAACCGCCAACACTGTCACCCCCTCCAACATTGTCACCTGTCACTCAGTCCCCCCTCCAACACTGTCACCTCTCACTCAGTCACCCCCTCCAATACTGTCACCCCCTCCAACACTGTCACCTCTAACTTAGTCACCCCTTCCAACATTGTCACCTCTAACTCAGCCACCCCCTTCAACATTGTCACTTCTAACTCAGTCACCACCCTCTAACACTGTCACCTCTCACTAAGTCACCCCCCTCCAACACTGTCACACCCAACACTGTCACCTCCTCCAAAACTGTCACCTCTCACTCAGTCACCCCCCTCCAACACTGTCACCTCCAACACTCTCACCCCCTCTAACACTGTCACCCCCTCCAACACTGTAATTTCCAACTCAGTCACCCCTCTCCAACACTGTCACCTCTCACTCAGTCATCCCCTCTATCACTATCACCCCCTCCAACACTATCACCCCCTTCAACACTGTCACCTCACATTCAGTCACCTCCCTCCAACACCCTTCCAACACTGTCATCCTCTGCAACACTGTCACCTCTCACTGTCACTCCCTCCAATACTGTCACCCCCTCCAACACTGTCACCTCTAACTTAGTTACCCCCTCCAACAGAGTCACCTCTCACTCAGTCACCCCCTCCAACACTGTCACCCCACTCCAACACTGTAATTTCTAACTCAGTCTCCCCCTCAACACTGTCACCTCTCACTCAGTCACCCCCTCCAACACACTATCACCCCCCTTCAACACTGTCACCTCTCATTCAGTCACCCCCTCCAACACTATCACCCCCTCTAACACTGTCACCTCTCACTCAGTCCCCCCTCCAACACTCTCACTCAGTCCCCCTCCAGCACTGTCACCTCTCACTCCAGTCACCCCCCAACACTGTCACCCCCTTCAAACACTGTCACTTCTTACTCAGTCCCCCCCTCCAACACTGTCACCTCTCACTGTCACCCCCTCCAACATTGTCATCTCCCTCCAAAATGTCATCTCTAACTCAGTCACCCTCCTCCAACACTGTCACCCCCTCACACACTGTCACCTTTCACACGCTCAGCCAGCCCCCTCACACACTGTCACCTCTCACACACTCAGTCACCCCCCTCACACACAGTCTGCCAGCCCCCTCACACATTGTCACCTTTCACACACTCAGCCAGCCCCCTCACACACTGTCACCTCTCACACACTCAGCCAGCCCTCTTACACACACTGTCACCTCTCACACACTCAGCCAGCCCCCTCACACACTGTCACCTCTCACACGCTCAGCCAGCCCCCTCACATACACTGTCACCTCTCATACACTGTCAGCCCCCCAACTCCTCCTAATCCTGTCACTCTCATCCCTCCAACCATACCAAACTCACCATCCCTCACCCTGCCACACTCACAATATCACATTACTAAATTCACCTGCCCTTACTCTGCCCATATCACATTTAATCACCCAATCCTGTCACACTCTCTTTTCTCGCACTGTTACACTCATCCTCTATCACTCTACCAAGTCAACCCCTTCACCCTGTTCCACTCATTCTATCACATGAACCCCTCCAAACCTGTCCTTCAACCACACTCACCCTGTCACATTAGCGACATAATCCCATTACACTCTCTCCTCCACCCATGCCACATTCACCCCTACCCTGTGATATTAACCCTCTCAACCATGCCACACTCACCCTGTCAGATTAACTCCCTAATCCTGTCACACTCATCCCCCCAACCATACCACACTCACCCTGTCACATTAATCCCCCTAATAGTGTCACACTTATCTCCACTCATCCTGTCATACTCTCTCCTCCAACCATGTCAAAGTCACCCCCACCTTGTCTTTCTCTCTCTCCCTCATTCTGTCACACTAACCTCCCCACACTGTCTTATTCACCTCCTTTGCCCTTTTACACTCATCCTGCCACAGTTACCTTGTTACTCACCCTGTCACAGTCATCAGCTAAAGACATTCATCATACATACACACAGTCATGATACCTAGCTTTGCCATAAACACAATGCACAAAGACCACAGGCAGCCCCCCATACAAACAACACACTACAAGCAGCTACCCCTCACACATACAATCCCAGAAAAAAACACACATATACATACATTCACACCCAATGATACTCTGTCAGACACACACTCTCAGGCACATACACAGGTAGACAATGCCATGCATACTCATAGATACACATGCCAGATACACATTGTGACTGTATGTTTATATTTGTTAATGTGTGTGTCTCTGTGCATCAGTGTGTTTGCATGCATGTGCATGTATTAGAGTGTGTATATGTGTGCATGTATTAGCGTGTTTGTATCTATGGCTGCAATGTGAGGATGGTATTGACAATGCAAAGATAAAGTGGCAGCATATATAATATACGTACATATACAATACAGGAGGAGGGACAACACATTTATATACTATAAAGCCATGGGTGCCCAAAAGGTAGATCCCCAGAGGTTTTAGAACTAGAGATTCCATTATGCTTTGTCATTCTAAAGGCATGCAAAGCATCAAGGGAGTTGTAGTGCTATAACATCTGGGGATCTATATCTATGCAAACATATCCAATTATGTATAAACAATTTGCATAATTGCAAATTTAATTTGTTTATTGCAAAGTATACCATAACTACAGTCAGAGAGCTTACAATACAGTTGCACAGGGAGCCACTGCAATGATCTGATCAATTAATACAGAGTCAATCTCTCTGTTTCTAGCTCTTTAAAGGACCACTATAGGCTTTAATGAAGTGGTCTGGGTGCCAGGTCCAGCTAGCCTAGGGCCAGGTCCAGCCTGGGTGCCAGGTCCAGCTAGCCTATCACTTTTTTCTATAAACATAGCAGTTTCAGAGGAACTGCTATATTTACCTATGGGTTAATCCAGCCTCTAGTGGCTGTCTCATTGACAGCTGCTAGAGGCGCTTCCGCGCTTCTCACTGTAATTTTTACAGTGAGAAGACGCCAGCGTCCATAGGAAAGCATTGTGAATGCTTTCCTATGGACTGGGTGAATGCGCGTGCGGCTCCTGCCTCGCATGCGCATTCAGCCGAAGAGAAGGAGAGGAGGAGGAGAGCTCCCCGCCCGGTGCCGGAGAAAGAGGTACGTTTTTACCCCTTCCTCCCCCTAGAGCCCGGCGGGAGGGGGACCCTGAGGGTGGGGGCACCCTCAGGGCACTATAGTGCCAGGAAAACGGGTATGTTTTCCTTGCACTATACTGGTCCTTTAAGCTCATCCTTCAATATAAGTACAGCTTCTTATACACACACAATGCAACACCTATGTTTTCACCTTGGGTGTTAGTGGGGCCGCATGTTTGAGTTTCGCCTAAGGCCTCACAAAGTCTAGAGCCGCCACTGGCTCTGGTTGTTCTGGTGATTATAGTTTCCCTTTAACTGACACTACCATTGACTGCAAATCAATGGAATAGTGATAGAGTTGTTATGCTACTTTGTTCTTCTGACTTTTTAATTATTCATGAAGATACAATCTTTATTTAGAAACTTCCTGTGTAAAGTGTTTTGCAATTTTACTTTATTACCAGCTCTCAAAAAGATATACTGAAGGCAAGGCAGTGACTGCTTTATCTTGTGCATAGAAGTGGCAAAACCAGAATACAGTTTAATTCCACCTGATTTGATTCCCTTTTTCTATTAACTCTTGAATCACACACCTCTATCTATATACTACAGCGAGCTGTAGTGGTTATGACACTTGGAGTGACACTTTAAACTTCATTGTATTTACAATTCGTGACAAGTTTAAAACAATTCAGGACAACATAGGGGTAACATTTTTCTGGAAATTTACTATGCTCTGAAATTTGCAAAACCACCTCAAAAAAGGTGTAAATGAGCTCTGACCTGGATCCCGTACAAATCTATCCGAAATGGCCCTGATTAACTAGCCAAGCTGGAAAAATGACTGAACTGGACATATATATGAATTTTGCTATTTTGGCCAAATGTTTGCAATTCCATACTCATACCGTGGCTATTAATTGATTAATGAATAACTCTGGTAAATATCTCAACCAGTAATATCACTTATTAACTGGTGATACATTTTTAGTGACCATCAACTTGAAGAAACCTTTGCAACCAATCCAAATGAACAGACAGCAGGTGGCGCTAGAGATGTTTTCACTTTGTTCACAACTGGATATTCTCATTAAAGGGGAGGTGATACATGTGAGTACTTCTACAATGTGTATAAAGGAATATTTTAAGGAATATTACTGTATATTATACCTTATCTTTCATGTGTAATAAGACTGATGCACCTCATGAGTGCTTGTTAAAGGAACACTTCCATCACCATAAATACATTTATTTAAATTGCTATAAGGACAGGGGTGTCCAGATGCCCTTCTGCCTCTTGGCTTTCTTGTTGCTGGACTGCTGTGTAAGAAAGATATACCAGGCTAGCCAGTGAGACCCTGATAGGATTCACTGACACACTCAGCCTATCACTGGTAGCCTGGCTAAATCTTCCTATACTTTAGCACAGAGAGCAAGGATGCTCCCAAATTTGGGATAACTCATTGGGAAATGGTTTAACACCTGAAGGTAAGACTATTTGGTTGGAAGTATTCCTTTAATTCATTATCCCTATATCAGTGTGAGAAAGCTTTTTAAAATGCCTTCCGTATTTCAGGAAAAGGAAGGTTTACCTATCACTTATGGTTGTACATCAGTGGCTAATTTTGACACCATACATTGTTTCTAAACTACATTTCCCATGATGCTCAGCTAGCTTTTAGAGTCTAAAAGCTAGCTGAGCATCATGGGAAATGTAGTCCAGAAACGATTTATGGTGTCAAGGTTAGCCATCACTGTTGTACATAGACCATAACCTATTGGGAAAAGCTAGGGCCGTTTGATAGTTGCATAACATTACAAGGTACGTCAACCTGTAACTCACTTAAACTAGTTATGGTTCAATTTAAAGGAACACGCTAAAAAAGATAAGTAACATATACAGTATCTCCCAAAAATGAGTACATGCCTCACATTTTTGTAAATATCTTTTCATGTGACAACACTGAAGAAATTACACTCTGCTACAATGTAAAGGAGTAAGTGTACAGCCTGTATAACAGTGTAAGTTTGCTGTCCCCTCAAAATTACTCAACACACAGCCATTTATGACTAAACCGTTGGCAACAAAAGCGAGTACACTCCTAAGTTGAAATGTCCAAATTGGACCCAAAGTGTCAATATTTTGTGTGGCCACCATTATTTTCCAGCACTGCCTTAACCCACCAGAGCTTCACAGGTTGCCACTGGATTCCTCTTCCACTCCTCCATGACGACATCATGGAGCTGGTGGATGTTAGAGACCTTGCGCTCCCCCACCTTCCATTTAAGGATTGTGCACAGATGCTCAATAGGGTTCAGGTCTGGAGACATGCTTGGCCAGTCCAGCATCTTTAGCAAGGCCGTGGTAGTCTTGGAGGTGTGTTTGGGGTCGTTATCATGTTGGAATACTGCCTTGCAGCCCAGTCTCCAAAGGGAGGGGATCATGCTCTGCTTCCGTATGTCACAGTAGATGTTGGCATTCATGGTTCCCTCAATGAACTGTAGCTCCCCAGTGCTGGCAGCACTCATGCAGGCCCAGACCATGACACTCTCACCACCATGCTTGACTGTAGGCAAGACACACTTGTCCACTTTAGACTCCATATGAACTAAATAAGTTTACTTGTCTTCAGCAAACTGTTTGTCGGCCTTCTTGTGCATCATCTTTAGGAGAGGCTTCCTTCTGGCACAACAGCCATGCAGACCAATTTGATGCAGTGTGCGGCTTATGGTCTAAGCACTGACAAGCTGACCCCCCACCCCTTCAACCTCTGCAGCAATGCTGGCAGCACTCATAGGTCTATTTCCCAAAGACAACCTCTGGATATGACGCTGAGCATGTGCACTCAACTTCCTTGGTCGACCATGGCAAGGCCTGTTCTGAGTGGAACCTGTCCTGTGAAACCACTGTATGGTCTTGCCCATCATGCTGCAGCTCAGTTTCAAGATCTTGGCAATCTTCTTATAGCCTATGCCATATATATGTAGAGCAACAATTCTTTTTTTCAGATCCTCAGAGAGTTCTTTGCCATGTGATGCCATTTTGAACTCCCAGTGACCGGTATGAGAGAGTGTGAGAGCAATAACAGCAAATTTAACACACCTGATCCCCATTCACACCTGAGACCTTGTAACACTAATGAGTCACATGACACCGGGGAGGGAAAATGGCTAATTGGGCCCAATTTGTATATTTCCACTTAGGGGTGTACTCGCTTTTGTTGTCAACGGTTTAGACATTAATGGCTGTGTGTTGAGTTATTTTGAGGGGACAGCAAATTTACACTGTTATACAGGCTGTACACTTACTAATTTACATTGTAGTAGAGTGTCATTTCTTCAATGTTGTCACATGAAAAGATATAATAAAATATTTACAAATATGTGAGGCGTGTACTCACTTTTGTGAGATACTGTATAAGGACAGGTGGTGCATGCAGCATTCACTGGGATGTACCAATCCATATCTTCTGTATGCCTCTTAAATATATTTCTTATATCAAGTAAACTTTTCTTTTAAAAATCACTTTTCTGCACTAATGCGTGAAAACATGAATGATACCAGATTAAGAGGGGGAGGAGTGGAAGGGGTGTTCTAAAAGTTTCTTATTTTTCCAGATGGTCCAGTGTAGAATTTAGTATTTATTTAATCAGGACAATTGTTAATTTGTTAATATATTGGTTTTACCCCTTAAGGATCAAACTTCTGGAATAAAAGGGAATCATGACATGTCACACATGTCGTGTCCTTAAGGGGTTAAAATCACTCTCTATATTGGTTTACATTTCTGTTTGTTATTCACTCTATTATCCCTAGTTACAGGAGCAACTTTCAGATGATATCAGCATTGGAGAGTCTGATATATTTCACATGTTTGGTGAGTTTACAGAAAAATAATTCTGTTCATAACATATTGGAGTTTATTAACTAAACCAGACAAATTGTAGTTAATTGAAATCTGAATTGCAAAATTAATGTCAAACTAGCTGATTTCATAAAATTCTCCACCTCATCTTGGCTTTTTTATCCTGAAGTTTGCAATATGGTTTTTCAGTTCACCATGATCTGGTTGTCAGTGGCTAAACCCAGTGAGACATTAAATGGGGATTGCACATAACATTATTTCATACTTTTCAACTTGTGTCATATAAGTCAAGAATGTCATGGAAGTCTTGAGATGAAGTACTAGTGTGGAAATACAATGAGATGGATGATGTGAAAGGTAAATTGCTTGTGAGGAACCAGTGGAGACAGATGAAGATGCGGACATAGTGGTTTGTCATCACTTTCTCTAAATATTAATGTAACGGATCACCTGGCACCCCGACTGGGTACCTCCCTTGATGGATGCTCCTAGTGGCTTCAGAGGACTCCAAGCACTCCACTTGACACCATAAGCACTGCAGACCCCATGAACCGCCACAGCTTGGCTGGGGTCTCGCCATCTCCTACCCACCCTGAACCTACACCAAGGCTCCAGGTTCCAGTGGGTGAACCTCTCTTTCCCCAGAGAGTGAAGCAGGAACAGGAACAAGCTCTTACAAGAGCTTAGTGATTATTCAAGGGAGTATGAAGAGCATAGCAATCCATTGTAGCAGATTCCACCAATAAGAGACAGGACTCTAGATTGAGGGTGAAGTAGAACTGAAGGTTTAATGGTACAGCTGCTCTTTTATACAGTTTTTCCCCACAAGGTTACCGCCCAGGTGGACCTTGTGGGGCACAGGACATGAAATTCACAATCCAATTAAAACAGAGTTTTACACTTGAACACTCCCAGTTACTGTACACAAACCCTCCCCTCTGCCTGTGATACAATTAACAAAGACAATGGACTAACTCAATTAACTCTAAGCAGAAAAAACATAAATTTTTACAAACCCCAAAATACAACATATCCTTACATCCCCTAATAGCCCCGATCTGGGTGAACAACATATCCAAAAATCAGATCGGTTCAGGAATTTCCTGGAAGTCTTATTTTTGCCCCACCGTGCACATGGTCCCATGCCCAAAACAGTTCCATACACTCAACGTCAAAACACTGCTGGACAATTTAAGATGGCCGCCGCCACATGTTTGAATCTGTTCCAGTTGAAAGTCCAAGGGGCAGAAACAGTACTTTTGAAAATGGGTTATCACAGGGCCCATGGTCCCAGGGTAGGAGGGTGGCAAGCAGTCCCCTCCAAAAACTCATGGCAAACTCCCTGAAAAAGGGGAGTTTGTCACAATTAATTTGTGTATTTTGTGCCACTAGATTTGGCTCTTAAATATAGCTGCCAAACCCATAGACAAATAATAATAATGGTGGATGACAAATCACTACTTTATTGCATTGCATCTATAGGTCTATGCTGGATCTATTTTGGGGGGAAATAGAGAATTGTCTCAGAAAAAATAGTGCTTATATTGTTTAAATTGTAAAATTGCAGGCAAAGCCCTTGTTGGTGGAGCGGGTTGGTTTGTCTTTGTGTGTCAGATTGATTCTTGTGATTGTTGTTATAGATTTACTGTAATGTTGGGGCCTTACTTTCGTACTAAGCACGGGTCACATGCTACAAATATAACTATGGAAACTCCTTGGCTCCACTATTTTCATCTGTTAAAGGGACACTACACATCCTCCTCACAATGTTAAACAAGTACAGGTCCTATTGACTTGTGAGGTCTTCTGTCGACATCTTTACTTACAAACTATATACAGGGACGTACATTTGATTGAACTACATAAATAAAAGATTTTAAATATGTTATCATTGTGTAAAATCTTGTGTACATTCTTATGCTAATAATGAGAATAGCATTATGTGTGTTGTATTGGTGGTAAATATGTGGCCAAATGTTGACAAAGTAAAGATGGAGGGTACAGAAGCTAAGGAATGATCATTTTAATCTTACTGCTCTAAGCAATGCATGCCTTGAAAATCATATCTGTTGTCTAATTATTTTTAATATGGTTTGTTTAATTCATCCAGGAACAGAACTTGTAGAAAGAATGAAAGAATGTCTAACCCACTTACCGGAACCAACTCCATGCTTAGAGGTAAAGGTACAAGATGTTTCAGAGGTCTTTGTATTTTCAGAGGTCTATGTGTCATTACATGATGACTAGGAAATCCGCTAATTCTTCTCACAGAGAACCTTTGCGTTCAGTGTTTATTTAAGAGAAGCACTGGATTTCTGATGTGCCCTATATCCCTGAATTAAAAAGAGCAAGGAAAACTCTAATGTTAAAGTGTTACTTTATGTTGCTGAACTGAAAACTGTATTCCAACATGCAGATGAAAATAGCCAAGCTCTCACTGTAGCCACGTTTGAATGGTTTGAAATCATTGCAATGGTTTGAAATCATTGCTTTTTGCTTAAATTCCACAATTCAATTTTTCATAAATAAACCCCCTAAATGGCATGATTAGATTTACTACAAAACATGGCTTGTACCACCAACAAATAAACACTAATCCAATCATCTAAAGGGTTTCTTCAAGTACCATGACAACATCAGTGATTTGAAGTGGTCATGGTGCTTGGAGTCTGTATGTCTAGCTTTTCAGAAATCGCTGACCGAGGTGTAACTCAACATCTGGCAGCATCATTAGACACTCTTGTTCCAGGCTGACTAATGCCAATTCTGTACGTATTTCTTACACTGAGGTTCATTCATTGGATGAGAACAGTCAGTTGGTGCTCTCAGCCAATGAATTCCTAATGGGCTCTGCATCGGGCTTTTGCAGCTCCGCAGAAGCAAAATGTGCGTCACCCAGCATGTTAGGAAGCTTGGCGCCCTGTGGGACACAGGTAAGAGGGCAAACCAGTTTGCCTCATTACTGGGGGACATTGCCAGGGTACTTCTGGCATCATAAACACTACAATGGGCTGTAGTAGTTATGATGTATGGAGTAACCCTTTAAAAAAACATACAAACAAACAATTACCCATCAAAGTAATTTAGGTGTGATATTTGGAATAGAAATCTTAAATAATTTTCATGTCAGCAAATTTTCTATTTTTACAGGATTATTTAGATACTTCTGGATTATCTGTTCTGTTTCCAAGAGTGGAGATATATATCATTCATGAAAGACCAGTTGACATGTTAGAAAGGCCTCCAGTGGACGGTAAGATGGGCTAATAACCGTAATTTACTTAGCATATCGAAGGTAACACAGGAGTGCACCATACGAGTCAATGGTAGAACAGAAATGAACACAGTAATGCACACATTAGTTTATTAAGTATGAAGCTGTTCCATTAGCAGTTCTGTGAAATATGTTTAAATTTAATTTAAAAGAAAGTCATAGACTTCTTGAATAAAGAATTTCAGCCCAGTTGAGCTTCTTTTGTTAATTTGTGGCTGCCAGAAAACAGTTGAATGCCTATTATACCTCTGTATGACCCAATTATGGAACTGTCATTTAATGAAATGTTTTCTATGCCATTTTCATATTAGTTTTCCATGGGCAGTCAATCTACTTATACATCGTCATTATTAGCAATGAGTACTGGGCAATAGTTTTTACTTCTAGTGAATACAAATTAAAGCATAAGGCATATACTGGGAATAAGATCTAATATTCTAATGGCATTTTTATTTGTTTCAGAATACTACGTTCACATTGGAAAACTTAACCAGCTGTTGGTTTTAAGCCAACAGTTGGAAGATGATGTCTGTCACTTGGGAAGCCATAAATATGTAGCTCACCAGTTGTCAGTGCTGTATGTAAGTGTATATCGGCTCTTCATATGACATGCTTCTGCATTATCCATCTGTGAAAACAGATTAGAGGATATTATAAAACAACATATTGAATTACTGCTGGAAAGAAGATAGAAGTTGAATTGTTATTGACATTATTTGGGCAGTGCAGGCTGTTATATGTCAAGGGGGTTATTGATAGTGAAATTGCTGGGTAAAGTGTTAAAGTAAAGTAATCACACAGAATCCAATGAGATGTTCTTGCTATGTTTCTGCGACAGATTTGCTCTTATATATTTGCCATGGGCTGTTCAGGGTAGCAATCCAAGTTTATAATGTCTTGATTTACCATTGTGTAGTACGTATCCCAATTCTCTGTTTTGTGCCTTCCTGTCTAAATTAAGTTAGGGTAGAGTAACAACAGTGACTAAATGTTGATATATAATTCCAATGAAACGCATCCAGATTAATAGGCCTTGATAACAGATTAAACATATATGACAGTCTTTGAGAAAGGATCTTTAAAATCACAAGCTAAGCACTCTCATTGTTTTTCACCCTTTTAGGCTAAGCATCAGCCTTGATTGAAGTCACAAAGTTTTAATATATATCAAAGCACAGAAACTGTTGTCCTTTTTTTTTAATCTCTTTGGAGTTTTTAATCTTTCATCGATACAGTTCAGCATGTAAAAATCATTTTTTGTCAATCTTATTTTGAAATCTTGATTGAAGATCTTCTTTCTTCAGTATTCCTTAGTCCCAAAAAAGGACAAATTAAAACACAATTTCCCGATAAAACCATATAAACAAAAAAGTAATTGGTTTGCAAAATTTTGATGAAAAATAAAAAAATGCAACACATAAAAGATATGCATGTACCCTTTAATACGTACATTGTAATGCTAATTTTTGTACATTCTCTGCACAGGATGCTATCTTAATGCTGTAACATGGCTGTGTTTTTACATCAATATCTTCCTGTATTATACAGTGACATATCGATAAACTTCAATTTACTATATATATATATAAAGTCAAAAGGACAGAACTGTCCTGTCCTGATGAAAGCTTGAGGGAATCAAGCTGAAACGTTGGCAGTTTTATCTTTAAGGTAATAAAAGTTAAATTTCAAATAAGTCCTTGGAGTGCTATCCTTTTGAATCTATTTTTGTATTTTTGGCTGGACAAGCACCGGGCATTGCAGTGGTTTTGGTGGAGTGCAAGATTTTTCCATTTATATATATATATATATATATATATACTTGTGAGCCATTTGACAGCTTTGCACAGTCCCAAAGCAATGAATGTTTAGAAACGTAACTGTGATTGGTTGGTTTGGAGGCAACCAACTGTAGTACACAATATTCAAGTCTCACTTCTCACAAACCTCGACAGCAGCAGACTTTCCTGACAAACCTCTGTGATTGGTTGGTCAAGCCACAGCTCATTACTTTGAGCAACAACTAATTACTGCACTTGAGAAAACAGCCAGGGATGGAAAGAGTTTGCACTGTATAATGTGAACTATATGTGCAAGAGTTAGTTATTCTATTTTAATGACATAAAGCCAACACATTTAGAATATTATATAATCATCATGTTTCTGTTTATTTTAGAAGGTTCTTAGTTACTTCAGTGGATGTTTGTCTTTAGACATCCTGAAGAGAGAAATTGAAGCTAATTTTAAGTCAGTGAAGTCTGCAGTTGCTACCAATGAAGGATCCAGGCAAGAGCCTCTCTTACCCACTCATCTATTAACATGGTAAGACTCTACTAGATTGTAAACTGGATTGTGCAGTGCCTTCATCATCTCATTTCTCTGTCAATGTTATTTTATATGATAATCACTTGCTGACAAATATCTCCATTCTATAAATGTAGATCTTTATAATTTATTATTTTTAATTCTTAATAATAATATATTAAGTGAGTACTTCAAGTACACTGCAGGAAATGTATATGAACTATTATATTATGAATGGATCACATATGAAATATACCTGGTACTTTTACTAAAATAATTAACAAATCACAAATACACCTTCCACAGTTCATTTTTTATTTGCCATACACCATGACCTTTTCAATTTTTTATTAAAGAACTATATTTTTCCTTTTCAGGTTGTTGGATTTAACACAAACGATTATTACAACTGTATCCACATTTCCAGAGGAACTAATTGGAGAAATAATGCCAGTGGTAGAATTTTCCATGATGTTATAATCATTGTTTTATTGTCACAACACCCTCTGTTTTCTTTACAAAGACCGATATTTCCCTTTATTCAATGTAATATAGATTTACACCATTTAATTATTTATTTCTATTTATTTTGATACTTTAATGCCTTGTGGAGCTACCTCATAAATACTTCTAGCGGCGGTTATAATGTTGTACTCCTTTTTTGCTTTTATAATGTATTTGTGCTTCCATCACATTGATTAAACATAATATATGCACTATTTATTATTATTATTATTATAGCCATTTATATAGCGCCAACAGATTTCATATCGCTTTACAATATTATAAGAGGGGGGATTTAACTATAAATAGGACAAGTACAAGAAAACTTACAGGAACGATAGGTTAAAGAGGACCCTGCTCAAAAGAGCTTACAGTCTATAGGAGGTGGGGTGTAAAACACAATAGGATAGGAAATAACAATCAAATAAGGTGGGAGTGAAGCAGAGCTGGAGGAGAGAGTAGAGTGCTGCCCTTTAAGAGAGAGCAAGAGACAGGTATGTGAGGTAGAGGTTACTCTGGGAGGCCATAAGCTTTCCTAAAGAGATGGGTTTTAAGGCACTTCTTAAACAATTGAAGACTATGGGAAGAGTCTGATGGCGATAGGCAGGCTATTCCGTAGGAAGGGAGCCACCCGCGAGAAGTCCTGTAAGCGTGGGTTGGTTGTACAGGTGCTAGTAGTGGACAGGAGAAGGCAGAGCGGAGAGGCCGAGAAGGGGCATGCAGTGTTACTACAATGCCCCCTTTTAAATGATACTTAATGCAACTTTATCACAGAAAAACATAATAAAATATACCGCTTTATGTACATATTTCCCAGTACACTACACAATGATAACGGAAAAGATAATACAAAAGGCAAATATAGATAACATGTATGTTATTATAAGAACATGAAATTAAAGTTCCAGTTGAAAAATTAAAATTCCCTCCATATTTCCCAATGTTTAACATGTTTACATGCTCCACTGGATCAAAATGGACTGTATATTTTCCTTTAACTGAAATATTAAAATTTTTAACTTCATGTTAATCATGTGCAATGTGTCTTCTTTCCAAGATTTCTAACTCAAACTGCATTGTTTTTGACTTTCCAAGATTATTATGAATGACTGTTTATAATTCACTTCTGATCACTAGACGGTGGATTCACATTGAATTGTTTTAGTGGTTTCACTTACTGAGTAAATTCACATTGAAATCACTGGGCAATCAGTGTTGGCAAAACTGTAAATTTTAACATATGAGAGCTATAACTCTTTATGTCAGTGAGCTAAGTCTCCTTTGACAACAATCACAATTAATCAAAATATCTTCCCCTCTGTGTCTCTTTGTCTCCCCCCTCAGCCCATGTTGGTCTCTTGTGCCCCTTTCCCAACCCCTACGTGTCTTTTTGTCTACCCATCCCTTCTGTATGTCTCTTTCTCCCCCAGCCCTTTTAGTGTGTCTCTTTCTTCCCTTATCAGTCCTTCCTTATGTGTGTCTCTTTCCCTAGCCCCTTTGTCTCTTTATGTCTCCCTATCTTATGATTTCATATCAGATCTAAAATATTGCAAGGTCAGGGATACCATGTGATCAGTGGGGAACTACCACTGGTGCAGTGGGTGATACGGCACCAGGGTCTGCACAGTGGAGGCCCATTGGGTTGCCCGTGCACTTAGGGCCACCCAATAGGTATTTTTGACAGGAGTGCTGCAGCCCCTTAACAGCGCGGGCTTACACTCTAATATCGGCGCCACTCGGAGGAAGTGAGGGCAGGCAGGTCACTTCCTTCTAGCTACAGGGAGACTCGGAAGCAGAGAAGGAGGCACAGTCAGAATGGGGGAAGTTAGGGTCAAGAAATGAGCCTGCTCCAGCCCCACACCAAAATCAGCTTCTTCTCAGTAAAGCCACCCTCTTGCACACAAAATGTATGGTAACACAAGGGTGGCCAAAAATATAAAAATTATGATTTGCATGTGTTTGTGTATCAATGTATGTGTCAGTGTGTGTGTGTATCTGTGTGTCAGCATGTATGTGTCTGTATGTGTGTGTATGTGTCAGTGTGTACATCTATGTGTGTTTCTTTGTGTATCTGTCAGTTTATATATATGTGTGTCAGTGTGTGTATGTATGTGTGCCAGTGTGTATCTGTATGTCAGTATGTATGTGTGTGTGTATGCGTCAGTGTGTACATATATGTGTGTTTCCCATTGTTTATCTGTCAGTTTATGTATATGTATATGTGTGTCAGTGTGTGTATGTGTCAGTGTATGTATTTATGTATGTGCCATTGGGTTTGTGTGGATCCGTGTGTCAGTGTGTGTATGTGTCATTGTATGTGTGGATATGAGTGTGTGTAAATGTCAGTGTGTTTCAGTATGTGTATCAATTTTTATGTGTATCTGTGTAAGTACGTGGTAGTGTATGTGTATACAAATGTGTATCAACATTTAAAAAACAACACTGCATACAAACACACTGCAATCAAATGCAAACATTACATACAAACACACCCATGTATTAAAGTATAAAAATTATGTACAAACACCTTTTTATTTAAACACCAACACACAAACGTACACCTGCATTTAAAAGCCTAGACTACCTACAAACGGTTCCCTGCATTCAAACGCAAACATTACATAGAAGTACACCAAAGCATTCCAATGGCAACAGTACATACATACACACCCCTACATGCACACGCATACTCTATACAAAACCATGCTTACATTCAAACCCACAAACACTGCTCACAAATACAACCCTGCAAGGATGGGTAAATGGTAGATCACCAGCTGGCATAGCATTATGGGAGTCATAGACTGTTGGGGATTTACCCTTTGGCCCACCCAAAAATATTCTTGCACCAGAGTCCTCTGTACACAAGTTTCAACATAGCATATAATCTCTAAAACTTTTTATCCCACCAATATTTCCATACACAATGAAATTTTAAAAAACTGAAATTCTGAGCATTTAGTATTTATTAATTTTATTTAATATAGATATTCCTGGACAGCAATCAGTCTACAGGTTTACAGTATGTTTCATTTGGTAGTGAAGTGTTACTGTTGTATTTCCCTTCTACTAGTGAACACAGAGCCAGACTGTCAGCCAATCACTGTGCAGGCATGTCCTTTCAAGTTAAACAGCTACAATAAAAAACCTTATAAATTGTAACCTTACACCTATTTTTGGAATTGTTCCTTTATTTGCCATTTACAGTATCTGAGGGCCGCCCTATCCCAGCTGAATGACACACTAGTGAGGTAAACCATATTTGAGCTCGGGCTGGCCTGGGATTGGCTACTGTGCTTGTTGTTGGTCCTGGATGAAGGAGGAAATGTGAAGAGTAAGGGGCGGGCTGAGAGCTAATCACAGAATGCCAGTACAGACAATGCAGTGAGGAGGAAGAGGAAGGCTGTCTAGGCTGCTCAGGCCCACAGGCCAGGTAAACACATAGGAGGAGCCAGATGTTCATAGATAAACAGAGGCTGTCTGTGCGTGGAATGCGGGATGTCTGAACATTCCACTGATCAATCTGTGCAGCGAGGCCCAGGCTGGCAAGTATGAAGTCACGCTTTAACCCTAGGAGTGCTGGGCATCCCAATAGCCCACTGACTGATGATAAGCACCTGTACCAAGTGTGATACTATTTATCAACAGCATTCTGATCACAGCCAAGAGGGTCTTCCCAAACTGTGAGACTCAGTGCAGCTGTCACCGGCATTCAGGGGTTAATGTAAGGCTATTCTGAGTCTCACAGCTTGGAATCTAGGCTGATTAGTCATTTGTTTTGATGACCGCGATCATTAATTTGCATTAAAGTATTAATTCATAATGTAGTAACCAACGTTCCCTTGCATATGCTGTTCATCTCTTATTATGGTAAAAGCCTTCCATTAGCACACAATACGCCTACTTCTCTCGGTAGCTTAGTTCTTTTGAACTCTTGCTTTTTGTGGACTGCCTTTCCCTTGATGCCCAGGCAGCCAGTTGGCTCACTGAAAGCCATCAGCCTGTGTCTACTAATATTGAATGCATGGACACAGGCTGGTGTCTTTAAACAAATCAATTGATGAATATTCTTTGAATATATATTTTAGAACAAATAATATTAAAGTCCATGTGTTCTAATGAGAATTAGGCATGTAGCCTGAAATAAATTGTATTAAGATCATTAACAAGGTAAAAGAGAATTTTACTTTTACTACAGAGTGTAACTATTTGAGTCCTTGCTGTATTCTGTATAAAAGCCTCCCATCACGAAGAAAGCGACATATATAGCTATTCTACTACTAGCACATCTTTTAATTTCTTCCAATGCACTGCTTTTCCGTCTTATTGATGTCACATTATAGAAGAATTTGCATATTATATTAGAGTTGAGCGAACTCGAACTGTAAAGTTCGGGCTCATACCGAACATTACGATTTTTTGACCCCCGAACCCAGACATTTCAGTAACAGTTCGGGTTCAAGTTCGGTGTTCGGCGATTTAATGGTTTGTTTTGGAAAGCTGCAGGGTAGCCAATCAACAAGCGTTTGACAAAACTGCCGAATTGCGTCCTAACAGAATGAGAACAGTTTCTCCATTCGTGTTAGAACGCAATTCGGTACTTTGTTCGGATCGCAATTTCATTAGAATGAATGAAACTCTGATCCTATTTATTGCGGCAGCTGCATCTTGCAGCCGCTTAGTAGATAACTCCCTAATTCCCACGGTATTAGGGAGCTATCTACCAAAAGGCTGAAAGACCTAAATTGGTCTATCAGCCACATTTACTAATACTAAGTAAAGATTACTTAGTATTAGTAAATTCAGCCCCTACTCGCTATACCGCGAGAGTAGGGGCATGTCTAAGTAACCAATCAGAGTGTTATGAGTCAAATTACGCAGCGTCGGTTCCAAAGAACTTTCCCACGCTGTGTAAAATGACACAGAGCACTCTGATTGGTGGATTTCAAGTCAACCAATCAGAGTGCTGTGACAGGTAAATGTAGAGACTTACCTTTCAGTCTCTTTATTTACCTGTCAGAGCATTCTGATTGGATGGCTTAAACCCACCAATCAGAGTGCTCTGAGCCTAATTGCAGGGCGGGGAAAGGCTTTATAAGCCTTCCCCCGCCCTGCAGAGCTCAATCTGCGCGGAGCCCTCCATGGGTGAAGATGGATTATTTTTATTTATTTATTTATTTAAAGTGCGTCGGTTATTATGGATTTTTATTTGGCCTTTTTTGTTGCTGAAAAAAGATTTTAGAAGAAAGAAAACATCAAATGGTAATGTTTTTTTTTTTACAGGTACTTAGCTAATGGTACCCCCCTCATTATTTTTAGGGTGAGGGGGTAGGTAGGGGTTAATTTATTTGGGGAGGGGGGTGACTAGAATTTGGAGACCCCAAGTCACCTGGGGGAGGGGGGTTAATTTTTTATTTAGGGCCCCCACCTGCCGCTCAGCGGTGAGGGCCAGGGGGGAATACATTAGGCCCCCCCCCTTATTGGTATTTAGGGCCTCCACCCACCGCTCAGGGGTGGGGGACAGGGGGGAGGATATTATGGTCCCCCCTCAATTGGTATTTAGGGCCCCCACACACCGCTCGGGGGGGGAGGACAATAGGTTCCCCCCCCCATTATTTTACTTTAGGGCCCCCACCTGCCGCTCGGGGGGGGGGCGGACAATAGGTCCCCCCCCTTATTCGAATTTAGGGCCCCCACCCACCGTTCAGGGGTGGGGGCTCAGGAGGGGGGAACTTTTTTTTTGTTTTTTTAACAGTGAGCAGCCACAGGCTGCTCACTGTTTAATAGACATGCCCCTACTCGCGGTATAGCAAATAGGGGCATAATTTACTAATACTAAGTAATCTTTACTTAGTATTAGTAAATTTGGCTGAAAGATCAATTCAGGTCTTTCAGCCTTTTAGTAGATAGCTTTCTAATACCGTGGGAATTAGGGAGTTATCTACTTATTCATTTCTGTCATTGCATTGACTGGCCAAGTAACTTAAATTTTATATGAATGTATGTTACTTGATTGTTGTAAGTGTTGCAAATGCTTACAGCTGATTCCTGGCTATGTTTGTATACTTTTTATTTAAAATTGTATACAGTGTAACATTCTTCTTTTTCCACTGGGTAAGTATATTAGTACTTGGGCAATACATTTTACTTCCTTTTGCAGCCCTCTAGCCCTTTCCAGAACTTTTTTAGAGCCATTTTAGTGCCCAAAAGTTCGGGTCCCCATTGACTTCAATGGGGTTCGGATTCAGGGGTCAAGTTCGAGTCCCGAACTCGAACTTTTTGCCGAAGTTCGGCCGAACTCGGCAAACCCGAACATCCTGGTGTCCGCTGAACTCTAGTTGTTATGTGATGTCAAAGTTTACTTGCTGCACATAACATATGGAATATTAACTACCAAACTGAGCTCAATTCTAGAAAAGACACAAAAGAGACACTCTTAGGCCATTAACCAATACAGCATATTGAAGTGGTTATGGCGCAGTGAGTCTTTTAGTGCCATCCTTCAACTGTCTGTCAACCTGTTTTGAAACAGCCTGACAAAAAATGATATTTTTCAAACACTCAAAGCATTTTCATGACTACCTTATTGGTCCAAACATCTCTGATCTTTCATGGTATTGTGAGGCTGCAATTGCTGGACTAGCCTACCCCTAGCACTCACAGCCTGTCATTTTAACCCAAGGTTAGGGTTGTGCATAGGGTGCCACAAGAGCCTTTTTTTTAATCAATCCATGTAAGTACAGTTTTGCAGAAAGTATGGGAGCAACCACCAAAGACTACTAAACTGTTTCCACTTCAATGTTTAGAGTTAAAAATATTACAAAAAGCAGTGCAGAACTAAGTGTTCCAGACTACCTGATTGACAACTCTTGAGGACTGTTTTATAGCAGCAGGAAATTATAAAGTGCTGCTGCGAGAAGTCACTCTCAAAAATGAGGGGCGAAGGTGCTCCATGAACTTTCCAGTAATGCAAAGTGTCTATGGAACGTTATTTTTAAAGCAGATATTGTTTGTGAACTCTGGTAGTATACAATATGCATTCACATTTTTTAGTATAAAACATTTGTAAAAAGAAAACTCTGGGTAGTTATGTATGGTATATTTGTTAGAATCAAATGAACATTTCAATTATGTTAAATTAGATTTTCAAGATTGTTAGTTTTGTATCTAAATATATTGAATGTCATGGAATGTCATGGATGCTTTATCAATTTTACAGGTAAACAGCAAGACATCAAAGCATTTCATTTTTTTTTTATTGAGACTTCTCTAAGGACGAAATGTAGAAGAAATGATCGCAGAGTCAAATCTAGATGAAATTTGCCAAAAGTAAGAGATCAAACGTTTGCATACTTCAAGCAGGGCCAGATTTACTCTCCTTGCTGACCTAAGGCCTCTTTCCTCAAAGCACCCTCCATGTATATGGATACATGTCCTCTACTCTCCTTCCCACACACAGAGCGCCACGCAGGGAGGATTCAGCATTGGGCACTGGGCAGTCGATCATCACCACTGCAGCTCCTGAGATCTCCCTTGTCTTGCTGCACGTGCAATGCCTCTGGTACATGGGGTATTTATTGTGAATGGCCATGGGCCTGCACTGATTGACATGGTGCCGGCAAATCGATTGGCACCAGACTAAAAGATAGTTGAAAAGAAAAAAACTATGCATGATGAAATGTCATCTGATCGGGGCAAGTGCTGCCCCTATCCCGCTTGCCACCTGACCATAGCCTCAGTGGCCTTAGGGCAAATCCGGGCTTGAGTTCAGGATTAAGCAGACTGGATTTGTTCACATAGTTACATAGTTACATAGCTGAAAAGAGACTTGGGTCCATCAAGATCAGCCTTCCTCACATATGTTTTTGCTGTTGATCCGAAAGAAGACAAAAAATCCATGTGTCATTTAATTAACGAGTAACCATTTACTCCGACCCGCATTTGACAATATGCTGATATTGAAACAGTGGTTTATATAAGTGCCAGCTGCACCATATGATCTGCACACAGTTAGTGCAGTTCACCAATAATTTTCTCGGAAATTAGGTCAAAATACCTGAGCTAGAAATATGATCGAGTTGGAGAGTTGGGCTAGAATTTTCGATTCCCTTTAAAGTTCTACACCAAGTTTAGTAATGATATTTACTATAGGATTATTCACGTAACATAAAATTGTGATGAACCGAAAATCAAATAGAAAAATTTCCGTCACAATATCCAAGCTGGAGAAATAGCTGAAAGTAGCAAAATGTACAAATTATGACCTCTATTTTTCATTTTGGTTTTCAGTTTGCTCATTGGTGAATTAAAGTTGAATTGTAGACAGCCGATAAGCGTAAAATATTTTTTATTCTTCAATGAAAAGTGAAACTGATTTAAAAATAGCCAAAGTCAAAACAATCCTCTAATTTACAGTTACAGTTTAGTGAAGTTAAGTCTGAGCTGGTTTTAAACCAGCATAATAAACTGACTAACATAGATTGGTTGAAATAAAGCACACACGGTGCCCTAAGAGCAAAATAGAGTGGATGGGCTGCAGAATAAATCAAATCAAGAGCAAGGATAGTTCTTTACTAAACCATCAACTGTTGGGAATTCATGATGTAGTGAATAATCCTGTACATCTCTGAGAGTAGACGGAGAAACCATTGTCTGTTTTATTACAAGTGTCATCCAAGTATTTTTGGAATTGATTTTGGTTGGTAGTGTCTTGGGGCATGGGGACAAGGGCAGATCTTATTTAAAGGGACACTGTAGTCACTATAAGCATTTCATCTCTTTGAATTGGTTATAGTGCCTGGAGTGCACTGTCCCTCCATTCAGTGTTGCACCATGTTCGTGCAGTATGCCACAAAATAAAGTCCCTGGCCACCCACAGTCCGGCCCCTTCAGTATGTGTAGCTAAAGCAGAGATTACACACTTCCTTGTTGTCATACCCATTCATACCATCAGTTGGAGCTCTGACAGGTTAAAAGCAGTCAGCTGACACTCTCAGCCAATCACAGCTGCCTATTGCTGCTCAGGCTAATACTTCCTTATTAGCTAAAGCAGCACAGAGGGGATGGATTGTCGGGGGGTCTTGTTTAGCATTAAAACATTAAAAGTTTAAAAACTGTTTAATGCTGAAAGAGATGATGGTACCAGAGGACTCCAGACACTATAACCAGTTTAATGAGATGAAGCAGATACAGTGCCTACGGTGTCCCTTTAAATGTCCATCCACCCTGCCAGGATATTGGTGAGTGCGTACACCAATAGAAAATTAAAATATAAACAAATGACCCTCTGGTTTACTCCCTAGTGCAGATTTCATAATTTAATATATAGTGTATGGGTCTTTAATCACCTGTTAAATAGAACTCTTGCTTTTGAACCTGGAGTAGATAATGGGACATCTTGAGCTTTCAGGTCATGGTTCCTTGTGAAATCTAGGTAGATAAAGAGTTAGTTTGGTGTAGAGTTGCTAGTTGCAAAGAACAAGGGCTTAATGTCAAGTGATCTGCTCCCAGTTGAAAAGATGTCTTTTAATTTTGGGTGCGTCACAGCCGTCATGTCTTTGGTATCTGTGATCCAACAAAGGAAAAATAAAAATATAATAATACTGCACACTCCATAATGTAAAAGCAGCAGATACATGTGACAAAATATATTCTCGTTTATTTAGATTCACAATAATCATAGTTCAAAAACCCCCGTGTCCTAACAGAGGGTGAAAAAGAGCCTGTATGCTTGATATGTGACCTAGTGTGCAAAATAAAAGTGCATAGCCCCAGGCTCTATACATATATATATATATATATATATATATATATATGTATGTGTATACTTCTCTCAACTGTATAAATAATTTATACAATATCTTTATTAAACTTGTAAATGTTTTTACCAAATGGAAAGAGTCAACACTCACAAAGTTGCTTAATTGTTACAGCATCCAAAAATTTTATAAAAAAAGAAAAATAAATAAAAATGTTTAACCCACTCTAGATGCTTATTGTCTGTGTGCTGGTGCTTACAGGCTTCCCCACAAAATATATTCAGTTATGCCACATAGATCTCGCTCCAACACAATTTTGTACTTACAGCAAAATGTTGTTATACTTACTCATATTTAAACAGACAAATGATGCAAAAATAAGAAAGAAAAGTCAAAATTAAAGTAATCAAACTAAAAATGCAGCCCCAAAATATAAAGAAAATAATATATTGCTCATTTGTATATATAACACAGTAATAGATTTATATTCCTGTTAATGAGACTTTCAGGTGAGGAAATAGCATTTCAAGCACAACAAATCTGGTTTCTGCATACAACATCTTTTTATTATTATTATTATTAGTATTATTATTATTGTTATGTGCATACAACCTATAAACAACCTCAGAAAAAAGAAGAAAATACAAAACACTACATAGTAGTTACGATTACCAAAAGATCAACAAAAACAGATTGGATTAGAAGGACTAAGAAAAGCAACTGACTATCACATATACACAGCCACATACAGAAACCACACTCACAAACAGAGATGCATTCAAAGAGACACAAAGGCACACACATATAGAAAGATGCACACACACAGATGCACACTAACAAGCACGCAAGCACTAAACAAAGACATTGTGAGGCCCGCATATAGACACTCACAGACACCCACATACATAAAGTCACATTCTTATTGTAAAGCGCTGCAGAATAAGCTGGCGCTATATAAATAATAACCAATAATAATACACACTTACAGATATACAATCACATTTCTTGTCTTAAATCATTCATCCAGACACAATACATGTGGGAATTAGTTGAGTTTCCTATTACTGCACCATGGGAAAGGAGATACATGTTATCTACCCATCCACCCACCCCTCTTCCCCTTAATGCTCCCTAGCTATGAATGTGCATATAGCTGTTGCTGGATACCGTTGAACCTGCTTTCCTGCTCATAATCGGCTACCTTTAAATATAGAAAACTGTATTCCAGCGACATTCCTGTAGGCAGCCGCTGTCTTCCTACCCAGGCTGATGACGTGACATTAGGAGAGATTTATCAAAGTGTGCTGTTCTAAAAAGTGGTCTTAGGTAGTGAAGGTTAGGCAGCCTCCATGGAAATCATTCGGAACTCCTCCACTTTTACAATGTTGCACCACTTTTTAGAACAGGGTTGTGCAGAGCATAGCTCATTGGCTGAGAGTGATCAGCTGACTCTCTCAGGTAACGAGAGGGCTCTGTACCACAGGGTTTTACTCTGGCAGAGGGCTCCTGGCTCTCATAGAGGAAGATGAGAGACAGGGAGTTGCGCCGGGCAGACGTCAAGTAAGAAGTCGTGCCAGCACATGGGTACTCCTTGCTCTATTAGCACTGCAGTACACTGTAGTGGTTATGGTGCTTGGAATGTTTCTTCTAACGCTTCATTTAATTATTCACATAATTTTAGAATATTTTGGGTGCAATCAAAAATAATTAAATGGAACCAGGCATACAGGTAACCTGTATGCTGCCTGTAAAATTAGAGCATGAAATACAAAACTTCAAAAGTAAGGGTAGACAAAATCTCCACTCACCCAATGATAGAAGAGAAGCCAGGCAAGGAGACTCCAATAGAAAAATAGAAAATAAAATGAAGAAAGAACACCACAGCAAGCGTTCACACTGCTTAAGCTTTATTTTAGAGATTATCCAAGCATTTTTCACAATGTGTATTCTCCTGTTTTTCTCAATGCAGGGAAAATTCCCATACAAATGGGATTCCTGAATCAACCAAACAGAATGGAGGGATCTTCATGACACCAGTGAGTCATTTCCTTTGAAGTTTTACATTTAATAATGTAGTTATTGAAAACGAATAGACTGGAGTTGACAAGTGTACAGTAAAAACAGGTTTGACTTTAATATAAAGTTATGTTGTTTCAAGTTACCCCTGCTTTTCCTGCAGAAAGCAAAAAGGATTCGAAAGCCTTCTGAGACACACTCTAGGAGAAGTTCGGCAAGGAGAAGCCGAGACAGCCGGATAACAAATGGGGATGTAACTGAGGCTGTGACACTCTTTGAAGTGGTTAGCATTGGAAAGAGGGCTATCCAGGTACATTGCACCCCATTATTATAATGGGTTCATATTATACAGAGAGTGTACACCAGGGGTCTAAAAAAAGCACTGTTCGTGAGGCGATTTCTGAATTTATTGGACACTTGGCCTTTTTTCTCAGGATTAAAGATGTATTTCTGAGTCCAGGCAGCTGGTGGCCTGGTCTGAATCAAGTCCGCATTTGAGCCATCATTTGCTGAGATTAAGGAGGCTGGTCTTCTGCAGAGCAGTGCTTGGCTCCGTAGTGTCTCCTATTAGCATCCATCATTAAGTTCTGGCACTCAACACTCCTTTGTCAGAACTTCAGTGATGAGATTGGCTGGGGCACACAGTGTAGCGAAGGAGCCTTCATCAGCTCGGCTCACGCTGTGGGCAGTAGCATACTCTACTTGTGTGCATTTCTATGGGGTCGTGTGGGTGTGTGTATGTATTGGAGTTTGTAACTGTGTCTGTGTTTAAAGGAACACTCTAGGCACCCAGACCACTTCAGCTTAATGAAGTGGTCTGGGTGCCAGGTGCATCTAGGGTTAACCCATTCTTTTATAAACATAGCAGTTTCAGAGAAACTGCTATGTTTATGAATGGGTTAAGCCTTCCCCCAAAGCCTCTAGTGGCTGTCTCATTGACAGCCGCTAGAGGCGCTTGCGTGCTTCTCACTGTGATTTTCACAGTGAGAGCACGCCAGCGTCCATAGGAAAGCATTGATAATGCTTTCCTATGCGACCGGCTGAATGCGCGCGTAGCTCTTGCCGTGTGTGCGCATTCAGCCGACGGGGCGGATCGGAGGCGGAGAGGAGGAGGAGGAGAGCTCCCCGCCCAGCGCTGGAAAAAGGTAAGTTTTTACCCCTTTCCCCCTTCCAGGGTGGGGGCACCCTCAGGGCACTATAGTGCCAGGAAAACGAGTATGTTTTCCTGGCACTATAGTGGTCCTTTAAGAGAGTACTGATTTGTATGTTTTTGCACATTCAGCAATACGGATTAGTGGTCCCCAAGGTAGAAGGCAATTTGGCCTGTGGCCCCCTTTCTAATTTGACTTTGAAACACCTAGTGTACACAGAGAGCAGTAGACTATATTAGCATAAGATATTATTCAAGGAATGGCATGGCTTAATGTGATTTTATTGAAGGTAAAATAGGGAGAATGGTGGCATTTTTAAATCCACAAATAATGTATCAATAAAGAAAATGTTTCCGGTGCAGCCCTTATCAATTTATATTGTTGTTTGTTTTTCAATTAACCACAACTCATTGTACACCCAATAAATCCTACGCTTTTCTCTGAAATATTTTGTTTCCATTAAAAACTTGTATTTTGCATGTCTGCGTGTACCACTGTAGTATACTAATTTAAGAATATAGAATGATGCATTGTATTGCCAATGTTTCTATTTTAATGAGATTATGTTTGTGTGTCTGCAGTCGGTGGTAGATGATTGGATTGAAGCCTATCAGGAAGACAGAGATGTGGCACTCCTTGACCTTATTAACTTCTACATTCAGTGCTCTGGATGCCAAGGTAGGCTTTTTTGCATTATGAATTTTATGGCAAATCCTTCAGAATCATAATTATAGGGACACTTCTGATTCTAGGACAAGATTGATGCACATTACATCTCATGATAAAATAATTTAACTCTCTTTTAAAAGTTCTAATTTCCATGAAAAAAAACAAAAAACAAAACAATGCACAAACAATATAAAAAAAAAAAAAACTACATCAAACTCTGTGGTACATAGCTGTCCTTTTCCCACAATCCTTTGCTAGGAATGGCAAGTAGAATACTACAATCCACCCCGAGTAATTCACTCACAATAAATACTTGTGCAAGTAAATAAAAGTCATTTTAATGAGTAACTGTTTTAAAAGTGTTTTAAGTATGTTAAGAAAACACAAAACTGTTTTTTTTTCTAATGTGGTTGTTGTAATAGGTCAGTTTTGAGTTTGACAATAAGGAAGGGAGACAGGAGAAGGGACAGGATAAATGATAGTGTCCTGCAGAGTGGTAGTTGCTTTGTTATAGAGGGGTGACCTTAGGATAGGTTGGGCTCAGGGAGATCACAAAAGAGGAAAGATAATTAAAACTTCACTTTTAATGTAAATAGTTAAAAGGGAGGTATACGAACAAATTTTAGTTCAAATAACTGTTGTAAGAATTCCTCAAGTGATTCAGTTACACTGCCTGTTAACAGAGTGAAATGCCACTGTAGGAACAACAGCTACAAATTAGCAGTGTCAATAATGTATCGATATACCAGTATCCGGGCTTAAGGAAAAATAGCCAAGTCCCAGTGAGCTGCACTGAAGCTGTTAACAAAGCTGATAACAATGTTTACCGAAACTGCAGTGTCTGGACTCCAAAACAAGCTTGAGAGTGCCAGTATACTGCAGAAAAGAGCATCTCAGAAATGATGATAGGGGCCTGTGTTAAAGACCGTGAGAAATAGCATCTAGAGGTATGTGCTGGCGGGAGTATCTGCAGTATGGTAACTAGGAGGTACAAACTGCAAAATGTTGCCTGGTAGATTCTGCAGGAACTGGCTTAATGACCAACAGGCTATGGGAAAAGAGGGGTTAAGTACAAAAACTGGAAATCCTAGTGTTATGGTACGTGCAGGCTGGAGTACCTGCAGTATAGAAACTAGGAGGTGCAAACTGCAAGATGTTGCCTGGTAGATTCTGCAGGAACTGGCTTAATAACCAACAAGTTATGGGTAGAGAGGGGTTAACTACCAAAACACTGGAAATCCTAGTGTTCTAGTATGTGCAGGCTGGAGTACCTGCAGTATAGTAACTAGGAAGTGCAAACTGCAAAGATGTTGCCTGGTAGATTCTGCAGGAACTGGCTAAATAACCAACAAGCTATGGGTAGAGAGGGGTTTAACTACAAAAACACTAAGAATCCTCATATTCTTGTGGTCCCTAAGTACTTGTGCCTTTGAGGGCACCCCGTTAGCCAAAAGCCTACAATCTCCTATGGAAATACAAATAGAAAATTTCCCACCAATACTGCTACAATGAAAGAAGTGTGCTGGAAATGCCTAGACTTTGTAGGCTGCTTCAAGTGCTGCTGGGTAACGGCCGAGCCGATGCCGATAGAAAGCTCTAATTGGTATGGTAAGTAAAGAGGTCACTCTTAGTGCAGTGACATGTCACTCTTAGTAAAGTGACTGGTGGATAGCGCCAGTGATGTTTCCCCTGACGCGCGTTTCACCTTACAGGTTCATCAGATTGAGTTTGAACTCAATAACACTGATAATCTGGAGAATCTCTAATCGCTACAAGATGCTGCATTGTGTGATCTCATTTTGTTCTGGACAGGTGTGGTTACAGCAGAACTCTTTCAGAATCCAGACAACCGGGAAATAATCAAGAAACTGACTGAGGAGTTTGATGAAGTAAGTATACCCCATCGACATCTCAAACTGTGAAAACCTGTGAATATATAGGGAAAAAATGTGTACAAAATTGTATTGTCAGTTTGTACATTTTTTAATTATTTGGTTCGAAAATGTACTTTTATTTTTAAACGATAGCACTGAGTGGAATGTCTTATGTGAGTTTTTTCTCCTTCTTTGTTATTATTTGTCTGTGTTGCAGACTAATTCATTATAGAAATAGCTAAGCTGTTGATGGTGTAAACAAATGTAATAAAATGTAAGATTGCAGGCTTGTTATTTAATTGAACGGTAAGGGAATCACTTGTATTAGTCCACTATCGTCCAACTCTGCCCCTCTTCGTGACTGTGATTTCAGCTTCCACCCAAGTCTTGCTGTCAATAAGACCAGAATAATAGGTCAAACTTGGCTTAAAACTGACATGTCAGACATATTCTGATATAAAGATATTTACCTACACCCTGCTCTTTTTGAGTTACATGGTGCGCAGCCGTGGTCCAAACCACAATGTTATTTTGGATAGTTTGTTTAGCTATAACTGCGGAAAAAAGTGAATTTTCCTGGCCTTGGCAGCAGAGCGTTAGAGCAGTGCGGCCATGGCCCATTCTCAGGAAAGGAAAATATTGGTAAGTGTGAATTGATATTTCAGTTTATGTTGACTTGCACTTTCCATGTATGAAACAACGTTATATGTAAAATGCAATCTGAGGGCTCTAATCTTGGACAGAATTTGGACTGGGACATGCATGCTACCCTTGCAGTAAAATCTTACCTTTAACCCCCTTACATTACCCTAACACACTATACTTCACTTTACTACACAAATTATCCCCAGCACTACACTAACCATTAACCCCTACAATACCTTAACACTTACATAATTAGTATAACAATGGTTATTTGCTTAAATTGTGTTTATTTGCTATAATTGATCAAACAGGAATCATTAGTATAAATTAGATGATGTTGCTTGCAAACATCATCCACCCAGGCAAGGTAATTATGGTGTTAGTTCTGCTTATGTTCAAACACTTTGCAACGTTTTAGGTATCGGTTGATTGTTCGAAAAGTGTTTTCTGTGGTTTATAAAATCCTTGTCAATAAATCAATCAACATGTCAATAAATCTTCTTCGGAATGATTGTGACCACATTTGCTTCACTGCTTTTTCATCGATCTGATAACGATAAAGGTGTTGTAGAAAAGTATGAGAATTGCGTGACTGTGTTTGATTACATCAACTTTATGGGCTGATCTGCAGCTTTTAATGTATCAATAATTATCTAATGATAAATTGGAATCAAACTCTTTCTCATCGCACTGTCTGTTCTATTAACATTGGTCCCCTACAGCTAAAATCTATTTTATACAAGTAAATAAACATGTTTAACGATAGATTAACTTTACTCTGCTTCTTCTGGACTGTAAGATCTTTCAAATCTACTGATACTATGTATTATTGTTCTGTATATGTATCCAAGTTTGTTATGTATAATCTACCCGTTGCACAGGGTTGTGGTGTATGGTGACATGTTGGAAATAAAATAATGTAAAAAATTATGTTTGATATCAGTACTAAGACAATATTATTTCTGATTTTTCTCTGCAGGAAACGGGTTTACAGTTCAAAAAGTTCATGGCTTATCCTTGGATTCTTACAGTAACCTGGCCGGCCAATATGGTAATTCTGATAATTGTATCGGTTTGTTCTGTGTCATAAGTAGAATATTTAACTTTTGTATTGGAAATTGTGATATCTTACCATATATTGTGTAGGTGTTTTAGTTGCTGTATTCTGCATAAAATTGGAATAAAACCGAATTGGAGAGGGATGTTGACCTACACTTAATTTCCTAAGTATATGCTTACATGCAGAGGCAGGCTGAACTACTGAACTCCTGACTTTATATGTGGACAGACTGCAATGCTCGTAACATCCAGGATATTGTGAATGCCTGCTGCTCTATACTTACTTAGTGACTACATTTCTATTTTTACTCATCCTTTTTTACTGTTATCCTCCTCCTTTTCATCCATTTTTGTTTTTCTCCTTCTCACCTATATATATAGTTATGTATATAATATATGGGTGATAAGGCAGTGATGTCATCAAAGTGCATCAGACGCCATTTTACTTGTTTCCAGTATTGGTGAGTATAATGCTGGGAGACTTTGAGTGTCACTAGTGACATGCCACATGATTTCTATTACTTTTTATATGCTGCTTGACACAATAATACAGATGACAAAAAATTCAAATACAATTTTTTTTTCTTTTACTTTCTAAATTTTGAGTTCTGCAGCAACATTTATTTTTTTCCCGTCAGAGTAACATTGAGGTGTTGGTGTTTGTTATCATTACAGGACACAGAAGATTATCCGCTGATTAAGCCTGGAACATACTGGAAAAAATTTAAAGCCAATTTCTGTGAATTCACCTCTCTCTTAGTTCAACAATGCCAATACAGTGTGATCTATGATGGTTATCTCCTGGACACCATTATCTCACTCCTATTGGGTTTGGCAGATTCGTGTGTCCGGGCATTCAGACATACCAGCACACTGTCAGGTTAGTCTGTAATAGAGAGGTAGGAGAAGTAGATGGGATTTCAGAAAGTAACAGGTGATTTAAGAATAGACCAGTTCTGTTAGGCAATTGTGATGACTAATGTATTGAACTATCTAGAACTAATATTCCAACTATTGGCTGCTGAAATGTAAACTTGCTAAAGGATAGAGTCTGAAAAGAGATGAACTCCCACACCTGTCTTCTTTGAAGTTAATGTATGTCTTCTACAACATTTTAATTGAAAATATGTAATTTCTTTCCTACACCCTGCCACAAATTTAGTTTAATTGCATTTTTTTGTTATCTGCTAAAGCCATGAAGTTGTTGACAGCTCTTATAAGGGTTGTCCTGAATCTCGATATCAGCATAGACAACGCACAAAGGCTGTTTAAGGTGGAGAAGAAACGGGCTGCTTTCAAGAGGACCAACTCCAGGCTCGAGCAACTGGATAAAAAAAGGAAAGAGGTTGGATATTCTGCTATACTGCTACTTGTGTATCTTTTTTTTTATTTGAATAGAAGCAAAAACTTTAATTGTTTATTATGCTTAAAGAGACAGTAAACTGCATGGACAAACACAAATGTATTGTCATCATATGTCCATTCTGTAAAGCTCATAATTAAAGCTATGGGTTATAATTCTAAGTGTTCACAGATTATAATTGCAAATAGTGGGAAAAAAAGTGATATTTTATATAAAAAAAAATGTTTAGCAATTTTTTATTTACAGCTTCAACAAAAGCACCAGGAGATGGAAAATTTAATGGAAGTTTTATTTAAAGGGACCTTTGTGCACCGTTACAGGTGAGGGATAAATAAATATATACCTTTCTAATTTTTTCCCATCTGTCTTAATTTATGCCACAAATTATGCATATTGATATTGCTGCAAATATTTAAGGGACCAGATTACACTGTTACATGCAACACACGACCTGGCCCATAAAGACACATGCCCAGCAGATGGCCTTAAGTGCACAGGCCTCTCTTAATGCGGGCCCTGGTGCAACTGAACCGGTGGTAGTTTAGTTGCTGGCACCGGGGCACACCAAAGTTTAGGCACCCACACTTGGCCTCCCATTAGGGGAAGGAAGCAATGAGTGGCCCAGCAGAGGCAAGCTGAGGTGAGGGCACACCCAGCTGCTTTATCAGTATAAGGCAAGGTTCCATGAGCGTCAGAAAGCAGAGGATTCTGAGCCAGGTGCTGCCTCCAGCTAGCCCTTCTCACCACTAGCACATAGGCTGCCTTCTTCGTGGATGAAGGAGGAAGGGACCGCTTCAGACTGCTCTGGGTTGCAGCTCAGGAAGGAGCCGTTCACTGTGGTGAGTGAGTCAGCCTATCTTTCAGAGAAGAAAGGGAATAAGACATGGGGCCTCGTGCCTGGCTGTAAAGGAGGTAAAAGCTGTTAACTTGGTATTTTAATTGGTCAAATTAATTTATTGATATTTAAAGTTTCAAATATGTGGTGTGTCTGTGAGCTGCATGAAATGTTTGTCTGTTAACTGTCTGGATGTTGTATGATGTGTGTGTCTGGGAGCTGTATGGAGTGTGTATTTCTGAACTGTATGGAGAGTGTATCTCTGAACTGTATAGAGTGTGTGTATGCAAGCTGCATAGATATTGTGTCTGTGGGCTGTAAACTACATTTAGCATGTCTGTGATTCTTGGAGTTTTAGAGGCTAATTGTCTGGAGCAATAGGGGGCTTAAAAAGATTAATCAGGCACAATGACCCTCTGTTTATTAGTTCTGCTATTGCTGTCAGGTACTGCGTTTGCTGCAAATCAGCTGAATAAGATCCAAATGCCCATATTGTTACAGAGTCTGACATATCATTGATTGCCTCCTCCCCCCTTCTTGACATTACTTTGTTCTGCTAATGTATCCTTCAGTTATCTTCAATTTTTGATACCCTTTTACTTAAAGGGTCACTCAAGACCCCTAAAGCATTCTAGCTTGCTGAAAAGCTTTATGTGTGAAGAGTGTGTTCTCTGTTTCCATTTTGTAAAAAGTGCAGATTTTAATAGAAGCTGCCACTTCTATTAATTCACCTGGTTATACCCATCTGGCTTTCAAGCAAACATGTCCTTTTACTTCCTGGTTTGGTTAGCTCAGTGGAGCTAAACTCAAGAGGCACATGCATTGCAAAGACTTCTCATTGAGCTGCTTTGGAAGTCTGGGATTGGACAGCAACAGGACATCTGGGGTTAGAAGGGGAGAGCTTGTTAAAGGATCACTATAGTGCCAGGTCCTTGGGTCCCCCTCACCCTAATGGTCCCCCTCCCGCCAGGCTCTAGGGTGAGGAAGGGGTTAATCCCTTACCTTTTTCCAACCCGGCGCTGGGGACTCTCCTCCTTTCCCTGTCATCTGCTGAATGCGCATGCACGGCACGAGACGCGGCGCATTCAGCCAGTCCACAGGAAAGCATTCTCAATGCTTTCCTATGGACGCTGGTGTTTTCACAGTGAGAAGCGCGGAAGCGCCTCTAGTGACTGTCAATGAGACAGCCACTAGAGGCTGGATTAACCCATATGTAAACATATGAAACTGCTATGTTTACAGCAGAAAGGGTTAATCCTAGGTGGACCTGGCACCCAGACCACTTCATTAAGCTGAAGTGGTGTGGGTGCCTATAGTGGTCCTTTAAGACAGCAGACAAGAGAGAAGCAGTTTTTGCAAGCTGATTTTAAATATACCCCAATGAAAAATGCATGCTTAGATGCATACATGTCTTCATTGTTGGAAATATACTAAACAGTGATTTTGATTAATTATATATTTGAGGAGTGGAGCTAAATTTCCGATATAGGGTGGTCAATGATTATAGCTATTATTGAGAGAATGATGAGGGATTTATAAAATTCCAAATGTATTTTGATATGTTTCATTTGCAAATAATTAAAAGGAATTTGCATTTGATGATCACCTATTGGAGTCTGTTTACCAAAGCGCAAGTTGTGGTGACTTAATAGCCTCTTAAACAGAAGATTATTCAACATGTCTATTCATCAACATTGTTTCAAATGATCAGAAGTAGCTGCTTAATGAATATACTTTTGCTAATGTAACTGATATTTATTTACATGTTTAGTTTTTTAGTATTATGTATCATTTTATAGTGCTGTGTAGCAAGTATCAATATTCAGGGGATCTGTCAAAACACATCAACAAGCAATTCCGTAGCATTCACAAAAGAACACTATGAGCAAGCAGATCTTTCTTCCTGAGACATAGTTTGTCATTGAATTACACAGTTGTAGAGATATATATATATTTCGATATATTTTTGTAGGGATGTCGTTTCTGAAATCAGAGCATTGTGTATTGACGAACTGGGAATATGGATGAGGATGTACCCAAAAACATATTTGAATGATAGCTGCTTAAAGTACATTGGATGGATGCTATACGACAAGGTGGGTTTATACAATACAATTATTTAAAAAAGTTATGGGTGAAACTGGCATGGGTTCTGAATGGAGCAGATAGTAAGGATTACTTCTGCAGAATGGCTGTAGGGTTGCTGTACATGTAGCAGTAGGAGAAAATAGTATGTGTTTTGGAAAAGAAAGGTCTACAGTTTGGGATAAATTAAAACACAGGTGAAACACTGAAACACATGGACTGGTGAGACATTGGATTTTAAACTGTGGTAAGACACTGAAACTAAAGAATTGGTGAAGACACTTTAACCACTAGGAGACTGGCGAGACACAGGAACTAGGAGACTGGCAAGACACAGGAACTAGGAGACTGGCAAGACACAGGAACTAGGAGACTGGCGAGACACAGGAACTAGGAGACTGGCGAGACACAGGAACTAGGAGACTGGCGAGACACAGGAACTAGGAGACTGGCGAGACACAGGAATTAGGAGACTGGCGAGACACAGGAACTAGGAGACTGGCGAGACACAGAAATTAGGAGACTGGCGAGACACTGGAACTAGGAGACTGGCAAAACTGGAACTAGGAGACTGACGAGACATAGGAACGAGGAGACTGGCGAGACATAGGAATGAGAAGACTGGCGAAACTGGAACTAGGAGACTAGCGAGACACAGGAACAAGGAGAATGGCGAAATACTGGAACTAGGATATTGGCGAGACACAGGAACTAGGAGACTGGCGAGACACAGGAACTAGGAGACTGGCGAGATACTGGAACTAGGAGATTGGTGAGACACTGGAACTAGGAGACTGGCGAGACATAGGAACGAGAAGACTGGTGAAACTGGAACTAGAAGACTGGCGAGACATAGGAACGAGGAGACTGGCGAGACACTGGAACTAGGAGACTAGCGAGACACTGGAACAAGGAGACTGGCGAGACACTGGAACGAGGAGACAGGCGAGACACTGGAACTAGGAGACTGGCGAGACACTGGAACAAGGAGACTGGCGAGACACAGGAACTAGGAGACTAGCGAGACACTGGAACGAGGAGACTGGCAAGACAGTGGAAGGGTTAAGGTTTTTGTGATTACTCCCATTGTTGTAAGATGGGACGTTATTAATGTGCTACATTTCTCTTAAAACTGACCATGTCTATGTGAAAATAGCCATCATGAACTTCGAAAAGAGATGCTAAGGAAAGCGGCTAGCAGGGCTGTTTGTCTTTTTAAAGGATGGTTGATCTTCAAGACTGAAATATCTAGAATGTATGCATTGTGACCCCAGCAACCCATGCAGCACCTATTGCATAGTTCTCCATCACATACATGGAATGTTTTACAATGACAAAGTAAAGCAAAACTGAATACTGCTTTTTACAGGTCCCAGAAGTACGTCTGAAATGTCTTGTGGCTCTGCAGGGACTGTATGATAATAAGGATCATGTTTCCAAGATGGATCTTTTTACTATCAGGTTTAAGGTAAATCCTCCACAATACACTATTTCATTAAAAACATGGAGACAAATAAAAGCATTGAGAGAGGTTCATCAAGGCAAACCTATGTAATTTTCTGAAGTAGAGAGGTAAATGAAAGCCAACAGAATGAATCTCAACTTACCCAAAATAGCACTTTTTTTGCTTTGATAAATCTCCCCCATCATGAGATGTATTTTGCTTAATAGTTATCCAACTTGCTTATGACAAAGGTGTGTGAACCAGGTATACACCATGATAAATGTTCTTGAGAAGTTAGTTTGCATGTTCATCTTTCCAAATAAAACATAGTTACATAGTTACATAGTTACATAGCTGAAAAGAGACTTGCGTCCATCAAGTTCAGCCTTCCTCAGAAATGTTGTTGCTGTTGATCCAAAAGAAGGCAAAAAACCTGGTCTGAAGCACTTCCAATTTTGCCACAAACTAGGAAAAAATTCCTTCTTGACCCCAAAATAGCAGTCAGATGTCTCCTTGGATCAATCAGCTATTACCCCACTAATTAGAAATTATATCCCTGTATGTTATGTTTTTGTAAGTATTTATCCAATTTCAGTTTAAACATCTGTATGGACTCTGACAAAACCACCTCTTCAGGCAGAGAATTCCATATCCTTATTGTTCTTACTGTAAAAAAACCTTTTCTTTGCCTTAGATGAAATCTCCTTTCTTCCAGCCTAAATGTGTGACCTCGTGTCCTATGTATAACCCTGTTTATGAATAGATTTCCAGATAAAGGTTTGTACTGGCCCCGAATATATTTGTATAAAGTTATCATATCCCCTCTCAGGCGCCGTTTTTCCAAACGAAACAGATTTAATTTTTGTAACCTTTCTTCATAACTAAAATGCTCCATTCCTTTTATCAATTTTGTAGCTCGTCTCTGGACCCTCTCCAGTGCCATGATATCCTTCTTTAGAACAGGCGCCCAAAATTGCACAGCATATTCAAGGTGTGGTCTTACCAGCGATTTATAAAGAGGCAAAATTATATTTTCATCCCGAGAATTTATGCCCCTATTTATACATGACAAAATCTTACTGGCCTTAGCAACTGCAGATTGACATTGCATATTGCTGCCTAATTTGTTGTCTATAACAATGCCCAAATCCTTCTCGTGTGTGGTTATCCCTAATTCACTACCATTTAGTGTGTAAGTTGCTTGTGCATTCTTAACCCCGAAGTGCATAACCTTGCATTTTTCTATGTTAAATTTCATCTGCCATTTTAGTGCCCAATCCCCCAATCTATCCAAATCTCTCTGCAACAAAGCAATATCCTGCTCACATTTTATTACTTTACAAAGTTTTGTGTCATCTGCAAACACTGATACATGGCTTTCAATGCCTATTTCAAGATCATTTATAAATATGTTAAATAGAAGTGGTCCCAAAACAGAACCCTGAGGGACACCACTTACCACTTTTGTCCAGCCTGAAAATTTACCATTAATGACAACTCGTTGTACTCTGTCCTTAAGCCAATGTTCTACCCAAGAACAGGAATATTCATCTAGACCAATTTCTTTTAGTTTGAAGACTAACCTATTGTGAGGAACCGTATCAAATGCCTTGGCAAAGTCCAAGTAGATCACATCCACTGCAACACCCTGATCTATACTTCTACTTACTTCTTCGTAGAATGCAATTAGGTTAGTTTGACATGACCTATGTTTCATAAAACCATGCTGATTATTGCTAATAACAAAGTTCTTCCCAATGAATTCCTGAATATTATCCCTTAATAGCCCTTCAAATATTTTCCCAGTTACTGAAGTTAAGCTCACAGGTCTATAATTTCCAGGCAAGGATTTTGAACCCTTTTTAAATATAGGAACAACATCTGCCTTCCTCCAATCCTCCGGTACAACACCTGAAACAAAAGAATCTTGAAAAATTAAATACAGAGGTTCACTTATTTCCCCACTTAGCTCCTTAAGTACTCGTGGGTGAATACAGTCAGGCCCCGGAGCTTTATTTACATTCATTTTCTTTAATAGCTGTAGCACCTTGTCTCGAGTTATCCAGTCACAAGTTATTTGCAAGTTTTTTGCAGCAAACATTTGCATATCTCTTGCCATAGGATCCTCATTAATATATACTGAAGAAACCTCTTCAGATTTTATATACTGTGGATATAATCCAAAAGTGTTTCCCAGGATTTAAGAAACCCCTGTTTCAATCAACATTAGAACATGAAAAATTAAAAAATAGCTGTATTCTAGTGGCACTTCATTTCATTTTAATCAGTTTTGGAACTGGTGATAATTTATGCAGTATTAACCTGATTTTTATTTTTATTTATTACTGGTATTTAAAAAGCACCAACTTATTCTGCAGAGCTGTAATTGCAGGACTACCCTGGAGAATAGGATATTCATGGATTCTGATTTTCATAGTGAATTGTAAAACCCTCTGTATGGTTCTTTTTTAAGTGCTGTTTGGCTAAGATGATTGGAAACTGATGTCACAAGATCAGGTGTACACATTTTATTTTTTATAGTCAGACACCCATTGGTACCTAGAGATTTCTGATTTGTTATGTATTTTCATGTCTGTTAGGATCGTATTGTATCCATGACGTTAGACAGAGACCATGATGTATGTGTGCAGGCTATGAAGCTCCTTGTTTACATATCACAGTATGTATTTTTTCTTTTTTTCTATATACTTAAAATGTAACAAAACATATGGTCCTTATACTCATTATTCTCAATTATTTAAATTGCTTTCAAAGTTTCTTTATTCTGCACAATTTTAAAGATGCTTGTTACAGATTCTTAAATTGGTAACAATACAACATCCAGACAATGATACCTACATGCAAAATCTCACTTTGGTTAATACTGTACATTAAAATTGCAGCATTTGTATACATAGTTAGTTAGATGGTCTCTTGAGTTGGACTTCCACATTCTGCATTAGCATGTTAGTCTAGTACCATGTCACTAATAAGTTAATGCAATGTCCTAGGTAAAATCAATGTTCTTAGTAAGTAAATGAAGATGCATCTTGTAGTAAAGCCAAGATATGGTGTCTGTAAACTGGCTAATACTAAACACACATGAGATTATGGATTTACAAAAGTTGTTCTGCTATAATTCTCGCTAAATTGATAACATAACATTTGAGGTGAATTGCAAGTATAAGTATAAAGTAGCTAAACGGGAAGCATTGCTGATTTAGATAAATTTTCCAGTTCCGCTATTTTGGCCTTAAATGTGAAATCTACTTTGAAGACACTTCAAATTCTTACATTAGTGAATAACCCTATTAGTTATTTCCTTTTGTGTCATGTATTGCAGAGCGCCTTCAGTTCCATAGAGAAGTTATCTACCATTAGTACAAGATAATTGTTAAAGGGTCTGAGCTGACAAACGATCTACATTTTTTATTCTAGAATATCAGCATATGATGTATGGTATATACTACCTTTCATTACTGGAAGAATATTATCCCAGAGTAAATGTTTGCCTTTACTTTTCATATACAAACAATGATTATTAAATCTGTTTTCAAAGTAAACATCCTTATACAAGTCTTATACGTAACAAAAATAATTTAATTAAGGTTATTTGTTTTGTACAAAAAGCATTGAAAATAGGTTAAACTTGTATCAATTAAATATGTTTGTAAATTGAGATTTTGCCACTAGAGGGCGATATATCCCACACACAGTCATTTTGTACCATAGAGTCTGTTGGATTTTTGTGTGTGTGTGTATTCTTTTGTCAACTGGGATAGATCTAATAGGGATAGACTGGGATAGACTAATAGATCCATCATTTGAGGAGGGTCTGTCTGCTTTTACTATTCACACCAGTAGATGTTCTTAAATCATTTTGGTAAATTCCTTTAGTAAGGCAATTTGTAATATTCCCATAAACTTCAGTTTTAACCCATTCATGCCAATTAGTGATGTCGTGAACCGTTTGCGAACTTGCCGCGAACGGTTTGCGAACTTGCCGCGAACGGTTCGCCACGAACCGTTCGCGGCGAACTCCGGTCAGCTGACACATCCCTGCCAATCTCCGGCAGACCCTCCCCTCCCACCTCCTGGACAGCATCCATGTTGAAGCTGCCTTCAACATGGATGCTGTCCAGGAAGTAGGAGGGTCTGGGAGGGAGGGTCTGCCGGAGATTGGCAGGGATGTGTCAGCTGACCGGAGTTCGCAAACGGTTCGTGACATCACTAATGCCAGTAGGGATACAAAATGTATAAATATCATGATGGCACTGAGAATCTAGCAGGCAAGGGGCTAAAGCAGTAATATAGCTTAAAACAAAACTTAAAGTTTATTATTTTAAATTCCATAAAATACATCATTGTAATACCATTAAGACTGCAAAGTTTTTCAGTAAATCCTTACTAGTTTTACTGAAAACAAAAAGTAAGCTGATCAATCAATTCACCCACATTTTCTGTATTTTTAAAAAACACATTTTGTATATAGTCATTAGGAAAGTGAATTAGCGTGCATCATAACCTGCATTTATAGCTAGATGCAATAGGCCAGGGGTAGGCAACCTATGGCACTCCAGATGTTGTGGACTACATCCCTCATAATCCTCTTACACCCATAATGCTGGCAAAGCATCATGGGAGGTGTAGTCCAAAACATCTGCAATGCCGAAGGTTGCCTATGCCTGCAATAGGCAGAAATAGCTTTTACAGGATGAAATATATAGCTCAATGTTATCTTAAGGGAGCAGTAGGTGCTATGTCACTCAAACTTAAAGTTATTGGGGGGGGGACATAACAAGAAAAACTGTAATGAGGAGAAAAACATGACATATTTCCTATTTCCCAGCGTCAAAAGTTTGTAAGATGTAAAAGATGCAAAAAAAAAAAAAAAAAAGATGACAAAATGGGGTAATCCAATAAAATGGATATGAAATATTACAGTGACGTGCCAGTTTTGGAAAACTTTGAGCCTATTAATTACATAAATACAGACAGGTGACAATGAGAGCACAATGTCAGAAATATAGTAGATGGACTGCACACCCCAAATATTAATAAGATAATTGGATACCACCTATGGCAACTACACAGACTGGAGTGGCATCATCTTCATCCAATACACATTAGCCAAGAAGGTCTGGACACACAGATGTCATTCCCAAGCACATTTTATTTTATCAACGTTTCACAATGTTTACAGTCTGCTTGGGAGGAGATGACCTCTAGGGATCTGCCCTTTTTTTTTGCTAAGAAAAGCACAATGAGCACAATATGCAAAGAAGACCCAACCGTTTAATAAAATAAATCAATCAGAAACAAGTAAATTTAAGTAGAAGATTTCTAGCAACAAATGATAAACATAACGGTCCTTGGTTAATTAATCCGGCCTTGGCTGGGAGCTGATTGTGCTGTTAGTGGTAAAGTAGTGCGTGCAGTCTTGATATGGATAAGGAAAATTAACAAATAAAGATCAGGTCCTTATGTTTGTGTCTTCAGAAGGAGAAACAGATGTTGCCACTTGTTGTCTCCAATTTAACTCCCAACATATAATCTAACAATGTCCTACACCAATTTAGGAGCATATCCTTATAAACTGCTGAAATGTATCCAGTTTATGTGCTGTTGTGTTTTCCTAAATTAAATTAAAGACTGCATTATAATAAAGCTGGTACAGATTTCAGTGAAATGTAAAACCTCTGCGTACCAGTTTCTTAGCACAATTGTACTTAAAGCCAGAATAATCCTTTGTACCGGTCGTTGTGATTCTGCTGGCACTGCCAGTATGTCAGGCCATGAGCCACTCTGCCCAGATGAAGAATTCCTTTGATTGTGTGAATAGACAATGGATGTATATCTCACTCAGTCATTGCTGAGATCAACAAGGCATAACCTCAGACTGCCTAATAAGAAGTGCTCTGTCTCCGTGCAGGAATTGTGAAGATGTGCTTACAAGTGAGGACTGTGAGAGCCTGTACCAGTTTGTTTATGCAGCACACAGGCCGCTGGCAGCCGCAGCTGGAGAATTTCTCTATAAAAGGTAACTGTAGGGCAATCTGTGGTTTATATTCCAATTTACAGAAGGGCAGTGATACTCAGCAGAACATTATGTATGACACGTGCATAAACAAAACAACGTTCATCTTGCTGTAGATAGTTCTCATTGTTTCTGCTAATTAACACCTATTGTATCTCTTTTAGCTCAGAATGCAAACCATTGAGATATTTACCATAGAAATCCAGATTGTCTATATTGTAATGACTAATAAGAACCATTTTCCGTATAATGAAAATTCTGACTTGTTTTACTGTTATGCGCATCTCAAGCAATCTTCTATCCCTTTATTGTGTCTGTATTTACAAATTCTTCATTTTCTTCTGCTTATCAAATATGTTTCTGGAAACATTATTAATGTATTTGAAGCATTGTCTAAGGTCTACTCTCTCCCTGGTACTTGGGATAAGTATCTATATAACAATTGTAAATGTTAATAGGACCCTAGACAAGCCTCTGTTTGTGTGTCTACTTCTCATTCACAAATCTCTAAGCTGAAGAGGATACACTCTGTGGGGAATCTGTTCTAGGACCAACATGTTTTCAATTAAAACAACATGTATTAATTAACTCCCTTTGCAATCTATCCCTTCTGCCATGCAGAACATTCCAAAGCAGGCCAAAATTACATCTTTAAATTATGCTCCTATTCCAATACCTTAGCGCCACCACTTAAACTCACATTGCTTGAACATGGCTTCCACATCACATAGCAACATCATACATGACCATGGGCATCCACACGAGTTTTACCAGGGGGGGGGGCATAATTGTAATGACATCTATGCTTGGCCCCTTTTTGACAGTGTCATGAAGGGGAGGAGCATAGTCATTATCACATAAAGCCAGGGTGAATAGCGTTTTCACAACTATGGTGTCAGGAATACATGTTTGTATTCCTGACACTATAGTGTTCCTTTAAGCAAATTAAAGGAACATTCTGGTCACCATAACAACTTCATCTAAATGAAAATGCTATGATGCCAGGAAGCCCCTGGGTGCTTTCTTTCCTTTAAGGGGTTAAACCGCTCTCAAATGGTTTAACCCCAAAGGCTTTCTCAAGCTCCAGGTCGCTCAGTGGTATTCGGCATCTGAAACGGAGTGTCAGGAAGTGCATATTGACGTCAGGCATGGGTGCCGCTGATTGGCTAGAGTTGACAGTTGACGCTCTAAGCCAATCGCTAGTTCCCGGTTCATCAAAGTTTTTTACTTTTTTTATGAATGGGGAGCTACTGATTGGCTTAGAGTGCCAGCTGACCACTCTAGCCAATCAGCAACACCCCTACCCAGCGGCACTCTGTACTTCCTGACACTCAGTAAATAAAAGTGAACACATTAACACTGATATTTTTTTTTTTTACCTGGGGAGATGAGAAGGTCCAGAGTTTCCCTGCCAGGCCCAGGTACCAAAGCCTTATGATGTGGTATCCAGAATTAAGTGGAGGGTTCACTTCAGTTGTCCTTCCTGCTCCAATCTCCTTTTCTTCTCCTTCATTTGACAGTCTTCTTTTTCTTCTGACACTGTCTTCTATATTTGGCTCCTTCTGCTCCTTTCTCATTCTGATTCCTTTCTGCTCCTTGCTGTCCCTTTCTGCTCCTTCTTCCACTTTACCTTTGTGCTCCTTCTGTCCCTTTCTGCTCGTTGCAGACCTTTCCTGCCCCTTGCTGCCCCTGCTCCTTGCAGACCCTTCCTGTTCCTTGCTGACTCTTCATTTAGGCTGCCCCCCTCCACCCCCACTCCCCTAATCTATAAACTGCCCCTCCACCCCCCACTCCCCTAATCTATAAACTGCCCCCCCACTCCCTCATCTATAGGCTGCCCCCCACTCCCTAATCTATAGGCTGCCCCCTCACCACTCTAATCTATAGGCTGCCCCAGGCCCCCTATAGGCTGCCCCCATACCTCACTCCCTAATCTGTAGGCTGCCCCCATGCCTCACTCCCTAATCTATAGGCTGCCCCCTCACTCCCCTAATCTAAAAGGTGTCCCCTGCCTCACTCCCTAATCATAGGCTGCCCCCATGCCTCACTCCCCTAATCTGTAGGCTGCCCCCATGCCTCACCCACCCAAAGGGTGCCTCCCACTCCCTAATCTATAGGCTGCCCCCTCTCTCCCCTAATCTATAGGCTGCCCCCCGCCTCACTCCCCTAATCTATAGGCTGCCCCCGCCTCACTCCCTAATCTATAGGCTGCCCCCCTCACTGCCAATCTATACCCTGCCCCCATCCTCACTTGCATAATCTATAGGCTGCTCCCCATCCCTCACTTGCCTAATCTAGGCTGCCCCATCCCTCACTTGCCTAATCTATAGGCTGCCCCCATGCCTCACTTGCCTAATCTATAGGCTGCCCCCCCATGCCTCACTCCCCTAATCTATAGGCTGCCCCTGCCTCATTTTCCTAATCTATAGGCTGCCCCCTCATCCCCAATCCCTCATTTCCCAAATCTATAGGCTATTTTAAACCCCTCCCACCCCATCCCCCACTTACCTGATCTGTAGGCTGTCTCTGGCTGCATGTGCTGCTCCCCTGCGGTTTCAATCAGCAGAGAGAAGCAGGGATAAGATGCAGCTTCCTATCCCTGTCTCTCTCCATACACAGTGCCTACTGGCCGGCGCCGATATTGCAGTGCCCCCCCCCCACCCCACCTGCCCCACCTGCGGACGCCCATGTACACAACCTCCACCAAATTACACTGCACCGACATTATAGACCGCAAGCACATTGCATGCTGTACCCAAAACACTTGGCACCCACATCTCACACAGGGCTCTCACATAACAATCACCGTTAGCTATGGTACCCTGTAGCAAAGACACTGTCTTTACATTTTGTTTGAGAGGCTAGTGGTTACATGTGATGCTGTGGCGGGGGAAGGTAGAGATTTAAAGCAGCCCACAGCATGCCCAGGCAGCACTGATATCATGCACTAAATAAATACATGTGGTGACTGCATACGGAGCATGGGGAAGGTGCTGTGGACTGTTGAAGAATGACTAGGTCATCTTCAACTGTTCCATTTGCCCCACGTTTAATGCATCTCTAAGATTGATGGTGGGTGCCGTTCAAAGATGCTTGAGTGACAATGACTGCCTATCCCTGGCAGCTGCAAGCCTTTAAAATATTTCATAGACATCTAGTACCTTACTTGGTCAGTGGTAGCCTAGACCTGTGTATTTCATGACAAATAACTATACATGAACCCTTGCATCATACAATAAATGAGTGGCCTGTCTTATACTCTCATTCCTTTTTTTATGTATTTGTAGTGTTCTAGAAATAATTTTATATGGCAATAGAGAATCTAACTATTAGGAGGAGTAATCAAGGAGAGGTTTATGAGCACTGCTTTGTTTGTGGGAATGGGTGTGTGGGTGATATGTAATATTGTGTACGTGTGGGGTCTGCTTGGGGTATTGCATATGGGAGGATGCTGGAGGGGTTTTGTATGTGGGTTGTCAGTGGTGTTGTATTTGTGTTGGCTGCTTAGAAGCTGTGAATTTTTGAAAGTGTAGTATAGTATGTAGTATGTCTGGGGAGGCGTCTTCTGCAGTTATGTGTGTGTCTAGCTGCGTGTGTTGATTCCCTGTGGTCCAGTGGGGATTGGCCTGTCCAGGTACAAGTTGAGGGCAGGAGCTATGCTGGATGTTGCAGGCTGTCCTCCTCAAATGCAAACTCCCCTACACAAGTGCTTGGAGGAAGTGATCTGAGATCCACGGATCTCCCCATCCTGTTTTGGTGTGTCAGCCTTGCGTGCTGAGTCCATGGCATGCATTCCATAAGTTTCTAACCCTTGTGCTACATTGTCCGACAGTCTGAACACATGTAATATAGTTTATTGCCCTTAAAGTTAAACTCTTTGCTGTTTGGTCATGCTTGTTAAGTCTTTAAGTGGTAGCAGCCAGGTATAACCCACCAGCCGGGTACATTCCTGGATTTATGTGTCTGGGTGCAGACTGTAAAGTCCAATGTATCCGTTCCTCAGTGTTTATAACTGAGCCACTGGTTCGCTAAGACAGGCACATCATGAATGGTGAAGTCCTGGTGCAGGTCTGAATATTGCTTTAAAGAAACCTCTAGCAAGTAGATTAATCTTTTAAAAGATCAATATAAAGCAATTGGGTTTTGTGATAGGATATTTTTAATTAAACACCTAGAAGAATGCTGCATGTTTTGACATAAGCATGCTTCTTTTTAAAATCATTGGTAAATCAATAGAATATATTTTGTTCTGAAATAAACTAGGACTGAGAAATTACCGTACTGTAAAAATCAATGTGTTTGACAATTGAGAAAAGAAGGTGCAATGTAATTATAAACCCATAATGTTTTGTAGCAACATGAAAATTGCCCTTTGGTTAAAGATTTTTTACATAACGGACACAGTCTTGTATTGATTGTGTTTAATATCTTTACTAATATAGCATCAAAATCCATTCAAATGTTGTTAGAAATAGGCCCCCTTCCCAAGAGAATCTGGATATTTTTCTTTATCTATGCACATCATATCTCATGCCATATAGTATCTATTGTGCGTGATGTTATTCCAACTCATTCAGGACTCATTCAATGTGTATCTCCCAGGCATTTAAATCAGCTGGCAAGAGAACAAATCAGCCTACATAGAAAGGAGGAGATTGAACACAATGCCATTCAGTTGAGAGCCCTCTTGACTTTCTTCAGCAACAGCAAGGTGGGTTGTAGAGCTGTAAGTGGTGGCTTGAAAAAGATCTCCAGATCAGATATGTAATCTGTCTGTTGCTTGCAATGTTTACAAAATCATTTTTTTAAGAATAACATTATCTATTATTTTCATAAAATAATGCAGTGAGGGCCACAGTTGAGCGTAGCTCCTTTACATAGCATACCACGGTGCAAGGAAAAGGAAATTACTCTTTAAAAATTGGCTTATATTTAACGCCCTCATTGCCCAAAGGAGGTCCAGATCACATAGACAGATTAAATCTACACAAACTGCTAAATATATTAAATATATGAACACTTTGTGCAAGCTGCTTATAGTCATGATGTAAAGAATCTTCCTGATTAGGGAATCATTAGGGAATCATTTTAAAACCACCGACTTCGAAATTCCATAAACTGTTTATTGTTATATGGCCAGTGTTGTGTGACAGCGTATAGAAGTCATTCAGAAATGGAAGTAGTTAACTATGGTGGAGATCCAATTAAAAATCATTATTAAATAATTATTGTAACCGACTTGTTCTCTCTCTCCGGTCGGTTGTACGTACCCCCTTGTTCGTATTATGAATGAAGATGAGTGTTCCCCTTTTTATACCCCCCGGAACACCGACCACCCCCTGACTTGTTAACTTCAGAGGAGTAATTGGCTCAAGTGCTTTTCCTGGGTGACCGCCATTCGTATAACCGAATACATGTGCTCTAGTAAATGGCGGCAGTGGTACATGGTCGTCGAATGCTTGGAACTCTTTTCGGCAATCCAGGGAAAAGTGTACCGCTGCCCATTCCAGACAAGTTAGGAGAATGCCGTTCGGGATAAAGGAACTACCGACTAGGGGGAGCATTTGCTCTCTAATAGCCTGTGGGAGCATTCGTCGGTGTTTGCACAGGAACTCCTGAAAATGTACTGTCCGTTGCCTCTTTTTCTCTGGAACTGTTTTGGGCTATCACCTCGTGGTCAGAACCCGAATGTTGAATCCGTTCTACCAAATGGATCTGAGCCCTATTTGGACAACTTGGGCGCTCAGATCCAGGCTATTTGGGGATATAAGACTTCTGTGGTTCCTGTGTAGTTTTACTGTATTTTTTGGGTGTTTTATGTATTTCATGTATGGTTCCCTGTAACTGAGAGATAATTGAGTTACTAGTTTTTGACGCCTGGGAGGGGTTTGTTTGTATTGAATGGAGACACCATTCTGTGGGTCTGTGCATAAATAGCCGAGTGTGACTCAATAAAGATAGTTGTACTCCTAGCACTATGTGTCGTCCAGTTACTGGGGAGAAGGAAATCTATTCACTTCACAGCGCTTTGTTCAAGAGTTCCAGTTACCACGGATCCAGAGGAGAAAAGTCCTTGTCAAGACTAGACAAGATCTAAGACCTCAGTTTGGGGCAGAAGGAGTACAATCCATGTTTAATTTCACGTGTTTCGAGTGAGGCTCTTAATCAGAGCATGAATGCACTAACTTCTATGAGTTTAGATAAGGAGAAAAACCTAATGGAGAGATGAAATTAGACCAACTCCCTGCTCAATGCACACCAGCAGCAGTCCATATTTGTCTGTATACCCAATGGAAGAGAATTCAAATGCATAAATACTGATAGTGTGCCTTGAGGACTAGGTTAGGACACGTGGTAAGAAACACTTGTGATTTTATTAATCGTTTTAGTTTTATTGATATTGATAGTGTTAGGATAGGACAGTGTATGAAGAGGGGAGAAAAAAAATAGCCATAAGGTGAAGAAACGCTAATACTGATTGTTTTATAGATATGTCAGTAAAATAAGAAGGCTGTTTCTGTGAAGTAATGTAAGGCTATCGGTAGTTTTGTTGTAGCTTAATCAGATGCATTCTTTCTTTACCATAGCTACACCAGCACTTGACATACCTTGTTGACAGCCTATGGGACTGTACAACTGGCTTCCTCAAAGACTGGCATTGTATGTCCACCATCCTGCTCCAAAAAGGAAACAATCAACAGACTGGTAAGGACCCTGAATACCTGTCCTGGATATCATGTTTCCAGTGGTAAAAGTTCATTTATTCCTGGATTTATGTGTCTGAGTGCAGTGTAAAGTCCAATTCTTACTTTTCTCTGACATCCAGATGTCCTACAGCCTGCTACAAGCAATATGTTCCTGACACAACTATCCTGTCTAAAAGACTTAAATGTGTACATTTTGATTTTATTATCTTTTATTTCTCTTTGGTGCTGCACATGAAAATTAAAAGTGTTGAATTATTTTGTAAGTCATTAATACCTTCAGATATCTCACTCTACAATGGAGACCTTCTGGTTGAGGACCAAATCTCTCTGATCTTTGCAGTATTTCAGTATTGTTACAATACGCAGATTGTCAGATGTACATTAAAACATAACGATTATTCACCATATTAACAAAATCTCCTTGAAGTATGACCGCAGCCAGGGGTCAAGTCCTGGGGAAAAAAGTGTGGGAACTCACCCAAGATCCACTCCTCCTGCCAGCTTTGTGAATAGCCTATATATATCTGATTTGATTCTAAGTGAAACATCTGCAGGTATTCTACAAACAACGGCCACTGTATTTTCGACTTTGTGCACTAAACAAATCTTTTGTTTGTTACTCTTACAGTAACATATATTGACCAATGCTAGATACCAAGCATGAAATTAATAAGATGAATGAATGAGGGTAACCTATTAATTACAGTGTTCCCAAAACAGTGTATAACAAAACAAGTTTAATACAATAAAAAGCCACATACAGGTTCACAATCACACCTGTGCCCAATAACCCATTTGTGGTAATAGGCTAGGCATACCCCTTTATATCATGACATCCATGTCAAGTCATCGATCATTTCCCTTGTGCTCAAACAAGAATGCATAGAGTAAAAAATATGTTTTTTAAAAGTTCAGTTATACTGCCTAGCAGAGGCTCTAAGTAGTTAAAAGCTTATATCACACACACACTTTCATTCAGTTGAACTCCAACTCACATATTCAGCTGAGGAGCAGACTAAGAGGATCCACATAGTTTGCCGTATTTACTCTGATCACCTCTGCAGTAGCAAACAGATAATGCTGCTTGTAAATTGGCCATAAGGACAAAGTTTTTGAATCAATAAGCAGTATTGTGTCCTCTTCACAACCTTGAATGGATTTGCACAATATAAAGCAACCACATTTAGTGTCTACTTAATACAAAATAGTGCCCTAGACCAGGGGTAGGCAACCTTTTAGCAGCACTTTGCCGATATAGGATTGTGATGTCCCGCAGCGTGCCGGTCCTATTTTTTAAAATTGAGGTGTGTATGCTGCCGTATTCTGCTTGTGTTATTTATACTGTAAGTGCTTTGTATATTTGTATTTGAGCTATTATATTGTATATGTTCAGGAGTAGTTTGTGGTATTGTGTAAGATACCTATGAATGTGGGCTGTGTATTGGGGCTGCTTGTGGAATTGTGTGTGTGGATGGATGTGTCACATTGTGTGTTTGGCAGTGTGTGTATGTGTGGGGTATTGCATGTGAGAAGCTGTATGTGGTGTTGTGTGCATGTATGTGGATTGTTAGCGGGTTACGTTTGTGCAGATTGTGTGTATGTTTGTTTGTGGGCTGTTCGTATTATTTGTATGAGGGGAGGGTTATTCTGCATTTCTGTGTATATCTAGCAGTGTGGGTGGCTTCCCTAGGTTCCAGTGGAGACCAGGCTGGCCAGGTACAGGTGAAGGGCAGGAGCTGCAATACCCGCTGTGGGCTACTCTACCACAGTGTGGATTTCCATTCACAAGTGCTGGGAGGAAGGGACCTGAGATCACTTACTCTATGTGCTGCAATGCATAAATTGAGGATTGTCATTTTCGTATTAGCAGATATCTGAAGTTTCACTGGGACTCCTGATAGGCCAGAGCCTGTTTGGCTCTAGCAGCCTTGAGTGCCGTGCAAAGACTCCTTGAGTGCCGTGCATGGCACTAATGCCGTAGGTTGCCTACCCCTGCCCTAGACCAAACCAAATTAGATACACAGAGATAAGACAAAAAAATGAATTCTCAAACATTAAAGCAAATAACACGAAAGGTGTGCGTAATCTTATAGCTACAAATATCTACTGTTTTTTTTTTTGCTAGCTCATTCATCTGTCAGTTCACCCACATTACACAATTCCTGAAACAATGACATGGAGAGAGGTGGAATCAGGCAGTGATGGGGCAGGTGCGGTGCGGCCGATGGTGGCAGGCTAATGATGCCAGGCCAGTGCTGTGACAGGGGGCCAGGCTGTGAAGGTGAGCTGGGGCCTGGCAATGAATGGAGGGCAGATGGCAGGCTCCGTTCATTCATTGCCAGGTCCTGCCTAGCGGCTCCTGACTTGCAGTGCGCGGCCATGACAGCCCCCAGTACAGGCAGCCGGGCTGCTGGTTATACCACGGGGCCGGTGATGGCGAAGGGAGGGAGGGGGTGTGGGCAGGGTGGCTCTCCTACCTTCAGGTGCTCCTGGAAGTGGATGGGAAGGATTTGAGCCATGGCGGTTTCTGTCTCCTGCCTCTCGCTGCTGCTGCCTCTCCAGGACTACTAATGGGAACGGCGTTCCTGCTGTGGAAAAAGTGCAGGAGCGCCATTCCCACGCGTTCCTGCAGGACTCAACCCCTGACCGCAGCATTGTAATAGGTAACGCGTTTGAGAGCAGAAGTAGTACAATCCATCTTTAGTTTCACTCGAGTGAGGTGCTTAATTAGAGCATGAATGCACTAACTTCTGAGTTTAGATTAGGAAAAAAAAAAATCATGTAAAATAAAATTAGAGCAAACAGATACAGCCTACAGCACTGCCTTAAACAGCCTATGTTGGAAACTTCAAAACTAATAACACCCTTCCATTGAGAAAAAAGCATTAGAAAGGTACATATCTTTCTAATGCATTATTTCTCAATGTGAGGTTATTGATAGGTGCTTTTACCGTATCATCTGCTAGTCCAAGGCTTCCACATTGACAGGAGAGACACAGGAATCTGAAATGAAATTGTTGTGGTGCCCAGATTGTTTCTGTATGTAAAGGAACTAAAAATTGCTTAATATGTGTTAAATATGTCATGGTTTTTCAGCATTGAATGAGAGCCAGAAAAGTTTCCTGATAGAACTGATCCTGGCGAGCGTCCGGCAAGCTGTGGAAGGCCACCCACCCGTGGGGAGAGGATCAGCCAAAAAGGTATGTGACCGCTGTTTTCAAAAGCAGCACTTTCAGAGTTCACAAACTTTTTATGGTAGAACCTGAATACGAAAATCATCTGGACTTGCTGTATCTTCAGACTCTTAACTTCAGGCTTAAATCTATCTATCTATATATCTACCTTGCACTCAGTATCTCTTATTAAACTGGTGCGTATTCCGGCCCAAACACACTGTAGCCACTAATGTTGCTGTGTAATGTTACTTTGCAATAAAATATAACAATATTTCTGTCTCACACTTTCTGAAGACATAGTGCTTGATGGCCACTTGTTACTGCACTATAATATTACATGTTTATGTATTTGTTAGTTTGCTTTCTGTACACAAAAAACGAAATGATCCATTATTGATAGTAGATTGCAGAGCAGGCTCCTGCGCATTATCCTTTTTAAAGACGCACCTAAGAGAGGCTCATAACAAACGGCAGCAAATTATTTTTATATGTGGATATTGAAGTTAGGGTTGAGAGATCCACACGATTTAAATGAACATGTATCACTTCTTCATGCTGTTGGTGCATGAAATGTATTGCCCTGACGAAATGTGACAAATCTATCACTCCAGGTAGTTCTCACTGGAACCTTGTTTTTTTCATTACTTACTAGCAGTGTATTCATTCTACATATTGCAAGGCAGTTCTTTTTACTTACAACCTGGTATGTGTCCAGCAACATGTGGTGGATCTGGCTATCTGAAGAACCTATGCTATGATTTACAATTACCCCATGTTGAGAAGCACTGTCTTAGCCTGTCCGTACATTCTTTATTGTGTATTAAGTATCCAAATTACATAGCTGAACAGAGAAAATTGTCTGCACAGTACACTACATATCTCAGGACTGCCCCTGTATTCTAACAGCTGTTGTAATAGTTATTCTGCTAGACAACCCACGGCTCCTTGTGTGTCTAATAATAGCTCCAAATATAGCTAATAATAGCTTTACTCGTCCTTAACTTAGTGAAGCTTTGTGTTTGTATCAGTGGGATGCTAGCAACATGCATGCACTGGACTGTTTCACAGACACATTTCTGTTCTCATCTTTTATTAATACATTTATTGTCCCAGTTGCTGCCCGGTATTGGTTAAGATTGTCAGTCTCTGTTTATGTTTTTACTGATGCTTTATATTAGGTCCTCTCTACCAAAGAGAAGCGAGTGCAGATGGAAGACAGTGTGAGGATTACTGAGCACTTTGCAGGGACTCTCCCACTGCTTCTGGCGAAGGTAACGAACAACTGACATGAACCAGTAATGTCATTCTGACACCCCCATCTTTTAGCTGCTCTTCGAACATACGTCAACTAAGATTGTGCCCATAACAGATCATAATAAGATTCATGGGAGTCTTCCTCATCTATTGGACACCCCACGTGCCATTTACGAACACATTATGTAAGAATTATCACTTTGCACTTCACCCCATGGAACAAAACCCTTGACACTACTGTAGGGAAAACACAGAATGTAACTGTCATCATTCCCCAGCACTAGGGCCCCCAGCACTCAGCACTCCATGAGATTCCTTTTCCCATGACCTACAGTGGGAGAGCATGGTAGATCTCTGACCCATAGCCTTTGATGGCTTGGTATTCTACTTATGCTCATCAATCACTGGACACTGTCATCTTATCTCTGATCCTGTTTACAGATGGAAGTGAAACATGCATGAGGGTTTTTATCCACTAAACTAGTAATTTCAAAAATAGACCAGGGAACATGTTACATGTTTTTTAATAATAATTATCAGGTCAGCTCAAAATCCCAAGAGCTGGCAACCTATCTATTGGGATATATATATATATATATATATAGAAGTTATATATATATATAGTCATGGCCATCTTCTCCTTTACACAGTTTGTGCCAGACCCGGACAAGGTGACCAACCTTTTGCAGCTCCCTCAATATTTTGATATGGATGTTTACTCTGCAGGAAACATGGACAAGGTGAGAAATTAACATAGATTGTAATCACCAGAGTCTGCTTTTTTAAATATAATTTGTGAGCTCCTCTGAAAGAATTGTCTAAGCTTAAGTCTGCGCTGGAGAATTTTAGAGAATCATTGGTAAAATATTTAGAATTTTACTTCTTTTGTCTTTAGTTTTTATATGATTTGTTCCCTACTTAATATTTTATATGTATAAATCTATATTCTCAAACAAGGTGAGAATTTTGACATATGGACTGGTGGAACGTGTATTACTGCCTAAGCCCAAAAAAATGGTGCCTTGAGCACCAAAAAGTACAATCCCTTAAACTCTTCCAACAATTATGTGACAATACCAAAGTTGTATATTTACCAATATGGATACCGCACTCTCCTGGATTCCAGGGTGCAACCGGCCTGTGGTTGGCCAATCCTCACAATATGATTTGCAAAAAAAGTAATGATGGTCTAGGAACTCAAGTTCAATCCAGTGGGCAGATTTATTGGAGCAAAATCGAAACTGTTGTGGGCCAAAACGTTGTTTTGATTTTGCTCCAATAAATCTGCCCACTGGATTGAACTTGAGTGCATGGACAATCATTACTTTTTTGCAAATACCATATATTTAAACTTATCAGGATGATTGGGACTACTCTGTATATTATAATTGCCTTGAGGTCTGAAAAGGTGCCTTGGAACATGAATTATAAATGGCGCAGTTCTCCAAAGCATTTGCAGGATGTTATAAAAAAAAAACTAAAATATTCATCTATTCTACTTGTTTAAATATTATTTTACATACTATTTCACAACATTACCAGATATTTGTACAATAATTCTATTTAAAAAAGTCTAAATCTTTCTCAAATTATTATTATAAATTAATTATAACTTGGGTGTCAACTCCACATCAAAAACTTGTTTTCAGTGACTGTGGTAATTGTTAAAGACATGTGTGGTCATTTTAATGGTGATCAGTTGTCAACGTGTTGGGAACTCAAATATGATATTAGCTGTTAATCTTTGTTATGGTAAACCCCAATAACGCATGAATGTACTATTTCTAATTGTGACAATGATTTGTAGCACCTGGAAGCCTTGCTGAAGCAGATACAAGCAATAGTGGAGAGCCACTCAGCCCCAGAGGTGCTTGAGGCCTGTTCCAAGGCCTACAGAAGCCTGAGTAAAGAAAACCTAGAGAGTCATGTCCAGGTCAATCTTTCCAAGACACAACTTATAGAACAACTTGTGGGCACTTTCAGTCAAAAGTTGGAAGATATTCTACAGGAGGTCAGTTGATTTGGTGTCTGAGAAACTGTATTGAAGAAAGATTAACATTTATTCAGCTTAACAACATCTAAAGATTACTGTATGGGACACTGACTGAGACTTAGTGCAAGGCAGACTGTAAGAGCCCTAGATCTAATGTCTGGTCCCATGTCTTCTGGTAAAACACCCATATGCTGCTATTGCTCTGTCATGCCAAATGCTTGAGGGTTATTAGTGTGCTTATACATTATCAGTCTCTGTATTTATAATTTAAAGACTTGATCATTAGTTACATAGACAATGTGAAGAATGTGTTACTGTGACACTGGAACAGCTGCTTCATTAACATAGGCTTCAGTTTTCCATATTTAGGTATAGAATAAAAATATAAAACGGAATGGAAAATATTTACACGATAATCATCTAGTGCACAAAGTGTCCTAAATGCATTTTTATCGTTGTTATTTGTTATATATTGATATATTTATTTTGCGTGTTTTAATAATTTTATTGTAAAGTCTTCAATATTAAAGGAATAAGGCTTTTGGCCTGCTTTGGCTAGTCTTCTTACAGTCGACATTATTGTTTCAGGGAGCAGAGCATTGCGCTGCGGAAGATGTCCTTTCGTTGTCTCATGTTCTGAGACGGCTGGCTGCCTTTCACAAGTGAGTTCTTTCATTTAATCCAAAATAGCTGTGCTTTTTTTACAATGCAGAGCAGCTTCTCTCCTTTCATTTAATAATCTAATACCCTCCCACATTCCCTTTAATTATTTTGTGTCAAATCCTAAGAACAATCTTCTGAAGATAAATCAAACAAATGAACTATTTTATCCTTTCCCCGATCAAAAGACAAAGTGGAATCTTGGGCTATTTTTAAAATGCGATTCATCTGTAGCATTCTCCTCTCCTCCTCCGACTATCAGTTGTTTAACATTTGCTGTAATGCGATATTGCTAATATGATTCTACTCAGATATTCTGTTAATTTTCATTCCATTCTGTTACAGTAATTATTGCGTTTGAGAACAGTACCTACAGCATTTCTTATACATAGAAACATAGAAACATAGAATGTGACGGCAGATAAGAACCATTCGGCCCATCTAGTCTGCCCAATTTTCTAAATACTTTCATTAGTCCCTGGCCTTATCTTATAGTTAGGATAGCCTTATGCCTATCCCACGCATGCTTAAACTCCTTTACTGTATTAACCTCTACCACTTCAGCTGGAAGGCTATTCCATGCATCCACTACCCTCTCAGTAAAGTAATACTTCCTGATATTATTTTTAAACCTTTGTTCCTCTAATTTAAGACTATGTCCTCTTGTTGTGGTAGTTTTTCTTCTTTTAAATATAGTCTCCTCCTTTACTGTGTTGATTCCCTTTATGTATTTAAATGTTTCTATCATATTCCCCTGTCTCGTCTTTCCTCCAAGCTATACATGTTAAGATCCTTTAACCTTTCCTGGTAAGTTTTATCCCGCAATCCATGAACCAGTTTAGTAGCCCTTCTCTGAACCCTCTCTAAGGTATCACTATGCTTCTGAAGATACGGTCTCCAGTACTGTGTACAATACTCCAAGTGAGGTCTCACCAGTGTTCTGTACAATGGCATGAGCACTTCCCTCTTTCTATTGCTAATAACTCTCCCTATACAACCAAGCATTCTGCTAGCATTTCCTGCTGCTCTACACAAGTATCTACACAAGCGCTATACAAGTAAGAGTTATGACAAATATGGAGAAGAGCCATATTGCTTGAGCTGTATTGGCAACAGATCTCATTTTTTGTTTCCCAGTGAAGGTTTCTTGTGTTCCCTTTTTGCAAGAAATAAACCAAATATATATATTTTTTGCTATAACATTCCTTGAAGTATTAGAAACACTTGCATAATTGCCCATCATAATCTTACTGAGAATGCTATTTATAGCTAGTCTTCTAGAACGGTTCCAACTATCTTTATTTAGATTAAATTACTTTTATATGAGAATGCACAACCTCTGCTTTTAAAAAAAAATAAAAAATGACAATTTCACATTCTCTCTGTTTGGCACACAGCGCACATAACTTAACCCAGTGGGATCTTTATCAGAAGACAGCACAGCTCGTTTCCTTTGACATAGACCAAAGCTGCCTACCTGTGCAGGTATGGTTTAATTAGCTGCATAAATAAGACAGTACTTTTATACTTCGATGAAATCACAAAGAGACCTGGTACATTTACGTTTACCAACTTTATTAGTGCTTCCAATGTTTAAATGATGTATTATATTAATTATAAGATGTATGATTGCAACTTAAAGGGTGGAAGACTAAGAGGGAAATGCTGGTTTACTGAAAGAGTAGTAGATCCCGTATTGGCCTTACAGTGAAAGTAGTAAAGGCTAACATGTTTACAGGAAAACTCCCACCTTTGTAATAACTTAGGTTGTTTAAGTTATTGTGGGGTCAGGAGGGTCCATGCACTTTTCTACCTGGTTTAACTCTGACGATGGAGCTCTGGGGGGCATAACCTGATGATTAACAATCTTATGTGTGCACATGGAAAGAAACAGCAAGCATGTAGGGATAATGAATTCAAGAATGCTTGTATTAATAAGTGTATCCTTAAGAACTAATCAGTAACATTATCCTATTACTTAAAAATAGCTGTATCAATGTATGAAGTATTCATTAGGGGAGCCAGCGGCACACAGGGTGATTGCATGCCTGGTTTAGTTGTAGTAGCCCAGGGGTAGGCAGTCTCTGGCACTACAGATGTTGAGGACTACATCTTCCCTGATGTTTTGCTAGCATTATGGCTGTAAGAAGCATTATGGGTGATGTGATCCACAGCATCTGGAGTGCCGAATGTTGCCTACGCCTGTAGTAGACCTTCCCATACCTCACGCCATATAACAGGCTCTTCTGTTTGTGCAGCTCATTCTTCCTGCTATCCAATGCTGTTATTATGCTCTCCTTTGGAAAGTGTTGCCTGTCATGGAAGATTCCTGTCCAAAGGTGCGTCTGTTATTTTGTATATTTCTGTAGTGACTGGGTAATATTTGCAAATGAAGATTTATAATTCATGCCCTCATGATTTCAGTAGGACAGCCACACTAGGCAGATTAACCCTGCAAGGAAAATATTCCCATTACTGCAGAATGGCAATGTTTCCAGCTGAAGGGTTAAAACAGGGAAGAGGGGACATAGCACTCAGACCACTTCATTGATCAGTGCAACTTCATGTTTATACAAGATGACCATGTTTCAAAAAGGTTATAATGCTCCATATATAACATGTAGCTTCAGTCTAGAGGGACAGAATTTCATTAAATAAGGATTGTTGAGAAAGAATGGGCAGTGACACCTAAAGAGGCAAAATCCCTTCATCCAGCTCCCTTGTTTCCAGGAGGTGCTTGTTTCACTGAAGACACAAGTGACACACTTTTGCCAGTTCTGTAGACATTACCTGAATCACCAGGATCAGTCTTTGAGAGAACAGGTGAGTGTTAGAGTGTTCATCTCATTTATCTAAACCACATTTTGTTGTATATTTTATTTGTCCTCCATCTAATATATTTTTATGGACAATAGCTGTAAGCCTGGTTATATTGGGTGGATTTTTAGAGTTCATGTTTGTATTGGCTTGTAGTGAATAGGGTGTCAGAATGTGTGTGTACTAAGTGTTAAGACACTCACCGCCAGGTAGATGAAGCCGCCGTTTAGTGAATAATCCCCTTTCTCCAGAAATGCAGTTTATATCCAGCCGACCGCCAAACTCCCGAACGAAGTTCACGAACACGGCAACTCCCGATCAGCAAAACAGTCGAACGCCTTCCACAGCTAAAAATAACGAAAGCGCTGTCCCAGTAGTAATTCCCCCCACAAACGAGACCAAGCTCCGTCTTGAGGGTCAAATAAGGTTCTGTTTAATGGGGGCTACCTGCCCCGTATTTATGCAGGTCTCCACAAGGTCCCGAGGGGACCTTGTGGAAGACTGTAAAACATATTGTACAGTAGCCAATCGCAATGGCTTCAATATAAGCCCTTCCCATGTTACCCATAAATCCGTCTTCTCTACCGCGGAGATAATTGGGAAGAAACCTAATTATATCCTAGGATAGAGACCATCGCCATTTTAAAATACAGTAATAAAAATACATTAAAATACATAACTTAGAAAATACCGAATGAATATAGTTCGTATAACGTATCCCCAGACAGCCTGGATCTGAGTGCATATTTCCACCGAATAGCGCTCAGATCCGATGTATCTAGTCGAATCGCCATGGAGTCAAAGTCTTTCACCAGTCCTTCGGTATACGAATGACTCCATGGGACGGCTATCTGGGTAAAGGTCCATACGACTGCATAAAACTCCCGAACAGACCGGCGTTCGTATGCCTCGCCGAAATAGAAGGGGGGCATCAGCTTCCAGCAGTGTTCGGTAGATTAAAGTGTCCGTTTTTAGTTCCATAGAATTTGTACCGAACACTTTCTCGTGTCTCAAAATGGCCGCTGCCTCGTGGTCGACATGCGAACGATGACCACCCGTACGAATGGAATGGAGAGGTGTCTGCGGTTAACCACAACGTTCTAATTGGGGCCAAGAGGTTAACCAGCAGCACACTCCTCTCCTGGGTGGTCGTTCGTTCGGTAGTTTCAATCGGCATTTTGTAATTTCACGAACAGGGGCATACGAACAGGGAATCCAGCGAAATAAAGGGGAAACAGATGAACCAGCAATATAGGTGAATCTGTCACACTAAGTAATTACTATCTGTTTTATTTAGGCATTCATGTCACTATGTGACCTACTCCTGTTTCTAAGGCAAAGAGGTGGAGGGGTGTCTTCCTATGCCGACTCTACGATGCAATTAGAGCTTCTCTCATTTGTCCAAAGACATGTATTCCAGATTGATGAAAGGAACACCAAACGTGCGTATGTTTACTAGAGTCAAAAAAATCAAATTTTGGATTACAGTAATGTATGGTATAGTGATTTGCTCCTGAGCCAAATGAACACAGGCTAGACCCAATGACAAGATGGTTATTTTCACCTATTTTAGCCTTCCACTGGCTTTTGTCTGGAGCTCTAAGGGTAAAGCTGATGGGCTCAGAAGTATAAACAGGGAAGCTGAGGGAGAATCTTAACCCAGATAAGAAGAATGAGCAGTCTGTGCTCACTGTTCAGTATTTGTTGTTATTATACAGTACAAATCCCCAACTTACTGTAATTAAAAGGAATACATTCATAACATGGAACTCACTGTTAATGGAACATATATTATTAGATTTATGTGTGTAGAACATCTGCAGGCCCGTACTTTATTTTTATATTGTAGATGTGGTTCTGATCAAGACTGCTAGTTCCCAAACATTTACAGTTCAGTTAACGTTCTCAGACCGCCATCTTAGTTCTTATTTCATCATGCAAATCCTCATTTGTCGCCATCTATGAATGCTACTCTTTCCTATCCATCACTCTCAGTATGCCAGTATTGATGAGGAACATGTCTCATGTTCCTCTTTTTTCCACTCTGACAATGACACCCTATTATTTTTTTCTACCAGAATGCTCACAATTCCAGATATCATCCTATATTGAGGATGTGAAAGCTGGCTATGTACATAGAGGAATTCTGGGACAAATTGGAATAATCTACAGGAAAATTCTATTAATTTCCATAGTGATTGCTCCATTTCTAGAACATTGCGCTAGAACTGCAATTGATAAATAACCACTTCTTTAAAATACATTTTTGTTTTAAGCAACCTTGGCTTTCCATAGTTCAAGTAATGAGTGGTTGCCCCTTCTCATAAAGTTGCCTTGTAATATCGATATAATTTCTTTAAATTACTTTTTATATAACTTTTTTTTTGATAGCCTGGTGAATTGAATCAAAACGTCAGGTCCTGGCCAGGGCCAGATTTTCAATTAGGCAGAGTAGGCACCTGCCTACAGGGAGATATTGATTTACAGCACTTATAATGTGCCTTCTTGAAACCAACGTGTGTGTGGGTGGGGAGGTAAGTACCAGGACCCTTGGTCAGTGTCCTCTGTAGACCAGGCAACCTAATGCTTAATAGCAGAGCTACAGTAACAGGTCTCGAGGGAGTTAAACTCAGTGTTGTCCCAGCTTCTCTAGTGTGAGGCTGGTCAGGAAGTAGAAAGGATCACTTTCCATCTATCCACTAATACCTCTCACACCAGAAGTTCCTTGCAGGAGGAGCAGGGACTGCATTGAGTGATACACACTGTATTACAACTCCTGCTGCTTAATTATCAATCATAGGAGAATGTCGGGACTGCCAAAAACATAGGAGAGTGACTACTTTTCAAACTCCAAATGCCATAAACACCTCTTTTTTCTTACCCTAAATGTAACCCTTCTCAAATCTAAATAAACCCTTTCCTTAGTCCAACATTTAAGCACACAAAGCCTAATCCAAAAAAAATTATAATTTGCCTTACTCCTAGGTTCATCTCATATTAAACACGAACCACATGTACCCTAATACTAAATGTAACCCAACTCTTACCCTGAACTGAATCATTCTAACACACAATACATTACAAGCGGAAATACACACACACGCACACCCACACTCACACACAGTTACCATATATCATTTTTAGAGGTTTCTAATAATAAATTAATTAAAGCCACCTTAACTGATGTTTATTTTTTGGGAGGTCAGGGGGGTGCCTTAGAATGCTTTGCCTGCAATCACCTGACATGTAAATCCAACCTTGGTCCTGGCACCATATCATTGCATCATACCGAAACCCAAGAAAATGCAAATCATGATTTTGCAGTATTCCTGTTATTTATTTCCTGATCATTTCTTGTGTTAAGCCTCTATTAGCAGTATAGGTCAGCGGTCCATCAGTCTAGTGACTTTAAAACCCATTGTGTTTGCATATACATTTACATTAGTGGATCTGAATTTGCAGGCAGATAGTGGTCAGTTCTAATACAATCTGATGCAAAAATCTGTTTCTCACCACATAACTAACTAACTCCTATGGAGAAATGGTTAAATCCTTACAAGGGTACGTTATACACCAATAATTAAAGGGACACTATAGTCACCATAACTACTACAGCTTAATGAAGTGGTTTCTATAGCCTGTCCCTGCAGGCTGAGCAATGAAAGCAGTGGTTACATTGGTGCCTAGTATCACCTCTAATGGCACAGTGTGCAGGACCTGCATTCAGTGTACATGGAGACACCGATCGCTCACCATAGAGTTGCATTAATTTAATGCATCTCAAAGAGAAGATGTCGATTGGTGCATTTTGCTGCAAATGCATAATAGTCTCCCAATCCTTTCCTGTGGGAGAGCATTGCATTGGGTGAGATCATAAAGATTGATGATCTCAGCCATTGAGGACCAGCTACTGTAATGGAGTAAATCTACCTTTTATCTCCAGTCTGAGGGGGACAAGGGACCTAGACATGTTGTCCAGCACTACAGTCTTATGAATAAATGTTTGTATTCCTAACACTGTAGTGTTCCTTTAAAACATATGTTATATGAATATTTTATGAGTATTATGTACAAATTAATGTGTGTGTGTGTGTGTATATATACACCCAAACATAGCCTACTTCTTTAGGTTTGCCTTTGAGGGATTGCCTTTTATCCCTTAAGGACACAACTTCAGAAATAAAAGGGAACCATGACGGAATATTTTCGTCATGTGTCCTTAAGGGGTTAACTGATTGATCAGTTACTACAGATACAGATTAAGTATATTTATTGTAGTTATAATGTATGTTGGATTAGAACTAAACTTGTATTTTATTCCACTTTGTATCTCCTGACTGCAGTGAAGACTGAGAGGGATGACGAGTTGATCCTGAGTAGTTTGCATAGAAGGAGAAGTTTACTCGCTGTTTACTGCAAACTAATAGCATTTAATGCAGTGGAAATGTCTGCGGCTTCAGAAATTTATAAACAGTACATGAAGGTAAAATGGAGAACCTTCCTCCAGATAAACGAAAACAGACCTTGTGTATTGTGTAGTATTTAGCTGCATCAATTAAACCAGCCTTCATACTGATGCTACATTCTTTTAGATTGGTCATTGCAAGACTGCTCTGTTTACTCTGAGGCTATAGAAACAACATTTATTAAAATAACTGTACACACTTATTAGTTCTAGTATTGCAAGTCAGGCTTTAATTAATTTTGTTTATTCTCCCCCTATAGACCTATAATGATTTTGGAGATATTATTAAGGAAACATTAAGTAGAACAAGACAGAACAACAGAATAGAAAGTGCAATAACACTGGTCCTCTGTCTGCAACAGGTAAGGGACTGTTAGCTATGTGCCACGATGGAGGAAAACATGCGCATATGGTGAATTACTCAGGATTATTTTGAGCATGAGCAATGGGTAACTCGCCCTTTAGAAGTGCAAAGAGTGTATAGGGGCCAACGTACTCATCCCTAGACCCAAGAGCCATAGGTGTTTCTTGATGGTTTTAACTGCATTGTGTGTTAAGGATTTAAGTTTGCGTTTAAGTAGGCGATGTAAGTCATTTATATAACTAAGCATACACATGTTTAATTTTTCTATTTTTTTTTTGTGTGTGCCTGGGAACTTTAAAGTTTTACCATTTGTTCACGTGCTGACAGAAAGAAGAGGGTATATCAGGTTCTTCTGAGGGTTCTTAACCCCTTAAGGACACATGATGGAAATATTCCATCATGATTCCCTTTTATTCCAGAAGTTGTGCCCTTAAGGGGTTAAAGAAGTTGGGTAAACAATTGTCCGACCCCAGAATTTCACTAGGTGTAATAATCTCTCCCCGCTGCCCTTCAGCTTCTGTTAAACTATAAGTCCCATCACTCCCATGCCAGTGTGATCAGGGGTTGGAGGGATCATTTTTGGCTGCTAATGTGATATAATAAAGTGTAACAATACAATGGTTTTATTGAAACGTGACTGCTTTGCTTTGTTTTTATTTGGCTTACTGCCATGTGTTTGCAGCTGTATCAGAAGCACAGAGAACTCCACGGCAGTACCACCCAGAACTCATTGTCATTCACTAACATAAAGGAGCTGGCGCGACGCTTTTCTCTAACCTTTGGCATGGATCATGTGAAATGCAGGGAATCTGTAGCTATGATGCACAAGTATGTGGCCTGAACTCTTTTTCTTATAATACTGTATATCAAATCACATCAAATCAATACAGAATATTAACTGGCAGGAATAGTCTATTTACTGGTGAGTGCAGCCCAAATAAAATCCACTCATACTTGATGGTACTTGTAGTACTCAGCAAATTCTTTATTCAGCAAGCAGTTGTCGATTTTTTTTTTTTTTTTACAATTTGGCACATGTATAGGCCTTCATTTAATTTTTGGAATTAACTTTTTAAATGTAATATTTTTGGATAAACTTTTAAATATTTTAGCTATTTAAAATAAATATTAATATATCAAAACTTTTTTTTCTAAACATTAAATCATTTATCCAAGTTTATCCAAAAATATTTAATCATTTAAAAATATTATCCAAAACAATTAAATTGAGGGCATAGTCCTTATTGACTTTAAGGGTTTCATGGCTCAGGGTTTCAGACCAGTTAATAAATGCTAAAACCAATGACTCATCCAAGTTTGTATCTTATGCAAGAGTTGTGACTTTGGTGGGCGTTGAGCTGGAAAACATCATATTGGTTGCCTTGTGTCCACCAGAATCTAAACCACTCATTATATGGGTTATGAAAATCCCACACTATCATGATCGTCAATGCATATCATCTGCCATGAGAGGGTTAAGCCATAAAAATGAAAGTATATTGCAAATAAAAAGAACTGATGATTTCAGGGCTTTATAAAATGAGTCCTCTAAATCTGAAATTGATATTTTAAGCATCCACTGGTAATACAATGAATTGGATAATGTTTATGTGTTAACTGGGATATCACATTAATAAGAAAAAATATTGCATATTATTAGTAAAGCCTAATATTAAGGTTTCAGTGAGCTTTATGGCTGAATTTAATAAAAACGCTTGCAACATTGATAATGTTTCTGGAGATCAGTAAATAAGATAATAAATTAAAGAATAGGGCATTAGTAAAAACAATCTTATGCATAAAGTAGAATCTGGACTTTAAACTATGTTTTAAACTATATAAAAATGCCTTGTAAGAAGTATGTTTAAAAATGAAAATAGTGCCCCTCTGCTGCCTGGATTTCTACCAAGCACAACAAAAGTTCAGAAAAGGACAAGTCACAGGGTTGTTTGAATCATTCTGATTTGTGATGTAGAAATTATTCTTAAATTGTGGCTAACCAAATGGTCTATAAATCATCAAACAACTGTACACACACACAATTGCATTGTGTAGATTAATTAAACAGTAAGTAAAGCTTCGTACTGAAGACCATACTGTCTGCCTGATGATGTATAGCATGGGTACCCCCAGCTTTTGCATTACCACAGCTTCAGTGATGTTTTAATCAGCCTTCAAGCTCGCAAGGCATCATGGTATTTGTAGTTCTCTAAAACGTGGTGGGCTATAAGTTAGCCATCCCTGATATAAAGCTTAGATTAATCAGGTACAGGTTTGAAATCTGCCAAAGTTGTCTCTGTTTACCAACCAATAAAATAATTAGAATCTTACCTGTGGGGTTAAATCCAGGATTTTGGAGAAGGTCTTTCATATCCAGTGTATATCTGCTTCATTAACACATATGTGGCATGGTTTCATCTTGTACATGTTTCGTTCGAAACTGTTCCGTAGTGATAAAATGTGCGGCAGCACTGCGCAGCTTACACCCGTTCCTTATGGAATCAGGATGTAAGATTATACACGTGTAAACAATCTGTATTCCCTCTGCATTTCATCATCTTGGGGTTAAAGACAATATTGGTAAACATAATTACCTCCAAGGAGCTGCACATGGAGTGTCAATTAATCCACTATTAGATATATGATTTTGCTAAGCGTTATGCATGCTTTATGCATAGAAAACTGACCAAAGATAATATTGCAGAGTCACAACCTTTTTAAGCTATTTCAAGTCATGACCAAGAAAACCAGTTTACTCGTTATATTCCGGCCCCCTTAAGAATATAGCCTTGTGTTGCATCGTTTCTGGTTAATATTACTAATTGGCCTCCTGGAGATTGATGTATGTATAGTTGATCATTCTCTAATTGGAAGTGTAATGTTAATCTTACTGTGTATTAGATAGCTCAGAGAAAAAAAATGAAGTTGAAACATGGAAATGATACAAAAGTAATGACTTAATTTCTTATAAAATCATGTCATATTTTCGCAACTTTATTAGTCTTGAATATGTAGCAGCATTATTACCATAATAAGATGAAAGCTAGACAACTGTATTTGTTTTCTAGCAGATTATAATAATTACATTTTAAAGATATATATAAACTGTTTTACCTTTTACACACACACAGCATTCACTACACATACACCCCCCAACACACACTAGATTTTGTAAACATCCACATTAGGTCCTCTACAAACACACACTGCATCTCTAAGTGTCTGCGAGATGGTGGTGAAATGAGTGGCGGGGCCTGAAGGGGAACTCCGGATGGATTCCATGAGCCCAGGCCTTGAACTGTTTAAGGGCCCCAAAACGTCTGATGGCAGCCCCGTTTGGCATATAAACATTGTGAAGTGTGAGTGGAGTGAGATTTTAAGAGATGCAGAGGGATAAAATGAACCTTTGGCAGAAAATTTGTTTTTTCATTGTGAGCAAACGTTTTGGTCTAAAGTGGAATGTCAGTAGGACTTTATGGACTAAATTGAATTTTGCATTCATTAAATCTAACCCATGTTTACACATTACATGGAAGGATAAAAGGACATGCTAGGGTGCAGGTGACTGCTCGTTGTTTTTTTTTGTTTTTTTTGTCAATCTTTATTTGAGGCAAAAAGGTATAGGGTACAGAATAAAGAATAGAAAGTGTTAAACAGGGGGTGTAAAGCATGCACAATGAACATATATTGTTATTGGAAACTCCAGCTTAAAACTGCCTACACCCTTTTATATTATTTTATTCTTTCTTTGACATAACTTTTTCCCTCCCCCCCCTTTCTGTAAATTATTTATTACTTTGACTGCTCATTTTCATTGCAATATGAAAATATGTATAGAGGAATGCAAATATGTTAGTTACCTCTGAATTGTCCTTGAATATTGAAAATATGATGCTTTTCCAGGAACAAGGCACTGGCTAAGATTTATCACCAAATCTTAGTACCCTACTAAGCTTTTTCAAGAGTGGTTTGCATGGTAAAACTTTTGTAAAAGGCTTTTGTGAGCAGACACATGTATGGTAATAAATGCGTATAGCCATGCTTGTGAACCAGAGCAACATGCAGACTGCAATCACCACTGATGGTCACTGATGTCAATGGACAGGTGCATGACTGTTCTATGCATGTTTGCATGCCTCCTTTCATTCCTTTATAAGAATCACATCCAGTGCATGCAATGAATAGGAGATAAAACCTCCCCTGAAGGAGCATTAGACAGAGTTTAGGGAATTTATAGCAGGAGAGTCACCTGTGTAAGTTGTATCTTTGTGCTGGACTGCCCACTGTATCAGTAGGTTGCATTACATGAGCAATGTGCTATGAATTTGTAATTCTTCCTGTAAATGATTGCAATAGAATGGAGAAACTATAAAATCCAACAAAGGGATTTACAGGGACAGTCCACTGCCCAAATACAAAAATAAACAAATGAAAAAGCTGTTACTATTTAGTAGATATGAAAACATGCATGCATTTCATTTTAAATTTTTTCATTTGACGTAAAAAAAAAAAAACAACCCGCAAAAACTGCAGTTCTCATGTCTGAAGCCTGTGCAAGCCCTCTTGTAACCACGCCCGGACTTTCTGTGGCTGTCCAATCACAGACTTCCCGCTGCAGCTCAATGAGAAGTCTTTGCAAGGCAGTTGCTCTGGGTAATTGCTGCCTCTTGAGTTTTGCTCCACTGAGCTAACCAAACCAGGAAGTAACCGGAACGGTTGTCTAAATGCCAGATGGGTGTAACAAGGTTAATTTATAAAAGAGCCAATTTCTTCTGATATTTGCATTTTTTTTGTAAAATGAAACAAAGAGATTACACTCTTCACACATAAAGCATTTCAGCACGCTAAAGTAATTTAGGGGTCTGGAGTGTCCCTTTAACTGAGAATAAACTTCTCCCAGCCTTACTAGTTTTGCCTAACGTTTTCTGCTTAATTGTTAACTCATTGTTTAGTGTATTTACATATGTATAACAAGTTGACCCATATTGCTATTAACACGTTATAGAAGGAGAAAATATAGCCCACTACCCGTATTGTATTCCAAGTTATTGTAATGTATTCCTCATTCACAGACAAGGGATTGAGTTTGCTTTCCGAGAGCCTGCAGTAGAAGAAGGCCAACCACCGCCCAACTTGCCGTTTTTAATTCTCATCAGTGAGTTCTCCAGTAAACTTTTGAAAGCTGACAAGAGACTTGTGTAAGTCATCATTTCATAATTTTTTTTTTAAAAAGTAATTGGATCTGTTATTCATTAAAAATCCTCCTATTTCAATTATTTTTACCACAATGCTATAGCAGTAATAACTAATTCGTACTATGCTGGATACCGCTTGGATTGCTTTATAAAAATTTAAATACATATTGTAGTGTTCAACCTCATAGTTTAATACATAATATTAAACTGGATGCAAGTATCTGTTTGTTGGCTATTTTGCAAAACGTGTAATTAAATTTGCTAGAAGAGAGGAAGACATCAGATTCTGTTAAAAATGTGGCTGGTCCAACAAATATTTAATTCCCTAATTCACCCTCATGTGGTTTCCACTGTATCCCCTGCGGTATCTGTTGCCCCTTTTGTGGCTCCCTTGTTCCACCTTTCGTCTCCTCATTTCACATTGTGCTCCAAATTACCTTTTTCCTTGTTCCCTCTTGTGGACAACATCTACTTTTTTGTGTCCTCTGGTTCCAGTTGATTCCGGTCTTGACATTACCTGTCCTTGTTTCTATGTGTCTGTTTTGAATCTACAAAAACGTTGTTCATATGTAACAACAAAATGACATATTTCATGACTATTTTACTAAAGACAGTCCTAAAATGTGTTAGTGGGGCCCTTTAAGGTAGGGCTGCCATCTGGTATTTTGCAGGCACGGCCTGTGTTTAAGGGTGTCTGGACCGTGCAGGTATTGCAAAAATACTGGCAATGTAAAGGCCTGTATTTTTCTCTGACTGGGAGAGTTTTGAGCCAGAATATTATACACGACAGGCACACATGTTGCTATATACACCCAATAACACTCACTCACTGAAATACATTTCAATCCATATTGTCCCAAATTGACCCAAAACGTCTTTCATGTACCTCAACATGTACCGCCCCTCTGTCTACACCAGGCCACAGTAGTGCTGTTGCAGGCATTAAGTCCATCAACAGAAGGTGCTATAATTCTTTTCATTGATATGTTGGGCTGAAGTAGAATAGAGCTCAATCTTCAGATTGTTGTTTTACCTTTTCTTAGCATTGCAGCTTCATCTTACACGTACATGATAGTGAAGTTCTTTGGTTCATGCATTTTGGAGAAGTTTTCTGTGTAGGATTGGTGTAGCACAGTATAATGGAGAATGGTGTTTGGGGACCCTCTTCTTGGACAAAAAGTCACATTCTGCTTACTGTGTATGCAGAGAATAGCTGGATAACTGTGTTTATATTCAAATAGTGTCAGGCAAAACCCGTTTTAAATAGTTGTTAGAGGAAATTCATTTTTCAAACGCCAATTAAAAATAGACCACTTATCTCACAATGGAACATCATTTCCAACAAATTTACATGATTGAGTGTGCTAGCACTGTTCTTCCCTTTAGCCAGAATACAGTATGGTAACTATTCTTCTTTTGGGCCAACAGCGTAAAAGAATGGGTTTTTAATCTATACTACTATGTAACAGGTAATCTGTGATGTTGGGCTTATCCATCCTTTAGATCTGGATACCTGCAAAGATTTGCAAATGAGCAGATGCTACTTTACAGAGGAGCAGAATGGCACCCGCTAGTTGTGTATAATAATTCCTTACAGGATACTCTGGATGAAGATAGTTCTTATAATGGAAGTTCCGTTTCACAAGACATTGCGTCTTCCAGCATATCCCCGTATCTGAAGAGAAAGCCATCCCATGGTAAGCATCACATATTCCATCTCATGTGTACAGTACCAAAATCACATTTTGAAACAGAAGATTAATTGACACGTGCCTGCCGGACATACTTCTGGGTGTCCATGTGTTTCCTGAATTGTGAATTTTTTTTTTCTGTACCTGTATGGACCCATGATTAGCTCCAAGTTTTATCACCAAGATGTGCAAGATGTTTTCATCAAATATCTCTGTTATCAATATAAACATAAGATACTAGGTGCTGTCTGAGTTCTAATAAAATTCCGGTGCTCTTAGAGTTTATCAAGTCTGATATCAAAAGAAGGTTGGCAAAAGAGGTTAACTTTTCTGTGTTTTCTTCACATTTTTTTTTTAAAATTCTTTATTTTTGTAGTGCATGATAGTTACCATGCGTACAGCGACATTTTTAAAAGTAAAAAGAAGTACAATGTGGTGGAAACAGGTTTGTTATAAAATGTCAAATATGCAGCACTATTTTTGTTTTTGAAACACGAAAACATCAATGCATAGAGCGTGCCAGTTAGATAAGAATTAGATCAGGACATATGCAGTGGATGTGTAGACAGGCATTAGTGTTTTTGCCCAGGCTAGTTAAACGTAGGTTATTAGTCACCCCACCTATCTACGAGGACATAAGAGTATAAGCTAAGAATATTAGTAGTGGTGGTCAGACTACACTGGTATTGGAAGTGGTGGTCAGACTACACTGGTATTGGAAGGCTTAAATGCATATATAGTATTAAGACAACTGCAGTAGAACCACATCCCCGTTGTCTTATTCCCCCAAGCTAACCACCCGTGAGGCCACTGAAATAGGTGAGATAGGTGCCTAACAATTCGCTGTGTGTGCTTGCAGCTGACAAGTATATCAGTAATAAAATTAGAGGTATTAACAGAAGCAGAGTATAAGAGCAAAAGAACAAAATAGTATTGAACTGTTGGCTGTTCAGTGACTCAGCAGAGAACATGTTAAGGAGCTGCCCCTTAGTAGTACAAGTCTCTGTTCAGCCGACTCCCTCCTGGGGCAAGCAAATGTCCCGCAGTGCGACACTGGTGAAAATAATGTATTACTGAAACTAACTAGGAAAATCTGACGTTTAGCCCACTCCTGTCATAGGATGGATACTGTCCCGGTTAAGAGAGGTGTTCCAGTCCCGTGCCTTGGTGCTCCACCAGCCACGGGCCATGACAATGCCCCTATCACCAGTCCCATTAATCCCATTTGGGGCTATGATCTGACCTCGACGCCTTGTAAGGGGTTGTTTGTAGTCGCGGGTAATGTTGGTCTTCCGAGATAGTGATTTGCGTCTAGGTGATTTTCCTGGTTGCTGGACTTTGCCGGGCAGATTCTTCGGCTCGGGGTTTGTTTGCGCAGCATCCGCTTCTTCTTTGGTGACATTGCTGTGCCATAGCGTCGCCCAGGAGTCGCAGGCTGCCCAGTTGTAAGCGGCAAGTTTGGCTCTGGCTGGGCTCCAGCAGGCTTGTGCCGGCGTGCGGCTAGTGTGGACCAGAAGTTTGCGAGCAGGGCATTTAGCTTCTCCTGCAGAGTCAGTTGTTTAGGTCGAGGAGATGAGTCATGGCAGGTGGGTAGTCCCAAGTGTGTAGTAGTGGGAGCTTCATCGGTGTGCCTCTGTTGAAAGTTGCCGGGATAACCCCCACCGTCTGGGGGATGGAGGGGGGGGTGGGGGGATAGGTTGCAGGCTAGTCCTACCGGTTGAGTGCTTGATAGCAGGCTGAAGGATCGACCGCCTCCCTCTTGTGCGCTGCTAGTAGGCCCCTTGTAGGCCTCAAAGTCCTCTCCGGGGTTACCTGCCAATCCTGGTCAGAAACACCACTGGTTTACGAGCTGGGGATGTCTCCTGACCCCGTGGTGTCAAGGGATGTAAGGGTTGAGTCGTAGATTTGCATTTATCCCTTATTTAGGAGCCAGATTGCACGGAGCTCTCATTGTGTGCGACCGTTCAACGCGGCTGAAGGCTCCACCCCTTAACATTCTTTTTTAAAGAACACTGTGGATTATTAAATAAAGTTTCACTTTTAACCTACTTATGGACAAATAGAATCAAGCCTGTAAGCAGAACAGGGAACAGGAAGCTCCTTCCTCTATGATGACTATTACTCAAGTTATATATTTTTCTCACAGTACAATTGGAATATACTCATTTGGTTTTGCTCACTCCAGGAGTTGGTCTAGAGGAGGAATATTCATCTGAACATATGAACAGTCATCGCCCTGTCAAAAGCAGGAAAAGGCTGATATTTGAGGAGCAAGCTTCACGAGATAGTATTTCTCTACAGAGGTAAAAAGCAGTGAAGTGTAATAATGTTTTGACATTGAAATAATTTATTTTAAGTCAGTTTGCCAAATTTTCAGTGTAAAGATAATGCATACCTACCAACTCTCTCTCTTTAGGAGGGATTGTCCCTATATTGGGCCCAAATCCCTCTGTCCCTTATTTCTATCCCAATGTCCCACTTTCTTTTAGTAACCTCATATTGTTGGTGTTTCTGAGTGTATAACAGCACCACAGTAATAATACTCACAGTATTGTGTATGTATGCAACAATAAATATGTTAAGATATATTGTTCTTTTTCTAAATTACATTTTAGTTGCAAACATTATTAAAGTCACTTAAAATTTCTCAGCCCCACTCACACCCCTAAATAAAGAGTACCTCTTTGTTTGTTTTAAATGTTGGGAGGTTTAGTAATGTCACTAGGAAAGGGACTACCTGAATGCACAATGCCAAAAGATATATTTTACCAAGTTCGTGTGCTTTATTCATTTAAACAATCAAAATCCTACAGCATTAAAAAAAGGTTAAAAAAGTAGACGTTTTGAGTAGTTGTGGATTTATACACCTCGCTGGAACTCACCGATCTTTTGAGAGTCCAGACACATAGAATAAATTGGGTGTAATAATCCTTCAGTTTAGAGCATGTGTATATATAGGCAACTAAAGTGCAAAAATAAGATGGATAAATGCATATAGGAGATAAAAAGAAAAATCATATCATGGTATAGTATTTATTAACAAACATAATAGTGCTATAAAAAGTTAAAATCACACTCCCAAAGAAAGTGGCTCTGGATAAAGTCTGGTAGGACAAAACGTGTTGAGCTTGGAACTAGCATTATATATCCCAGAAGCCCTCGGTCAGCCCCCTACCTCGATCAATATATCATCATTTGAACTCTTCTATAGAACATTGGAGATCCATGGAGGTGGGACTGCATGTCAATTGTGAGGTATTCAAGACTGTATCTGGGACTTAGCCCCTCGAGTGGCTTACATGCTGTTTTGCACAATGTAGGAATACTTCTAATTGTGCCACTTTCTTTGTGAGTGTGATTTTAACTTTTTATAGCACTATTATGTTTGTTAATAAATACTACACCATGATATGATTTTTCTTTTTATCTCCTATATGCATGTATCCATCTCCTGAGTGGTAAATATATCTACACCTTTGTTATTGTGGCGCTCTATTTTATATATAGATCATTTCTGACTCTATATATTTTTGCACTTTGGATTGAGGGATTTGGGGAGTGATCCCTATATAGAGGCTGGCCTGCATCTTTTTGCCCATCTTTCATACACCTGTTCCTTGTTTTATATAGGCAACTAAGCATTGAAGAGGTAACTGGTCCTATTGTCAAAGCTGTACAGACTCTTCTGTACACAGCAGTTTGCGAAAAGCTACTCACAAATACTAATATACTTATAATCATGCCTCTTTTTATGTTTGTGAATCACATACATGAAAATGGCCACATCAATGGTTGTTGTGTTGGTGAAAGAGTACAATGGCAACTATTCATGAAAAACACTGGTATTATTTACACGGAGGATGTGCTCATTCTGATTATAATTATACATGCCCTGACAGCTACACACACTCTAAAAAAGACTTTCCAAATGCAAGAGGTCCACAGGGAGGACAGAAGGCACTGAACACAGAAAAGTAAATGGGCATTAGACAGAAAGCAGGGGGTTGAAGAGAATGTGACAGCTGACACCATATGAGAAGAGAAATCATGGAGACATTTCAGTGTGTGATCCACAAGGACAGCAAAGGGTCAGAACAGCCGGCATATGTTTAGTCAAGAAAGTAGGACTGACAGATGCATGCTAATGGTTTGTGTGGGGGTTGTTTTTATTACTACTGTGTCACTGGATAATTTTTAAGAAAATCAAGTGCCTTTGGAAGGAACATAAGGGCAACAGTTTGAAAACAAAAGCCATATAGCTATCAACAGTACAATTGGAGCATACAGGGGATTCAAATGACTTTCCCATGATGCACAGCCAAATTCTGGATTAGTAAAATGGATGTAGTAGACTACAAACAATTGATAACAATTTATAACAATCTCTTTGACTCCGACCTCTCTTTCACCCCTCATGTCCAATCAATCGCCAAATCCTGTGGCTTCCATCTCAAAAATATTGTGGCATCCGACCCTATTTAACACTTGATACGGCAAAGTCCATGCTTGTCCATGCCACTGTCCTCTCTCACCTTTACTACTGTAATCCACTTCTCAGTGGTCTTACGTGTTCCCAACTTGACCCGTTACAGTGTATAATAAATGTGGCGGCGAGGCTCATCTTCCCGCACCTTTGTCAGTCCCTACATTGGCTTCCCGTAAGATATAGGACTCAATTTAAGATCCTGATACCTGCTTACAAATCTCACAATGCTACTCTGACCTACTTATCCTCACTATTACACAAATATGTCCCGTCTAGGCCCCTACGCTCTGCCGGAAACCTACGTTAACCTCGTACTCCTACCTCTGGTATTCATCTTAAAGACTTCTCTAAGGATGCACTGTTCCTATGGAACGCTCTTCCCCTCTGTTAGACTTTCACTCAGTCTCCACTCCTTCAAAAAAATCTTTGAAAATGTACTTCTTCAGGAAGGCATATCAATTAAACTGTGAACAGCTTTCTCTCCCCGCACCCTGATTCCGCTCCTGTCATCAAAACAAAACTCTAAGCCTTCAGTGAATACTATCCTAGCAAACTACTTTACTACCCTAACCTTACCTTTTGTGTCACTATACCCCACTCATTGTGTATTGCAAAGGATATGTCAGGTTTAGAAAGAAGTTTCAAATCACTTACAGCTACCCTCTTAACCATTCACTTTGATGCAGATGTGTAAGTCTGTGGCGTATCTGGTAACAAGTGGTATTGGAAACTCCCAATTCTTTTTACACTGCCCAGAGCTTATGGTACATCAGTAATAAAAGGGAAAATGTTAAATACATACATAGTAAGCTGAAAAAAATTGTCAAGTAAGTCTAACCAATACTAAGGAGTATCATTTTATTATTTTATTCTTAGCGTTCAACCACCTAAGAAGCAGAGTCAGAAAAATATAGAGGATGATGAAGACATTGTAGAAGTGGATATGGAGATTGATAAGGAGCAGGTAATCACGTGTGGAATTCTGAGTGTATGCTCACATTATTAACTATTGAGTCTGTAAAACAATTTCAGCCATTAGCAAAGATAACTGCTGACTATTTTTTGTGCTCTTAAATTTAATTGTCACGGTCAAAGGTCTGTATCCAGGTACTTCTCACTGGTTATATTTACTATTCAAGTGGTATTTTAAAAAGATTTACTGCACACTGTCGAGGATATTCAATAAAGTGAATATTGATTTTTTCTTTCTTCATTTGAATGTTTATTGATAAAAACAGGTGGTGGATACAGAAGAGAAAGAGGGAGGGGTGTGGAGGGGGAGAGGGTGATATTTACCAGCAAGTATTGTTATACAACAGTAAACATAATCACATGTGGCAGCATTCCCGCTCGTACATATATCAAACTCCTGTACATTTATGTGAGTGTCAAGACCAGAAAAAACTGAGATAACTCACTGGAACTGTACATTAGAATTCATGCTCGGCTGGCCAAGTACCATCCCTAGGGAGTCTATCCTTCACATCCAGTCCCAGGAGTGAGTGAACTAACCCTTAAATATAAAATGTATGTGGCTCAGGCAGACCTTGTGATGAGTAATTCCAGAGGGAGGGGGGACCAAAATGTTAAGCTCATCAGGAAGGGGCGGATAAAGAATGGTGTTAACAGTGCCATATATTACAGACATTAAAGCTCTGCCCATCTTCACGTGTCCCACAATATCCAAGTCTCTCTAAAGCAACGTGTGTGGGGGCAAATGAAAGTGAATTTGGATTCATAGAGTCGCTGTTTGTCTATCTCCGCGATTACATCAGATAGTTTTGGGGGAAAGGGCGATTTCCATGCTCTCGCTATCATTTGTTGAACTCCTCCCAGGATTAGATGTTGGTTTGAGGGTCTCCCTGTGTTTGGGTGGGCTTTAAATGTTGAGAGACTAAGGATCTCAGTTGTATGTAACAAAGAGATGTTTGTGGTAAGCCGTGAGTCTCAAACAATTGCTTAAAGCTTAAAATGGTGTCTTCCTGGACAATCTGACATAGGCGTGTGAGTCCAATTTTAATAAATGTGTGAAAAATATTTAAATTTAAGTGCAAAATAGCCTAACTGAAAAAAATTTGAGTTAGACGTTTCCATTTTGGCTACTTTGGCCTTAAATTTGAAATTTGTTTTGAAAACGCACTCTAATGAATAACTTTGTACTTATAATCTTGTGAGTTATTTACAGGGTTATTTATTAAAGAAAGATTTTTTGGGAATTCAGAGTTAATTAAAAATGAATTTAAAATTTAAGGTCAAGCAGCTGATTTGTAAAAATTCTCCAGTTTAGCAATATTGGTCTAAAATATAAATTAACTTTGAATTCAAACAATACTCGCCTTAGTAAATAGCCCTGCTCTTGTATACAAATAACTTGTAACTCTTGGATGATAGTTTGGACAAGACTGGGAGAAGGTGGGTGTGTAAATTTGTGGGTGAGGTTGTTTGTAGTTTTGTATGTTAGTAGGTATACTGCTTGTGTGGTTGTATTTGTGCAGGTGGTTGTTTGCTGTGTTGCTTTTGTGAGGATAGGCTACTTGTGGTGTTGCTTGTTTCTGTGAATCTTGCTTAAAGGGTTGTGTGTGGGGTCGATGCTGCTTGTGTGGTTGTGTATGAGTGGGGAAGGCTGCTTGCAGTGTTGTGTGTGTAAGAGGGAAGTTGTTCTGGGATTGTGTGTGTGGATGGGGTTGTTAAAGATATAGTATGTGTGTGCATGTAAATAGGGGATGAGTGTGGATAATGGCTCTAGTGTGTGTGTTTGAGTATAACAAGAAATGCTATATTGTAATAACCAGGGTTACAATAGAACAGATCTGCTTATCATCTACATACAGTGGATGTGGTGTATATATCACAGACTAAGAATATTTCTATTTTGTGATTCTTTTTTTTAATAGCCTTTTCCTAATTTTCTTTCCGAATTATTTTTATTTTCTAGGAGAATGTTGTGACCATGATAATGCCTAGCAATTCTACCTGATCTCATGCCCTAAGATGACGTACCCACAATCAAAACAAAATTATGGCTCGATTTGTTGGGGGAAAAAAACCTTCCATTGAAGGGGGATTTTGGAGCAGGGTGAAAATGCAATCGATGTAAAATACGCACATACAAAAATAGAAAACAAATCATCCCCACATGTAGAAGAACTTTAACATGGGGGAGTAGTATAATGTAATTATTTTGTATGCATCTTCAATATATTCCATGTTATGTTTAATATGAAGGATTGTAAACATTTTATTTGAAAATGGCTGAATTCCTTAAATTTTTATACTTCAATAAATATGGGACTTTTATGTATGCTCGTTTACATTATTACATAGCAATAAAAAAGGTTGATGGATTTGTTAGGTGTGTCCAGGTAATCATGCTGTTTTTTCTATAGTGCATTTAAACACGGGGGAGAGGGAATCTAGCCTAGAACAGTCTAATTAGAGAGTGGGTGGATCATTCCACGTCAAGTAATACAATTTTCAGTTGCTTATTTAGCTATGCTTTCCGGGGTACACGTAAAGAGACACTCCACTGCCCAAATAAAACAATTAGACCAGATGAAAGTATTCATACATTAAATTATCATGGATTACTGATGAAGTTAGTTTTTAGTGATTTTTTTTTTTTTTTTTTAAGGAAATGAGACTGTGTGAGAGTCTAATAGAGCAGGAAAGGGAGTTGATTGCCTCTTGAAGAACGGCCCAACTCTTGAAGGTTAGTCTCAGAGGATAGGGGTCTGGATAGGACATACTTGTGTACTGATAGGTAGGAGCAGTGTTGTGTAGAAATTTATAAGTCCTTCCAACAGCTTCCCATAAGATATAGGAATAAGATGGAACGACTGACAAGGGGTGGTAGGACATGAAGATGGCCCCTAGTACAACATTAATTATAGACTGTAGTGGGTTAAGCTGGAAATGCGTAAGAACAGTGATAAGCAGAGGGCAGTAGTCAAGGTGGGAGAAAATAGCAGTATGGACTAGCACTTTAGCAGCATGTGGTGTTAGATAGGGGCTGATGCAAGCTGTGTGTTTTGAGGTGGAAAGCCCAGATGTCCACTCACAGAGAACACCTAGCAGCGAGGCCGTGAGGTAGAGCTGATGGTAACATTGACTTGGAGAAAGAAAAACATACAAAGGAGTGGCAATGTTTGAGGGAGGAAAGATGAGAAGTTCTGTTTTGAAGAGGTTGAGTTTAAAGGGACACTATATAGTCACCAGAACAACTACAGCTTATTGAATTTGTTCTGGTGAGTAGAATCATTACCTTCAGGATTTTTGCTGTAAACACTGTCTTTTCAGAGAAAATTCAGTGTTTACATTACAGCCTAGTAACTTCACTGGCCACTCCTCGGATGGCTGTTAGAGATCCTTCCTGGGTCATGACTGCCTAAAATGCATCTAAACATTCAGTGTCTCCTCCCTCTGCATGCAGACACTGAAATTTCCTCATAGAGATTCATTGATTCAATTCATCTCAATGAGGAGATGCTGATTGGCTAGGGCTGTGTTTGAATCATGCTGACTCTGCCCCTGACCTGCCTCTTTGTCAGTCTCAGCCAATCCTATGGGGAAGCACTGTGATTGGATCAGGACACCACTTCTGATTATGTCAGCAGACTGCTTGTTTTTCTGAGGCAAACAGCATGCAGAGTTACAGCTTCTGGCTTGAATACAGTAAGATTTTGCTATATTTATGGAGGCCCAGGGGGGCTAGATGGTGGCTTTAACACTATAAGGTTAGGAATACATGTTTGTGTTCCTCACCCTATAGTGATCCTTTAAGGAAGTGAGCAGCCATCCATTTAGAGAACGTAGAGAGGCAGTCAAAAACATGAATCAAGAGGGATGGTGAGAAATCAGTAGAAGACAGATAGATTGTGTGTCATGAAACTGATATTGGAAGCCAAAGGATCTGATGAGTTTTACCAAGGTAAGCAGTATAGATTAATAGCAGTAGGAGATCAAGGACAGAACATTGGGGAACACTAACAGAGAAGGGTTGTGGAGGAAAGGATGAACCAGAAAATGAAACACCGAAAGAGCGCTGGGAGATGTAGGAAGAGAACCAGGAAAGAGCAGAGACTCGTAGACTGAGGTTCCGAAGATGAGAAGAAGTTGATGATCAATGGTGTTGAAAGCAGCAAAGAGGTCAAGGAGAATTAGAAGAGTGTAGTAACCACTGGATTTAGCAGCAATTAAAGGGACTATCCAGGCACCCAGACCACTTCAGCGTCTTTGGAGTTGTCTGGGTGCCAACTCCCACCACCCTTAACCCTGCAAGTGTAATTAGTGTAGTTTTTATAAACTGCAATAATTACCTTGCAGGGTTAAGTCCTCCTTTAGTGGACCTCCAGCGTCGCTGGAATTCCCATTGGAAAGCATTGAATAATGCTTTCCTATGGGAAGGTCTAATGTGAGCGCGGCATGCGCATTAGGTCTCCCTCGCCGGCTGATGTCCGCGGGGGAGGAGCATGGGCAGAGCCTGATCCAGTGCCGAGGGACATCGGTGCTGGATTCAGGTAAGTCACTGAAGGGGTTTTAAGAGTCCTGCAGTCCCAGGAAAAAGGACATGTTTAAGTTCTTGGGTACTTTGGCCAGGGCTGTTTTGTCAGAGTGATGGGTACAGAATCTAGAGAAGTGAGTTAGATAGAGTTAGAGTTAAGGAAGTTGGTCAAAATCTGGGTTATGTTTGCACGCCTGTAGGGTGAAGGAAATATATCAGAGGAGAGGGATAAATTATATCTAAGCAGAAACCTCTACTCGTGTAGTAGGTGTGAGTGAGCATAGAATAGGAGTTGGGGGAAGTATTGGTAGGAGAGAGATTAGAGAAACCCAAAGTTTCTAAAGGTTAAGTTATTAGGAGGAGCAGCAGTAACAGGGGAAATAAATCTTTATAATACCTCTCACACTTTAAACACTCTAAAAATAGTAAGTTAACAAAAAGAAGAAAACAAAAGAAAAAAACTGAATTATCTACTGAAATCTTTTTACAATACTGTTGAGAGCAAGTGTGTCAATGGTTTAGGGGGTATTATGTGGAGAAACACAGTGGGAAATACAAATGTGTCTGTGGTTATTGAAGTAGGTATTATATCTATTAGCTAAGGAGTGTTTGATCTCCTCTAATTTTCTAATATGTACTATGGCAGCATGTCAGTCTGTTAGCGATAGCGGCGCTACATGTTTCCATTTAGTGGAAATTAAGCATTTGGCAGCAACAAATAAATTATGAAATGATTTTTTAAAACTTGTTAAGGGATAGAGAAGTGTTATAGAAAACCGGGAGCGGAGCCTGGCTACTACACTGGGGTACCTGGCACAGGTAGTGGCATGCGGCAGGATTTAACCTGTGCCAGGTACCCCCTTATTGCACTAGTACTTTTCCATTTTCCATTTGTTTAGGTGACATGCCCCTACTCGCAGCATGCAGAAGGATTGAACCTCCCTTTTATCAATATGGGGGTCATAGTGACCCGCATACTGATTTATATTTAGTTTTCAATGACAGCGAGCAGCCACTGGCTATATGGAAAAAGTAGCTATTTAGATCTAGATAGCTACTTTTTAAACCAACTCTTTACACTTCTATACAAGATACATTTCTATCCAGTTTTAAATGACTGCGAGTAGCCAGTGGCTGCTTGCTACAATAAAACTAAATATAAATCAGTATCAGGGTCACTAGACCCCCATATTGATAAAAAGGAGGTTAAATCTTCCTCACGGCATATTGCCTAAACAGCGAGCAGCCAATGGCTGCTCGCTGTCATTTTAAACTGTGGCTGCCCAGTCTCTACAAAAATAAAGGGGACCTGGCCCAGGTCCCGCCATTCCCACATGGTGGGGAACATACATAACTAAAATGGGGGGGACATAGTGCCCCCCCGCACCCTCACCCGTGTCCCGCAGGTGGGGGCTATTAATATAAATATGGGACCTAATATCCCCCCTGGCCCCCACCCACGTGCTGTGGATGGGGACCCGAAATAAATAATGGGGCAGACCTAATGTCCCCCCCTAGGTCCCCACCCATGAGTGGTGGGTGCGGACCCTAACTAAAGGGGGACCTAATGTCCCCCCCCCAGTTCTCCATCCATGAGCGGTGGGTGGGGACCCTAATTAAAGGGGGACCTAATGTCCCCCCTTGTCCTCAACCATGAGCGGCGGGTGGGGACCCTAAATAAATAAATGTGGGGGGCGCTATATAGGAAATAAAAGTATACACTTGCCCCAAATAGGGTGTAGAGCTTGGGCCTACAATAAATACATACAAAGTAGACAGAATAAAACAATATAGTGTAAATCCACAAAAAAGATGGTAATAAAATAGAACTTAATCTTAAGTGTGTCAACTCACATTGATAAGAGCCTATAGGGTTACAGGCTCAAATCACATGGGCATTATTGTCGGTGACAATGCACCCTTTTTCCTGGGGTTGGTATCCTCAGAGGACAAGGTAAGAATATCACTATCATAATCTGCCCCTAATTTCAATACCTTTTAAAATTAATAAATATTTATTTATTATATTCATTCTACATCAAATTCAGTAAGACAGATTTTCTTTAAATAAATTAACCACTTGATTTATTAGAGACACTGCCAATCCTATATCTGAAAGATATATCATTATGTATACACATGACTAATATCAATATATTTAGTTTTCTTCCTCATTATTTTAATGATGAGAATTTCACCTATAGATGACTGACTTAAGGGCAAGATTGTGTGTATATTCTTATTGATTCCCATATTCAAAATGGAAATCTCGATTGTAATAGGAAGTAACGGGCAAATTCATTCTATTATGTCACTTTTGGTCTAGACTTATGGACATAGAGTCAGGTCCATAAATATTGGGACATCGACACAATTCTAATCTTTTTGGCTCTATACACCAACACAATGGGTTTGAAATGAAAGAAACAAGATGTGCTTTAACTGCAGACTTTCAGCTTTAATTTGAGGGTATTTACATCCAAATCAGGTGAACGGTATAGGAATTACAACAGTTTGTGTATGTGCCTCCCACTTTTTAAGGGACCAAAAGTAATGGGACAGATTAACAGTCATAAATCAAACTTTCACTTTTTAATGCATGGTTGCAAATCCTTTGCAGTCAATTACAGCCTGAAGTCTGGAACGCATAGACATCACCAGATGCTGGGTTTCATCCCTGGTGATGCTCTGCCAGACCTCTACTGCAACTGTCTTTAGTTCCTGCTTGTTCTTGGGGCATTTTCCCTTCAGTTTTGTCTTCATCAAGTGAAATGCATGCTCAATCGGATTCAGGTCAGGTG